TGTCACGCGGCGGCCATTTTGTCTCAGGAGATTTAAAAGCTTTGTTTACGCACCCTATAGCCTCGTTCTATCTACGAGGCCAGGGTTGCATATAATCAAAGCTTTTTAAATCTCCTGCGACAAAATGGCCGCCGCGTGACAATGGCGAATTGCAGTTACATGTGGAAACGAGGCTAAAGCTGACCTTGTTTTGATACAACCCTTCCTGCTTTGTTATGTAGATCATGTTGTTCTTACGCTACCTAGTATTTTTTAGCAAAATTTACTTTCATTTGAAAAGGGAGAAGGTTTGTATCAAAACAAGGTCAGCCTCAGCCTCACGTACTGATAGATCGTTTAAGCAGCCACGTTTTTGATTGACGCACGTCAACCGGAAGTGAGCCTTTTTCTCTTTTAATATGCGTTGACGCTACCAAATTTGTATTGTTAGGTGTCTTTACCTTTACAGAGACGATTTGCCCCAAAACTTGTTGAAAAAGTCCACTTCCGGTTGACGTGCGTCGCTCAAAGACGTTGCTACTTAAATTCCCTAACAAAAAAGCGAAAACGTTCCTAAAACAGTCCCATAATGCAATTCGACACAGCACCGAACCTCTCTCACGAGCAACCTCCATACGCTCGATAGAAAGAACTAAACATTGAAGGCAATCGACTTGACGTTCTCTTCGCACTTTTGCACTCAAACTTGTTTGTTTTTTATTTGTTACCTAGGTTACGTTTGGCCACGCTTGAGTCCGAAAAAGAGGAGATGTTGCACGAAGTGCGACAACTCCGAAAAATGGGTCAGGCAGGGGATTTACCACGTGACTTGGTACGTTATAGTTAAAGCTAGCTTCTGAGTGAATTACAGTATAGCGATCCCTCCCTCATTCACTTGTTGGTGATTTGTTTTCAGATAACAGAATTTCTGTCGTAAGCTGTAATTGTTATGTTGAGCGATCACCATTTTCAGTGAAGCAAAGCCCATTGAGAACAAAGTGACCCGTCTAGTCCATTTATATAAGCCATACCTTTTGCTTTTATTTGCGACAAGTTTTGTACGCTCATAAATGTAGACCTTTGGAAGATGGCTGATATAAGGGAGCTTAGCATCGACGACGGCAGCGGCAACGGCAACGAGGACGTCAAAAAAGCAGTAGGTTTGGATAAGCAAAACAACAACTCTGAACGTGCATCACACTTTTTTCTACATTTCTTTGCTGTCTCTGCCCGACTACGACGTGAAAATGCCTAATTTCACGTTTCATGGAGGACGCCGTTAACAATTGACGACAAAGTTTTCATTCTCTTTCTAAACTTGAAGGCGGTCCCCAAGGAATCAACTTTAGAGAAATTCACCAACATTTGACATTTTCAGTGGACTGGAATAAACGCGACAAAGTGTGAAAAAACGCGATTTGATTTTTAAAGTGACTTTCTCGCTGCCGGCACCGTCTTCGATGCTAAACTGAGCTCCCAATGTACGTAACAGTACGCTAATACAAGACGCTTTGGTGTCTACTGTCAACTTGAGTTTTTTCTGTTACATTGCCTCTCTGAGGAATTTGCCCTTTAAACTAATATAAGTTTCATTGTTCCTTTTAATGACAGAACAATGACGAAGTTCTTGAGAAGTTAAGAAATTATGACAATATGATGGCAGATGATGTCGAACTTCGGTAAGTCTCTCACAGTTCAAGTATGCTCGGTGTAAGCCGGTCTTCTTGTTTGTACTCTTACCAAACTCAACATGCAAGTAAGATGTGTACTGATTTCGTAATTTAAAGGGGCTGTCTCGCTATTTGCTATCTGTGTGTAATAAATAAAAACTTGTCTTCGCATCAATTGAATTCAGGGGCACCCAAAGACGGTTGCCTCCTACATACATTGAAAACACTTTTGAGGCTATCCTGAGTACTTTTTAGATCTTTAGAAGTGCATTCTAAGCGACGCTATAAAATTTGCATCTGTTCGGTCATCCCAGAAGAACTTGATTCTTTTCGAAATTACAGGGGCGTGTCCAGTTTTGTTATTTAAGACTATATTTAGACTTTGAAACTGTTTCCTGTCTATTGCAACGGACGGATTGACTGTTTCAAGTTTTAATGCAATACCTGCAAAAATGACCGAACAGCTATTATACTTGGAGCTCCCTGATGAAATTTGTTTTATGTCTTCTTCACAACTCTACAAGAGCAGTTTGTTTGTGGGCAGAGGCGCTAAGTAATGATTTAGCAAAGAGTTGATCTGTAAGAGCAGTATCCTCGTGACATGATAGTCCCTTTAAAAACACACCTGTATTGTTAAGGTGAGCGTTTTTAGTGATTGTTCGTTTACTGGAATAGAAGACAGTCAGAGACAGTCTTAACATTACAATCGTCCAACTCACACAGGATCAGTCTGGTACCCCAACATGGCTGCACGTGTGACTTTCATGTTCTTTTTCAGTTTCTTCTCACGGCATCTCTTCTCTTTTCTATCAGTAACCTTCACTTCGATATGTACGCAGTGAAAATGAATGAAATTAAATGTAAAACACACTCAAATGTAAGCATTTTGGCCCTAGAATTTATGTTGTATAGAGAAAGTGAAATAGCTGTCTGACTGCATCAATTTGGGTCTCTTTTTGGTCTCTTAACAAAACGCTGACATCACGAGTACGGCGATTAACTGTAATGGTAAGCCATTTCTTTGCTCTTTCTTTTTCTGCAGAACACGTTTAAAAACGGTCGAACTGGAGCGAGATCGGTTGTCCCACGAAATTATTAAGGTATGTAACCTAGCTTTTTGCACAACTTTTAGGGGGATTCCATTGTCGCGTTGGTTTTAGGGGCGTACGCACTTAAATTTCACGTAACTGCTGCTGTTGTATTTACGTACGTAAATTTTAAGCGTGCACGCGACAGTTGAAGTCCACCCTTAAATACAGTGAAAATGTACGCGGAAAAGGCGTTTTTAATGCTGTATATACCTACTGCGAGGAAAATTTAAACCTATTCATTTTAAATGCAGTCGAATCTCGTTTTAACGACGATCCAAATTCCAAGATTTGATAATCGATCTCGAGAGTTGGACCAAGAGGTTTTCTACCGAGAATAGCGGTAGAAACCCTCGCAAGCCAACACATGACCCATGGTTTTATCTCTTCTTTCTCTTTCGGGAAAAAACGTGACACTGCATAAACTGCAGTACTGACGTCAGTACCACGTCATATTCTGCTTGTAATAAAACAACTATAGTTAAACATGAGAAACGGTAGTCGTAATTTCAAAGTGGTTCGTGGCTGAAGCGTAAATCTGGGCAGAAAATAGACACGAATTACAAATTTTGCTTGCCTCTAACTCAGGAGAGTTGGATTGAAGACTTTTAGGCGAAAACACGAGATTCTAGGATAAGCGAAACGGCAAAATGCGAGCAAAATGTACTCTGTAGTCGCGACAACGCGAAACAGCTTAACAGCTCACCGTAGCCGTAGGATTACGCGCGAAAAATAAGCAGTCACGTGGTACTGCTCATGCTCAGCAGCATGTTTATACTTAGTCGCAGTCCGTAGTCGTCGCATCTAAAAGTACCTATTGACAACGCGACGACAGGGACGACGGCGTGTGCAGATCTCAAAACCGAATTGACCAATACTAATTCTTTTCGCGCGCTTTTGCGTTCTCAATCTACCGACTGACCACCTGGCACCGCTTTTACCTTCGAGAAAGACAAGGTCCCAAGAGTGGCCACGATCAGTTATGAGACGTTTTCATTTACAGCAGTTTCCCACAATGCATGCTTTGACTGAGAAAATTGTGGTGTTTTGAATAATTGGCCACTTATGAGAAGTGGTTGTTAAAAAGTAGTTCGACCCTATCGCCTCCACCTTCAATTAACGACCTCTACCTACACAGTTCCGAATAGACCTTATTCGCGATGCCCGCCATCTTTGCACGCGCTTTAGGATTGATGGGATAAAAGCAATGTCACGTGGTATTTCAGGGGGAAAACGAGTGTTGAAATATGCCAATACGGTCGCAAACGAGTTTGTGTATTCTTTCAAAACGATACGACAATTTTAGACTTGCAAAATGTACAGTTCGAGTTTCGATAGGTTTTACGTCATTATTTATTGCTTGCTATGAGGACATCTTCGTTCGCTACTGCATTCTAAATTTGATTGACCGTTAACGTCTTTAAGGTAAATTAAAAATTCTTCATTTCTGTTGTCTAGACTGAACAAACTCGCGACTTGTTGTATTGGCAAATTTTATCACTTGTTTGAGAAAACGCGTGATATTGCTTTTATTCCATCAATCTTAATCATTTGTGTTCTAGTTCTTTTTCTACGCATGCCAGATTTACAGCAAGAAAGTTCACTAATTTGCTAATAATGCGATTTGAGGTGTCAATAAAACTCAAAATGGTTTAAGTGTCGCTAATAGTCCCTGCATTAAAGGGAACCTCCACTTCAACAAAAAGATAACTTTAAATCACAGGAAATAACTGTTACGCCATTCAATGATTTTTAAAAAAAGCGTTTGTATCCGAAAGAACTATAGCTGCATTTTTTAGATTTTTTTTATAAAAAACAATTGTTTTGTTTATATCAGGAAAAGTGATTTTAAAATCGCTTATTTTCACTTTCAAATTTTTATATCGTTGGCATTGGAGTTGTCATAGCAACGAAATGAATTTATTACCTATTTTACTGACAGCCATAGTTATCGACACTGGAGAGTTTCCTTTTTACCAAAATCGTTCACGGAAGGTTATTCCTCCAATAGCTGCTCGATGATCGTGACGTTTGAGCAAACTGAGAAAGTGTTCGATATATTTTGGTATGAAGTTTTTTTAGTTAGAAATTTAGTGAAAACTGGACAATCTTGTTGTTCAGCCGCTATCAAGGGAAGGGATGGCGCAGTGGTGAGAGCGCTCGCCGCCCACCAATGTGGCCAGGGGTTCAAATCCCGGCGTCGACGCCAAATGTGGGTTGAGTTTGTTGTTGGTTCTCTCCTTTGCTCCGAGAGGTTCTCCGGTTTTCCCCTCTCCTAAAAAACCAACATTTCCAAATTCCAATTCGACAAGGAATCAGGTAGAGGAAGAACCAATTTGTGGATGTGCCACCTCCAAATCATTATTTATTAATTATTTATTTATTTATCTACAGAAAACAAAACGCCTATGAAATGCAATTTCACCTTATAGTAGTTTCATTTTCTTTAAAACCGTATATGAAAAGATCATGGAAATAGTTTTAGCCGATTTTTTAAGAGGAATTTGATTATAATGCTTTGAGATGCTGTCATGGCGTTTTTGTATATTTTTACTGAGCGATAGAAAAGAAATAAGAGGTATTTTCTCCAAATTTCTTATATTTTCTTGGGCAATAGTAGGTAATATTTCTGTATAATTCAAGTGCATTGTCAATTACCGCTGTTCTCGTGAGCTGTCACTAATATATTTTACCAAAAAAACCCTTCCACAGAATTTACACACCAAAACTGAAAAGGAAAGGAAAAAAACCTTCTACCCGCTTTGTGAAACTGATCTTTTTCGTCCACAAGGTTCGCTATTACTATTAAGATAAGTTTTGTCGGCAAAATGGATCCCTCTGTGATGTTTTTTGCGTCATTGTAGTTGATCCGGGTAATATTATATAAGGTATAACAGTATTTCAAGAGTCTACTTGTTGACCTGGTTGTTGAAGCAAAAATTTTGCCGAAAAAGCTATTATATGTTAGCGAGTACAGAAAACTCTTGAAAGAATGATAAAGTTGATGACGTGTTTGTACCATAAACGCGCGAGCAATAATTTTCGCCCCATATTTTTTGAGAAGGCAACTGTCAACTTACATGTATTTACCCTGCAAGGGTTTCCTTGCGTCATATATTTAAGACCAGGGAAGTATCGCTCACTCGCTTGCCAGCTGGTTGGATTGCGATAGATTTTAAACAACAAGACAGTAACTTAAGATCGCCTCAGAGATGCTGAAGTGTCGTTTTGAAAGGACAGTCTATACCGGGCAACAGCATTTTGAGATTACCTTGGCGAGAAACGAAAAAGATGTCCCCGTGGAGGTTAGCAACGAAAACAGCTTGTCGAATGAGAAAGCAAAGAATGGTACGGAACAAACATTATCCAGTGCTCGCCCGAAATATGAATACTGTGTCTTGACTGCTTATGGCGTTTTACCTGCGGTCGCAAAAGGAGTCAATGGTGTTTTCTGTGCTAAAAAAGAAACAAAAGACCACCAAAAGGAAGCAAGGAAAGAGGAACCATCAGTTGGTGTGTCCATGAGCCGAGGACGCTCTGATTTCAGTGATAAACAGTATAAATATTCTGTTTTAAAAGCCTACGGATTTTTTTGCCGCTCTAAGGGAGAATAAATGCTAAATTTCTTCCCCTTTATCCGAAACTGTATTTATTTTTTAACTTTTGGCCTGCACTCAGAGGCAGCCCAACCTCAGTATAAGAGTTTAATCGTAAATAGGTGCGGTGGTCTCGTATTGCGTAATCCTCAAATGACCGTGAACATAAAGGATTTGTATGAAAATAAGGTAAAGAATTCAAGAAGATAAATACTCGCTGGGATTTTCAATAAAATCCACCCTATCTAATTTACTTTGTTTGCTCTTGCTTGCCGTGTGGTTATTTTCCCGATCCGTTGCTATTTAACTTAAGTATAAACTGCGAGGCTGCCTGTTCACAGGGGCACCCAACGACAATTTTCGGAGAAATATCTGTTCGGAAGACGATTTAAGATCTAGAATTTTCGGAACATTTGTTGTAAAATTTCTTGCTTACCTGCCTCTCCTAGGATTTTCGGGCATCTACAAAATGGTATAATTGCCTATTTTTAACGGATTTTTAACCTAAAAAGATCACCTAGAATTTTCGGGAGCCTTTTTTCTGGCTAAAATTTTCGAAAAGGTAAGTTTTGATCACTATAATTTTCGGATCACTTGACTTTCAGCTAGGAAATCCGAACAGATGAAAAACTTTTAGGGGATAAAAATATGCCTATATCTATCGTTTAAATACTAAAATAGTTTAACAATTCTATGTTTAAGTGGTTTTGAACTATATTCTCGTTGGGTGCCCCTGCTGTTCAGCTCTGCACAGCTAAAGCGGTTATTTACCGTTTAATTTTCACCACAGGTACCCCAAACTCACGAGTGAGAATCGTTGCGTAACAGAAATATTATGTGTGTCCGTATGGGGATTTAAGCGTTCGTTATTTAGGGGTCAAAAATAGTAATAAAGATACTTCAGAATTTCTTACCTTGTGTCCTTGTTTAACTTTATCGTGTTTTCTTAGCATTTTTTGGCCGTTTCAGGGCGATTCCAGCGAGTTTTAGTTCTGCCGTAATAACGATCGCTTAAGTCCCCATACAAGCCCTTATAATATTTCTGTTACGCAACGATTCTCACTCTTGAGCTTGGGGTACCTGTGTTTTCACATGTTTTTTTTTTTGTTTACCCTCCCCCGCCTCCCTGAAAAAAAAAAAAAAAGAAAAAAGTTGCATAACCATAAACGAATCTTAACCATTGTATTCGATTTCCCTTGGGACGACTGTAATACCCAGAAGAAATTGGAAACAATGGTTATGCAAAATTTTGGGTTTTAAACAAGGTGCATTATGGCCTATTTGAAAATGGTGAATTGCCTGGAAGCGAGGCTGCTAGCAATGTACCATAGACTGGGTGAGTTATTGCCTACATCTTTCAAATAATTATGGGGCGTTTTCCATCCAACCAAAACTTTCGAAAATTTGGGAACAGCGGCAAATGGTACAGAAATTTCCCGGAAATGATGCTGAATTTCCGAAATGCGAACCATTCAACCGAAATACTAGAAATTCCGGGAGCAAAGTTGAATAGAAAGAAAACTTCTGGAAAAAAATTTTCGAAAATTTGGGTATAACTCGCGAGGTTGTCCTCTTTTTTGGACGTTTTGGAAAATGCTGTTCCATTCGCTACTGAAAGTAGCCGAATTTTTAACGCGGCGTTTTGATTGAATGGAAAACGCCCTTGGTAAGCGCCAATTGGATATGAAGAATTAGCCGAGATTGGAGCCAATCAGAAACATCGAAATATTTTGAATGAATAATAAATGATGTCACTTTAAGACACTTCCCGTGAGCTTACACGTGCGATTTCTGTGTTGCTTTCGGCTTGCTACATAGAGCCAGCGGTCTTTTCGCAGCGAGCGAACTTCTCTTAAGCTACCGCCCACAGTGCAAACAGAATACCTGACCTAGTTATTTACATGTTAGGGAGTGCAGAAAGCACTTAAAATTATGAAGCTATTGAGTAAAAGCCGAACTTTTTTTTGGATAAACGTGCGAGCTGTAATTATCGCCCCATATTTTGTGTGTAGAAGAGCCGACACCTGTGTCTTGCCAGGGTTTCCTTGTGACATTACATAACGAAGGTTATTGTCTGTCACTGGCTCGTTGGTTGGATAAATTTCGATAAATTTTCAGCAACGAGACAGTTAGATCATCTTGCGCAATGTCACCTAACCTCCAAGCTACTGAAATGCCGATTTCAAAGGGTACAGTTTGTTACGATCAACAGCATTTTGAGATTACCTTATCAAGAAACGAAAAAGATATCTCAGTGGAGAACGAGGAAAACCCCGTGGCGAAGAAGGAAGCAAATTGTGGAATGGAAGGACCATCATCCAGTGCTCGCGCGAAATATGAACACTGTGTCTTGACTGCTTATGGCGTTTTACCTGCGATCACAAAGGGGATCAATTGTGTTTATGGTGCTAAAAGAGAAATGAAAGGCAATTTAAAGGAGGCAAGGAAAGAGGAACCATCTGCTGGTATTTCCATGAGCCGAGGCAGGCACCCTGAAATCAGTGAAAAACAATATGAATATGCTGTTTTAAAAGCCTATGGGATTGTTTCCTTCTAAAGGAGTTTAAATGCTCAATTCGTTTGCCTTCATCCGCAAGTGTAACTTTTTAAACTCATCACATTTTTAAATACACAGTGTGTATGTGACGATTAGAACTATAAGTGTACAAAGTATGTTCATTCTTTTCCAATAGACTTATCGGATAAATCGTTTGTATATCTATTCCTTTTCTTTCTGAGTGCATGTTAAACTGATTTCACAATTGAATTTTATTAATTGAGAACACTGGAAGTGAATTTCTGGCAATTGAAATTTTCGCGTTTTTTTATTCTGATTATTACATTGTTTTATTCTTTTCTAGCTTGCGAGCGGGCGGAATCCTCCAAATCCTGCAATCTGATTGGTTCCGAGAGCGGGCGGTTTTTTTATGATCTTTGTTTTTTGTGAATAAGCAAAAAAAGCTATTTTTAAACCATTTTGTTTTTAACAACTTGCGCTGTTATTAGCATTGGCGAGGGTTGTTTGACGCTCAGATTATGATATTTAAAAACCCTTCTTTATTCTAAAGGAGAGCTCAATTGTGTTACTATATATTACAAGCTAAAAATCGTGTTGTAATGTTTTGTTTTGGTTTGCAATCTTCAGCGTGCCCCGGTTCGAGTAGTCGGACTGTAACAGCCCATATTTTTTGGTTAATTTGCTATTGCAAATCTCAAACTGTCCGATTACACCTGTCCGATAACTAAGAGCTTCCCGGCCAATCAGACAGTTAAATAGCCAATGAAAATCAAGGACAAAATAGACTAGCCAATACACACTTAATGTCAGATCCCGAGTCAAACAGTTAGCTTTGTTTTCCCGAGAGTTCTGCTGTTTCCCAAGACGAAGTCGAGGGAAACATCAGGACTCGAGGGAAAACAAAACTAACTGGTTTCCCGAGGGACCTGACATTAAGTGGTTTGTTATATTTCTAGACTTCCAATTCAACGTACTTCAACAGCAACAAAAGAATGCACTTTAGCAGAGCGAATCAAAACAGGCGACTCGGTACTTATAAGAACGTAAATTTAATTCTCAAAACTGCTGAATAAATTATTTACAAAGTACTTTCGTTATATTATCTGTATCTTTTTCCTCCACTTGCTGCTATTTCTCTTCTGGGATAATTTTGAAAATCGTTGCTTTTTAGTTTGAGACTTCATGTTTGTGTTGCTGTGTTCAACAGCGATTCACGAAAAACAAAACTGGCAGTGTTTTTCGCTCCTTCTGTCACGCCACTTTCCACCAGGCCTTGATCACGTGCTGTAATGTATCCCGAGCGGGGTACATTGTTTAATGTATCACGATCGGGATACATTTGATTTTAGCACAGGGCTCCCACACAATCTGTTTGTGTAGCCGATTGTTATTTTATAGTGAATGTACTGGATTTACCGTTTGCTTCACCTATAGCGATATATCGCTAACTATGTATATAAATCAATGATAAATAAACGTTGAATTACCTTACCTGTGGTGTATAGTCGTCCTTTTGCCTCAAAAGCGGTTTTTGAGCGATTTTGAATGAATTTGAGTTCGCCGTTGACTGTTCAATATAATAGAAGGACACGGGAGGAATCCTTGTTTTGAAAGGGTTCAGCGCCGGAGCGATTTTTCCCCCCAAAATCGCATCGCTCCGCTTTCAAACTTCGCAGCATAAAGGTCAAAAGATTCACGATTCTTCTCGTACCTTCCAATCGAAAATCCATCCAAACGGCCCGGAGCTAGCCCTCGAAGAAAATCAAAATCCCACAGTATTCGAGCGACTGGAATGCGTAGCAAGATCCATACGTGCCAGCCAGAAACCGTCCCGCTGATTGCCTTTTTTTATTGGATGGCGTTAAACAAATGGTTAAATAATAACTGATGAAGAAGACTTGGTAAGGGTTTGTTGTTTAACGACATCCAATCAAAAAGAGGCAATCAGCGGGACAAACAAACCGTCCCGCTGATTGCCTTTTTTTTATTGGATGTCGTTAAACAAATGGTTAAATAATAACTGATGAAGAAGACTTTGTAAGCGTTTGTTGTTTAACGACATCCAATCAAAAAGAGGCAATCAGCGGGACGGTTTCTGGCTGGCACGTATGAATCTTGCTACGCATTCCAGTCGCTCGAATACTGTGGGATTTTGATTTTCTTCGAGGGCTAGCTCCGGGCCGTTTGGATGGATTTTCGATTGGAAGGTACGAGAAGAATCGTGAATCTTTTGACCTTTATGCTGCGAAGTTTGAAAGCGGAGCGATGCGATTTTGGGGGGAAAAATCGCTCCGGCGCTGGAACCCTTTCAAAATGAGGATTCCTCCCTTGTCCTTCTATTATATGGAACAGTCAACGGCGAACTCAAATTCATTCAAAATCGCTCAAAAACCGCTTTTGAGGCAAAAGGACGACTATACACCACAGGTAAGGTAATTCAACGTTTATTTATCATTGATTTATATACATAGTTAGCGATATATCGCTATAGGTGAAGCAAACGGTTAATCCAGTACATTTACTATAAAATAACAATCGGTTACACAAACAGATTGTGTGGGCCCCCTGTGATTTTAGTCAAGGCCATGTGACCAAGAATCAGCCAATGTATGAATATTGTTGGAAGAAAATTCAGCTGAAAATTGATGTTGGTCACTCTTTGGACTTAAGATTAAAACGTCGCCGTTATCAGGGACTACAGTGCTAGTATCTACTATCTCGTGTTATTGGTGGTTCGCCATTCTCAAAACGTTTCCATAAATGCTAGTTGAAAAGTAAACGGAACAGGACTTTTCGGGTCGTTGCACTGGAACGGGGCCAACGGAACGTCTGGAAAAGTAGTCCATTTTTCTCGGTCGGAAGTTTCCAACCGGATATTCGTGTTCCAATTCTTCAAACCCATTTTGAGACCAATTTCAGGCCCCGTCCACACGTATCCGGATATTTTTTAATCCGCAACAATATCTTTCCGGATACGGCTTCTGTCCACACGTATCCGGTGAATCCGGCATACGAATCCGCAACTTTTTGAATCCGCTCTCCAGAGTGGAAATTTTTGAATACGCTATGAATCCGGAATCGTATGAACGCTAACTGAAATCCGGATATTTTTTTAACCGGTGACGTAACAAGATCAAGCCCAGTTCTTTTAACCGTGAATACTGTATTCAAGATAGCAAACTCGACGCATAAATGTGACTGATGTGGGCATAAGATAAACCCGATTTCCGAGCGAAATTTACTCGTCTCGTGTTTATTTTTTTTTTACATTTATCATTTCCCCAAACCGTGAACCGACTGATTTGCCAATGTGAATGTTAAACAACCAACAGTTAAGTTTTTCACGGTAAAACTTAGGCGTGGCACTCTGCTCTGTACCTGCTTAACTAACGAGTAATACATGTGTTGCAAAAACTCGCGTATGACAAGTAAATCGACAGCAGATAAAAACACGAATTTTAATAAATTTTTCTTGATTAAAAAAGTCGTTCTACGGTATTTTGTGGTAGCTTACGCATCTTGTAACAGGGGTGGCAATTTGTAACAACTTCCTAACGCAAATTGTAATAATTCTATTTTTGCTCATTTCATAAAATCTTTTACGGCAAGATTTTAGAAATGTAAAATAATTTCCAGCTGGGCATTGTTACAAATGCTCTATGGTTTCTTTTAGACCGCCTTGACATTAATTTAGTAACAGTATTTTTTGTTCTTTCAATTGTTTGTATGTTGTTCTTGCGTCCGGAAGTTGTTACAAATTGCGTAGATCGATCATTATTTCCAAATGCTGTTACCCTATTACAAAATGCGTCGTTATTAAAAAATAAAAAATGCCGAAGAACAAGCTTTGTTTTTTGTTACTGAAAAGAGTAAATGCTTCAGAGGTGGAACGATAGCAGAGAATAACTGATCTTTCATACTTCCGCAAGCGTTCATTTTCAAACAAAAACAAGGGCGTAGCTCATGGTTTGTTCTTTATGAATTGTTAAGTTAATATATCTTTTTCTTCTCTTTTCAGTTAAAAAAGGAACTTGAGGCGTTTGACCCTGCCTTTTTTGAAGAAATTGAAGACTTGAAGTATAATTATCAAAAGTCCGTGGAGAGAAATGTGTTGTATGAACGTCAACTGCGACAATTGTCTCGTCAATTTGGAGTGGACGTTAATATACCAACAGAGGATTAATCCAACTAAAAAAAAAAAGTTCATTCCTTCGGATACTGTAAATCCTCCATTAAGCCCCTTCCGGGGGCGGAGGGGGGAGGTATTTATTTCAAACACTTTTGAAGGGGGGCTAAATAGAGACGGGGGGCGTATTTGAGAAGGAGGCTTATTCAAAGCCTGTGGTATCAGTTCTCCTTAAAGAGCTAGAATACAAAGTGAAAAGCTCAAGTGCAGGAAGGTTGGAGGTCATGCAGGCTACACTCGGTACATTTGAAACCAAGATGGCCGCCTGTAAGGCTCGACTATCTCACGGAAAAAACTGGAGACTGTGGACAGTCAAAAAAGTTACATTAAAAACCAGACATGACATACCCAAAACTCCCACAGTGTCGAAACGAGTCAAGACGCTTAAAATACTGGGAAGTTTGTTAGACAATACCTAAACATCGTCATACTTACTAGCCCAAAAATTTAAAATTCTTTGCTCAACTTTTATTCATTTGCGTACAGTGTACAGTTATTTATAATATGTAAAATAATGTATTTTAAGTAGTTATAAATTATTTATAAAATATGAAATAATATGTTTTCGATCTTGTATTAGCTTTTCTTTTAATACTTAAAGAAGTGAATCCACAGGTTAATAAATGCTGGCCCAGTTCTTGGGTTAAAGCTTCAGCATTTATAACGTATTACAGTCTTATTTTCAAGAGTTGACTGAAAAAAAAACTGAAAAGAACGCAAAGGAAAAAACAAACAATAAAACAGTTAACATATTAGCCGAACCGCGAATGTTATTTAAACCTGGAACGGGAAAATGAAAAGTAAGATTGATAGACTGGGTTTTATTGAGTTACTTTGCAGAATAAACTAAATTGCGCAACTTTTAATACAAATCTAAAAATATCTTTAAGCTAAGAAAAAAGAGAAAATGAAATACATTACTAATCTCTACGTTAAACTGCACGTCATGAATACATTGCCATAGAGCTGCTCTTGTTGAATGGGAACCAAACCTGAGGTTCATTTTCAGTTCGCTGTTTTATTCCCATTATTCATTTTCCCGTTAGTGGTAGTTCACCATCCGGGGCGGTGGTGTCACAGTTATATGTATTTCCCCGTGATATGTGTTGCTCCGAACACACATCTCATTGGCTAAGAGCCACAGGTTAGTCAGTTATCCGCTTGCAGATAACTGAGTGATCTGTTCTTCGGGCGCGCAATGCATGAATTTCAAGAGCACTGGTATGTATTATCAGCCTCTGCCTTCGGCTCGGCTGATAACACTTACCTCGAGCTTGATTATTCCGGATATCACAAAAACCTCATCCAATAATTGTTTAGTGTTTTCTGTTCCCCGTGCAGGGAAACATAAAACACTTTCTGATTAAAGGCGTAACGTTAAAAGCGCCATGGGCGCAACAATTACGGCTTAAAACAAATGAAGTTTTTTTTAAAAGGGCAAATACAAAGGAAGAGACGGCCGTGGAAAACCAAAAGAATATTAAAACGGATTGCAAATATGGTTAATTTACAAACTTTTTAATAGTTTTTCATAGCTTATGTTTTTTTCTTTTTACCTTTACATTGGTTTGTCACGACACGCTGTGATGAAGTCATTTAAAAGTTATTGTGACGCTAAAGCTGTGTTCCATAGTGGTAGAGAAAACGGGAAAACCCAGGAAAAAATGCCTGAATTGGACTGTCATGACCAAAGCCTTTTCTCGAAGTCTCTGAGCCTGAAGATTCATTTGGTATCATGCTGTCTGATTGATTTTTTTTTTCTGCCCATTATTAATAATTGAAAGAATCACCTTTTCACTGGCTGAGGGCGTGAAGATTATCTCAATAGCCCGTTTTCACCATGACTACAACTCCAGAATCAATTTCGATTTCTCTTATGTGCATTTGATAATTCCAATAGGGTTTTAAGTGAACAAAAAGCGCCGTACATTACACCAGAAAACAAAGACAACAAATCCTGTAGATATCTGGTGGGCGTGTAGCATTTTCGTGTAAATGGCATTGGCTATTGATGATCGAATAACTGAAAAAAGGCATGTGCAATTGCTATAAAAATCTGTTCCTTGAATCAGAATGGGGTCTTCGCATCTTGTCATCAGTTACCTGGTACAAAAGATCATACTAGAGAGCCATCAACATAGTAAAATCTTTAAAATGCTAATTTTCTTTTACTGAGTCAAGGTCCTGCTGTTTTGTTTACACTCCACAAGCATAGCATGCTCTATTGTCTATTCTAAGCTTCGGTAATGCTCTGCTTCACTTCACTGTGACATATTTAAGCACTCCCCTTCCCTTATACTTTACAAGGGAACAAATTTGCTTCTCGATCTGGCATGTAGCTTTTTCATATGACTTCTTTTTGAGCTTTTGACATAAGGAAACCTCAAAAACTACGAGAGGGAAAAATATTTTGTACGCTAATTAGACAACTCGGCTATAGATTTTCCTTAAAAACCTTTTCGCAATTTAATCCATTGTTACGGTATTCGAAGTCATAATGAAACGATCTTAATAAAACATTGATGAATACCAGCTACCTGCGGCTAATCAAGGAAAAAAAAAAAGTTTGATGATAAATTTTTGTTTCATTTGTAGCAAACAACAGAGGATGTTCGAGAATGAAAATGAATAAGACGTAGATGAAAAATTATACTTGAACTTGAGATAGTTCTGGTTGCCATGAAAATGACGTTGGTTTGATGATTTCTGCAATTTAGACCAGAGGTAAATGAATTCTTACCTTCCATAAATATGTATACTATGAGTGGCTATCCAAAACATGTATGGGTAAAATCTTACGGGTTAATCGATTTTGTGTGTAAGTGTAAAAGAGAGATGCAGCACAGATATATGTGTGGGTGTTAAAATTGCAATTGATACTTCAATTTCCACGAAACTGTAATTCGTTCTTTATTCGTTCAGGTCCATGAGCTCAATTCCATCGATGTTTCGCGACAATTCTTTTTAAAATAGTGCCAGAAAATCCTGATAATTTATAGCAATTGTTGGCCGGATTAGGCCCAGTATATGATCTGTAGAATTATGGCGGATCGTGGAGGGTGTTATCCGCCTAGGCCGATTTTATTCGTGCGAAATAATTCCTAGTTTATAAAAAATAAAAATAACTGAAAACATGCTTACCTTGATGGATGTTAAGTTCCAGTCTTCAATTGCTTGTTTCTCGGCAAGCTCAGGATATAAAGTGATATGTTTAGCCTAGAAGATATTCTTTAAATAACAGATATCATCGGTTGAGCACTATTTTGCTGTTCTTGCTGTACGTTTAGACACTGCATTTTGTGCGGAACGTGTGAAATAGTCTGCCATTTCCGCTGCTCTACCAAACCAACGCAGCCTCGTCCCCAGGACTTCTTGAATGCAGTCCCTTTTTCTGGCCATTACCCTGTACTACTGACGTCATTTCTCGGATATCGAATGCATTTTCAAATTTGGTCAACACCAGCTGTAGCCTGAAATTCATCCGATTGCTTCGAGTCGTTTTCTGTTACTGAGGGTGTAATAACGACTCGAAGTAATTGGATGAAATTCAGCCTACACCAGCTGGTTATATTTGAAGAAGAATTAGCCGAAACGGACAATTAATTTAAGTGAATAAAAAAAGGAGATATCTTCCAAATTTGGTCAGTTTTGATTTCTTGGTCAACTTAAAAGTTTATATATGAACTCTCATCCAAAGAAAAAAAATTACGACAAAAGACTGAGTGAATATTGACAGAGAAATGCCGTTTTAACCGCGTCAGGACTAGCTCAGTCGGTAGAGCGCTTGACTGCAGAGCGTGAGGTCGCGGATGCTTTGCCCAGGGCCGGATCAATACTCAGGGTCTTAAAATATCTGAATGAGAAGGTATATCCATGGCACTGCAATCGGCTAGGCCTTCGTTTGGCTTGGATGACCATGTAAATGGCCGTACCATCTCCAAAACGAGAGTGTCCTCTGATGACGGTCGAGGTTTTTACATTTTGACCTGACGTAAGAGTTCACTAATCGATGTTTCTTAAAAATGTTGCTTTCCGAAATGGAAGTTTTGGCTTGATAACGGCACTTAACTTAGAGATAAAAAGCGAGGAGAAATTGATCGATTGACCTCAAATTTGAAGCAGGGAACATATTTCTCATTTTTTTTTCTTTTTCAACACCATAACCGTCAATTTGATATGGTTTCGACCGAAGCTATATACTAAAATGCAAAAATTGCTGACCTCATTTTAATATAAACAAATTGGAAAGTGTTGTTTCAGCTGTTCAGGTTTTTTAATTGCTACTGAGGTTTTTGATGATTGAGAGATAATTACCATCAGAAAAACTTCAAGCGCTCTTCAAGTACGACTCGGATTGCTACCCCAGATCCGACTTGCGATTTCGACTTCTGTGTGTTCCACAATAATAATAATAATAATAATAATAATAATAATAATAATAATAATAATAGTAATAATAATAATAATAATAATTTTTTTTTAAATTAAACTGAAAACATTTTTATTTTCCCCAGGTTTTTTTTATGGACAGGTTCTTATTTTTTACTTGTATGTGCTTATATTATAATAATAATAATAATAATAATAATTTTTTTTAATAAAAACGATACAAAACTTTATTCATAGATTTGAAAAAATAGACTATTTACAGATTCAAGAGTATGAAATATTAAAATATATACCCTATGTACATTCTTCTTGTGTACGAAAGAGAATTGTCGTAAAATGACTATCTAAAGACTACTAATAACAATTATAAAAAGCATCAAAAAGTTAATAAAAAAAAATAAAAACTATTTAAAAATAATAATTCAAACTGATAAAAAGTTACTACTTAAATTCTGGCTTGCGCACTTTCCGAGGTAATGTCAATGTCAGATATATTGGCTTCTCTTCTCTTGCTCCTGGTTCCTCTGAGACACAGCAAGGCTGATCGACTAATGGTGTGAATGTCCCTTGCTCCACTTCCAAAGCCCGCCTGCTGTATTGCCTATTCTTCTCATTTTCATGTAGTTGGAATATCTGTTTCGGAGACAGTTCTCTATACGAATCTGCGTTTGGATGGCACACCAAAATAATAATAATAATAATAATAATAATAATAATAATAATAATAATAATAATAATAATAATAATAATAATAATAATAATAAAATAATGTTTATAGAGGAAACTCCCATCACCTAAAGTGTTTTTCAGGGAGGTCCTCTGACTTCGATAAAATAATGTTAAAACTACCAATAACAATCAAATCTAAAAAACTAGTGGTTATAAAGTTAAAAGTCTAAAAAGGCTAGACGACTAAAAAAGGCAAAAAAAGTAATAAAGATACAATCCGACTAAAAGATTTAGCTATCGAAAAAACAAAGGCTAACGACTAAAAAGGATAAAATGAAAATTTACAAAACTACAACTATGTTGCTCTTAAAAACGTTTTTAGGTCCCGTTTAAAAATTTTGCAAGGCAATTAGGTTTCCATACGTTTTTTCAAAAAAGTCTGACGCGATCTGTGATGTTTGAAGGCAAGTGAAAGGAGATTAAAATGGTGCTTTGCTAGTTTTTACTGAGCAGTCCTAGTTTCACCACGAACACCACACATCCGGATTGAGAACACTAGGGTAGCCTGTTCCAGGCAGCGAGATAGTCGGGTCCGAGGGGATTGAGAAAGAAGCGCGAACATGAAAATAAAACGGGAGCAAACTGTCCGCGTACTTTTCACTTTCGCGTCTTAGCACTTTCTGAGAACCTGGAACAGGCTAATTCTAGGGATTAATTTCAGTTGGCCTGTTTCCAGTTGAGTTGGCTTGCTAGCTCATTTGTTAGAGCGCTGCACCGGTATATCGCAGAGGTCGGTGTTCAAATCCCGGCAAGCCTGAATTTTTCATGCTTTCTTTTCGAAACTGCATGGACTGAGTTAATTAGAGCGTCTTTAACTGCGATGATCTTGTTTGCCTTTATTTCTTCATTCCGCGATCCCAATATATGAAAGAAATTAATATATTCCTCATTTTACTTGTATTATAATGAAAGCAAAAACCTTTCATTATTTAATACTTCACGTCTAAAATACTTTTGGTCACCCAATGCATTCTGTCCAAAATCTCAAAAAGCTAAATCTTTCTAATTTTACTTTAATTAGAGTTCAGCGAATTTTATAACAGTTGTTCCAAGAAATATCGAAGGCATTTAAGTCAAGGAGAACAAAATTTGTTCATTAAACATCAGTATTTTTCTGACAAACTTTAATTGGCAAATTCCGCTTTTGTTGAGTTACTAAAAGTTTTGTCTCATCATTTTTTAATAAAATCTCAGAGTGCTTTCATAGAATGAAGCCGTAAACTTGCACACAAAACTTGATCCCGTTTTACCAATTTTGCACTGAGGTTTGTAGCATCCCCGTAAAGCACGATCTACCAAATAAAAAGCAATTCTAGCCCGGCTGCATTGTAGACACTCTACATCGCTTGTATTTATAATCTAGACGATGCGTCTGCTTTCTGCTGGACGGAAACTTCCATCATTCCTTCACATTGGAGTTTTCGTAAAATTTAAACTCAGTTGTCCGCGAAACAGTAGAGATATAAACTATCTTAAAGTTGTAACATATAAGTAAAAAAAAATTGCCTTATGAATATGAATTCATTCAAGGAAGGTGTTCGATTCCGGCGCAACCTGTTAACATTCAGCGGATGTTAATTCAGAATTAAAAAGAGGAAATCCTTTTTGGCACTCAATCGTCTGGAGTGCTTACTGTTTAAAAAAAAAAACCATAACATAAATGTTTACTTACACATGTAGCTGAGGATCTTCAAGTCGAAACGAAAGAAGAGAAAAACACAGACTTGAACTCAAACGGGGGTAAGTTTCCTTCGATAATACAGGGATTTGGATATAAAATACTGCAGTTCAAGCTGTGAACTATCGATAAGCCTCCGTCGCGGCGTCCTTTTAACGATATTCAGAACATTCAGAAGGAACAACTTATTCATATACAATATACTTATGATTCATATATTTCCCTCACATACTTTATGGTTATTTAAACAACAGACAGTTGTACTCTATAAAAACCGCTCGCGGAATGGGTCTTAAGCGGCAAGAAAAAGAATTAACATTTGCTCAATGGAGAACTATAACAAGAGACATCACTGTGTCTCAACTGAATATTTGGAAAATCGCAGGCGATTAAAAAACAACAAACCAAAAGGAAATGAAGAGATATGTCTTTTACAATGCCATAACGTCTGAAACAAGTAGTCCCAAAAGGTTTCTGGCGCCTTTATTTCTATCTCTTTTGTTTTCCTTTCCTAGTTTTTTCTCCATTTCACTATGCCACACAAAAAGTGTCAAATCGGGGCGCTCAAAATTTTCGCTACGAATCGGGTAACAGAAGCGGCCTGTAAGGTGTCCTCGTACATAAAGTAAATTGTAGATCAGCGTTGGCAATAAACTTTATTAAAACTAAGTGCAGCCAAGAGGACTAGTGTTAATGCTATCGATTTGCGAGGGCTATTTTGAATTTTAAGTAGGCTGTTGGCTGGTGCAACCCAGTTGGAACCCACATTGAAAGATAAAACGTCGCTCCAGTTGACCGCCTATTTAAAATTCAAAATGACCACCAAAAAAATTGATAAAATTAGGGTGATTTCAAAAAAATGTGAAGAGGCTGAAAGACCTCAAAGGTAATAATAAATCGTACAGTTACGGTAAAACGGGCGACCAAAGGTGCGAATTGTTTTGCAACATTGCCGCAAAACGAGATGGAAAGTGATGTTGCCCGTTTTACAGCGCGTAGCGTGGGGGGTCACACTACCAACATCACTTTTTAGCAGTGTTGCCAACAAGCTGTTACTTCTTGTTGCCCGTTTTATCGTAGCTTTAAGATTTACGATAGGTTTACAAAAGCAAACAGCAAATTTTCTTTGCCCAGCCAAAAACCACTTTTAATCATATCACATGGTACGAAATTCTTGAGAAACTTTTCGAGACGTTTGGTAAGTATCTGGGTGAACGATAATACAAGAATTATAATAACAAAGAAATGTAACAGTCAGAGCGAGCCTTTATAGCTTGTTTGTTACACGATACAAATCTACCGTTCGGCGGAAAGCGACCTAAAAACAGGAAGGAAATGCTGATGTTAGAAGCGGTCTATTCACCTTCGAAGTTTTAGCTGAAATATCATCGACGGCAAAAGTTATCTGGAGATTATCTAGGTGATAATCCAGACAGTGGGGAGAGAATGAGGGATATCGCACGAAATAGTGTCGGTAAAAAAAACACACTCAAAAGCAATTATTTTTAACACATTTTCTTATTCTTCCAATATTCTATAAATGTTGTGGTATAAAATCATTCCACTAAAACTGCAAGAAATAGACCTCATAATTTGTAAGTTAATGAATTATTCTCTGGAGATGACTTTTTCCTTTCTAGCAGACAATAAATTTGTTATCTTTTACAAATGTCACTGATTTATTTTGTGATAAATCTGATTCTGACTTTTTTTCCTTTTAAATATAGACGATGGTTCCCGAGTGCTGAATTAAACGAAGTGATAGAGTTATGGAGCATGATTGCCCCAGTCTACTTGGTTTTCGCTGTCATTACTGGCATCATTTGCGTTTTAAGTGTTTCGCTTAACGGTCTTGTGTGCCTCGTGTTTTGTAAAAACAGGAAACTCCTAAATGCTCCGAATATCTTCATCGCTAGCGTGGCGCTTAGCGATTTATTTCACTCGATTACTACTTTGCCACTGATTGTTATTACAAACACTCAAGGGAGGTGGATTTACGGGGATAGTGGATGTAAAATAATCGGTTTCATTGCTACATGGAACGGTCTGACTTCACTGATGAACCTGTCAGTCGCCTCATACGAAAGATACCACGCACTAGTTTTTCTGTTCAAAAGTAACCGAACTTTTTCAAGGAGAAAAGCAGTTTGTTGTTCATTGGCTATGTGGCTGTACGCTTTGTTCTGGAGTCTAATGCCATTGTGTGGCTGGTCAGGCTTTGAACAGGAAGGAATCGGTACTAGTTGTTCAGTCAGATGGAAGTCTCGAGACAAGTTGGATCTCTCATATAACATTTGCTTGTTGGTGGCTTGCTTTGTGTTGCCTGTAAGTGTTATAATCATCTCTTATTTCAAAATCTGTCGGGAGATAAACAAAAGCGCGAGGCGTGCGAAAAAGACATGGGGCAAAACTTCACCTTTTACACGGGAAACATTTGAAATGGAGAGAAAGATGGTCATTTTGTTTGGTGTAATGACCGTGGCTTTTCTCGTGGCCTGGACACCATATGCTGTCGTATCACTAATATCCATGGTGGGCAGACCTGACGTCATCAGTGACATCACAGCCACCATCCCGGCATACTTTGCTAAATCATCAGGCTGTTATAATCCTATTGTTTACTTTTTCCTGTGCAAGAGATTACGGCAGCAGATCAAGTTGATGGTGAGAACGGGCAGTGAAAGTTCAAGCAGTAATTTCCGCAGAAAAACGTTCAATTATTCTCAAACGCCGCATTATCCCAAAATATTGAGATTGCGATATACGGTCGAATTAAGTTGATGAAGATTGCCCACATTTCCAATCATCCGCGGCATCTTGATATTTTCATGATAATTGCTTTCGCCCACGGTTCCGCAAAAAGTAATAACGGTGAACTTAGTTGTAAAGCCTATTCTACAATGACGGATCCGCCAAGAGTAAATTCAGTTTTGAAACGAATGCCACGTCTGAAATGAAAGAACTAAACCAGATTTAGAAAGAGATTGCCTTGGAGTTCTTGCACATATGCAATAGAATTGGAATAATTGCATAATCGGAAGCACAATCGGCAACACTTCACTCCTAGTTTTAGCAAGATTTCGAAGTCATTATTTAATAAAATAAAGAGGTTAGGCAAGATTTGTATTTTCAGTTTATTTTATTTCGTTTCAAAAAATATTCTTGATCACCATTTACAGTTGCACAACAAAGGCCAATGACAGGAGTTAAAGAGCAGAAGGGGTGGGGTGAAAGGGGGGGGAGGGGGGGTTTGGGTGGCGGTGGTGCGAGAAATTCTCTCTCTTATTTCAATGTGCGCCCCTTTTCTCTTCTAACGCCTGCCACTTAAAGCCAAGCAAGAATCATCTTCGAACAAACTTTTAGTTACTTAGAGTTCATGATAAAGTAAATACATGTTTACTACCGTTTTCTGAGATCTTTCAGTTTCTGACGGAGAAATGCCCCCAATGCATGGTGATGAGGGCAAAGACGCGAGTTACTGTTTAAGGTGGGGAGAAAGTTTCTGCTATTAAGAGCTGTTGTACAAGCAACGCAATCAATTTTACTTTGAGCTGAGGACGTACCAGCTGAAGAACCCTGAGGACGAACCAGCTTTATATTTGGCGTTGCGCTTTTCAATTGAGTACTGAGTGGTTTTGCAAAAGGATACACCTCCTTAGTCGATGTGTAATATTTTCTCCGTTGACTTGGCTTGTGGGTATTTCTTAACTTTTCTTTTTCTGTTGGATTATTATGTAGGGCTTTTTTAGTGTATTTGCTGCTTTGCTCCCCGCAGACTATCTGATTATCGCGGCTATCGGTTTGAGTTACCGCATCTCGAGTTGGAGAGGCAACCTACAATACAAACATCAGTAAGCCGTCAAAAAAATCACAATTAGCAAAGGTAGCTAATAATTATAATAACGGTTTTCAAAGAGAGCCCCATACTTACTTTGATAAAGTCTAAATTGGTGGGCAGATCTGTTTGATTTCCCTCAAAACGAAATACTTAAAAACACGATGGTCTTCATTCCAGAAGTGTAGACCGAAGAGGATGAATTAATTTTATCTCTTCAGCCCGTTACGCTGAAGATTCAGAAGATTCACCGCTGATCCTTCTATTGGAACCCCTCCTTTGGGAGAGCAAATGTTTGGGTCTTGGACTGGATTGGATTGGACTGGCCTCGTACTAACAGGGGCTGGGTTCGAGTCCCGGCGTCGACGCCATATGTCTACACTATGGGCCAGTTATTTAAAAGCCATTTTCAATTTGGCGAACACTTTTATGTGAGTACCACTTATCGTGAACAGTTTCATTAAAGCATATAAAGTACACAACAAAAGCATTTGTTTACTTAAAGTAACCCACTAAGGAAGAGATCTGGAGGTCCAAAGATTTCCTAAAACGCGGTGTAAGTTAGACTTCGTTTAAATAACCGAGCCTATATGTCTAAACCATACCGAATATGGCTTCTGCTAACAAACAAGAGCGATGATTTCCGCCTTATTTCTGTGACGCTTGTTCCAGGCTCTCAGATAGTAGGGAAGACGCGAAAGTGAGAGGTACGCAAAAAAAAGGGGGGGCGGCACTTTCTCAATCCCCGCGGACCCGACTATCTCGGAGCCTAACAGGCTACGCCGATCTTAGTGGATCGTCACATATCGGACAGGTCTTTGTGCCACTCTTTGGCGCAGTAGCGGAGCAGCTGTTCATATTATTACAGGATAGCTCTTCATATTTGCATGAGTAACTCATTCGTTCACTTTTCAAATCCCAGAGGTTTTCATTCCGTGTTCTCCGACTTTCCCCTGTGCTCAAATGCCAACAATTGTCCAAATTCCAATTCGATCTAGGAAAGTGTATTCTATTAGTTGGGGACACTTGGTGTAGTACAGGTTTATCAGGTTTTGGAACCGTGAAGTGTTACCATAGTTACCTGGCTCAAGATGTCCTGTTTATCAGACCGATCACAAAACTCCTCTTCTTCCTTTTCCATTTCACGACCAGGTTTTTCCTCTGGCACTATTCAAACCGAAAAAGGAACCACTTGCCATGAACAATACCAGGCAGCCTGTGGCCTCTATTCAAACACCTTTGTCACCTCACGCTAAATTAATGGAGGCCTCATTTTGAACAAGATAGGTCTTCTCGAGGCGTGTGCCTCCGTCCAAGTTGTACACATTCATTCGGAAAAGATAACTCACAAACTCATCAGTTAACATTCAGGGGTTTCAATAACATCTCTTGTAGCCATCAGGCCCCGGTTGTTCAAAGAGCGGATAAGTCCTATCCACTCGCGCCATCTCGGTTGTTCGAAAGATGGATAGCGTTATCCACTCGCTATCCAGCGGATAAATTTATCCATGGTAAAGTAGGTAGTACAAAGTTTTATCCACCGGATAAACGACACAAACATGGCCGGTCGACAGGTGCATCTTTTACAGAGCAACTTGTCGCTAAACCGTCTAAACCAACTTCCCAGAAAAAGGAGAACTTTCCGCCGGCAGCTTGACCCGTTAACGCCGTACACCGACTCCGAGTTAAGATGTCGATATCGTTTAGTTTTCCTTTTTGTGTAGTTCAATAAGACACCAAAGTTCGAGAACGATAACAAAGCTCAATAACAACTACATGAGTTCAGAAAATGACACAAGCATTTTATGTTTGTTTATTAGTTAATGTCAAGGAAGGGGGTTTCCTTTTTGTGTAGTTTAATAAAGACAACAATGTTCAAAACGCGTTTCCTCCGCGCGAAACGTCCCCAGCGACGAAGAGCGAGGAGAAACGGATGTTTTCGCAGGCTAAATAACAACTACATGAGTTCAGAAAATGACACAAGCATTTTATGTTTGTTTATTAGTTAATGTCAAGGAAGGGGGTTTCCTTTTTGTGTAGTTTAATAAAGACAACAATGTTCAAAACGATAATAAAGTTCAATAACAACTACATGAGTTCAGAAAATGACACAAGCATTTTATGGTTGTTTATTAGTTGATGTCAAGGAAGGGGGCCTACTGGGACTGGGAGTGCCGGGCGTCAGTTTTACTTTCACACATTTTTGTATTTTAACATACTCGGACTCTTCGTTATTGACAGATATGTCTATTGACACTGTTCAGTTTTCGCAGTCTTCTGGGCCCGCTCACATTGCTTCATCTTCCTGCTTGCTTAGTTTTGTTCTCCAGCCGATGTAGCTTTGTGGTAATTCCTCAGAAGGCGCGTCTTGGTAAAGTCGCAGTCATTTCATGACCATTAAAATAGCTTTTCTGTTGTACTGCCTCCACTAATATATCCTATAAAGCTCAGCCATTGCTATGGTTTATTGCAGATAGGTTAACAGATTCTCATTTAGTTATTGGTTCAAGAATAGAAATTTGCATATAGGTTGACAGGTTCTCATTTAGTTACTGGCCCAAGAACAGAAATTTGCATGAGAATTATTTTGTTAAGAAGCCTGAAGTTATTAAAGGTTATAAAAATCAAGGACTATAATTTTTTCTAGCCAGTGGGGGAGGCGGGGGGGTTGGAATTAGTTTGTGCTGAAGTTTAGGGAGTCGGTGTGGAAAACATTATTATGCCTGATTTAAGAGATGCTAAACACGCAATTTGGGATTTTAGTGACAATATTGTCTATATTTGTAGAGATGCTAAACATGTAATTCGGGATTTTAGGGACAATATTGTCTATATTTATATATTTTCTATATCTGGACTTTTGTATATTTATTAATTTCTTTTATTTTATTTACTTTTATCTGACCGGTTTCAAAATAGGTGCTTCCTTGAGAGGGAAAACTCTGTTGATGGTGAGGATGCATTGCAGTGTATGATAGTGAGGAATACTTGCTGTGTATGATGGAGGAGGTGCCTGCTAATTGGATATCTGTAAAGATCTAGTACAGAGTGATAGATTTCCCAAAGAGAGTGGTGTAGTGTGGGAAAACGGAGGATGGAAGCGTAGGTGTGGATTACATGGAAAAGGAAAAGTTCATACAGGATGAGAGAAATATGTTTATTAATGTTATTTATATCACTACAGGTCTGACTATGGCCATTTCTACTTGTAAGAACTTTGTACATTACTTTTGTACTGAAGAAAACGATTTGTACATTAAATTTACATATAGTGCATGCTGGTGTATTAATTTCCTTTTGCTCTTCTCCTTTTTTTTATCTTTTTTTACTTTTTGGTTTCTGCTAGAATGTGGCTAGCCAAGCGGTCTAGCTGCCGTGCCATTAGCTGCAGTTGGGCAGCCACCCGCTTGGCTTTCCATTGCTTTCTGTTTTAATCTTTCTTTTTCTTGTAATTCCTTTTCTTTCTTTTCAATTTCTCTCTTCCTTTCTTCTATTTCTATGGCCGCTAGGCAGCTACGTACTTCAATTTCCTCCTCCGGGGACAGCTGTAAAAATGATTAACCCACCTATAATAACCTTTCTACTAATTGTTAATTTATCTTTCCCCTGTCTATATGATAATGAGATATGATGAGCTCATCCTTTTAAACAAAAAGCATCTTATCTCAACAAAATGTTGAAAGCCTTGTCTCATCAGGAGCTCAGAAGGCAATCAAGGAAACAGGTCAGGGAGGGGAGGGAAGGTAAAATTATAGCCGTAGGAGAATGGGGCGGGTTACGGAGATAACCTGTTTCCACACGTTTCGACGCCATTATGGTACCATTTGGCTGAGCCCTACGTGCCTTTTGTTACTTTGGATAACTATCCAGTGGATAGCAGCTTTATCCACAGGATAGGCCTATCCGCTGGATAAAGTTATCCGCTCTTTGAACAACCGGGGCCTGGTTTGAATAGAGTAACCGACTGTATCAACAAGGGGCCGTTAGCCCCCTTTTTCTAGGGGCGTGCTTCCCAACAAAACTTTGAAATTTCAAAGCCTTAAAATACGATTTTCGACGTTCTGAGGACTAAATTTAGGATAAAAGAGCGTGTTTTTATTCAAGAAAATGTAGCTTTCATTCACCTTTCGATTTATCAGTTACAGAATCAATTCTTACAAACAATGAAAAATGATGAAAACTAGATTACCTGCTTTTGCACGTAAACAAATTGCGCGTAAAACTCTGAAAAATTGACTAAAGGATAACGTAAAACCAGTAAACCTTTAGGAAAGCATGTCACAATTACGTTTCATTTAGATTTTACGATATATATTTTGTTTACAACGTTATTCAAACTAGTTACTTTTTCTTTGTGGAAAAAAGTAGCCGACTTCTATGAGCAAAGTAGCCGACGCGTTTCGTCGGCCGTCGGTGCTTATTGAAACCCCTGAGTCATTATAAACTGCTGTCAAAAAAACTTTTGATATTTCCCAACACTCTGCCCAGTGTTCACCACCGCAGCACTCATTTTTAGCCACTTCTTCAGCGGTGTTTCATCAACCTGGTTCCAAAGATAGCTTTCTCATTGGTTGCCTCATTATCAACTCAGGGTGACGTAAAGAAAGGGTAAATGGTTCTGGCAATGAGGCAGAGCGTTTTAATAACCGAGGAAATAATAACTACAAAATAATTTTAAAACAAAGTGTAAACACTCCGAAGACGACACATACCTTGAGAGTTTCCGGTGATGCAATGGAGAACAAATATCGCAACTCTCCTGAATTCTTCGGACTATAGAGACAAGAAAGAAAAGTTGTAAGTGGGATGGGTTTAGCAGTCCTGTCAGAGAGCCGCAGGTTTGTATTGATTTTGAACAAGGCTTCATTGCGTCAACTCTCTCGTCCACTTCTTTTTTTACTGTTCGCCATGACGAGGATCGCGAAATTGGGGTAAACATGTCTACTTGATAACTGCCCTAAAATGTGGGCTGGTGAATAGACGGTCTATTAGCTACAAAAAACAACCTCTTCATCTACAAGGTGGGGGTGGAAGTTCTGTTAATTTTTGTTCTTGGCTGGTTTATATATCCACGAAGGCGCAAACGAAAACCTGCAAAGTGCTGACTGATCCGGTTACATTGAAACAGACCCCCATTTTTAAGAATCTCAGTCGCTTATTTGTTCTCAAAGGCCTCTTTTCTTGTGGCAAAACACTTGACTATCTATTGCCTGACAAGCGTAGGTTTACCCTACCCTTAAAATTGACATGGTACCTGTTCGAGGGTCAGAAGCTCAACTAGCAGATCCACACCTCCCATTTGCCTAAGCTGCTGTTGGTTCCTTTCTGAAAAAACATCATCACATAAGCTATATTATATTTCTCTCCAGGCCAAAAACACCAAGTGTTAGGTAAGCATGTTTCACGTCAAGACCTAAAACTACTTTGTAACAACGGAAAAAAAATTTTCTTTTGGCGAACAAGTATATTACCCACCACTCTGGTCAACGCAGATGGAGAGTGCTAAAACGCACTTAGTTCTGAGCTGTTTAGCAAGTGCACCGTTCACATCTGGACTGAGTTGAGTGATGTGCAGACACTGAAGAAGTAAAGACACCAGTCCAAGATCTGCTGCACTCTCCTGACACATTCCTGGAAAAAAAAAGCTTTTGCTCTTATAGCTGCTATTTGCTACTTTAGACACCGGAAGGAGACTAGACTGAGTCAACTTTCGCAAAGACGTCTGGCACTGTTACTTGGGACATGAAAAAAAACACCAATAGGAACTTTAAGATCACAACGACGCGACGGCAACGAGATCGTCGATTAAAAAGTGAATTTGCGTTCTTTGAGTCTTTATCGCAGTTATTCCAACGCAATTCCTTTGTCAAATGTAGGCGAACCCTCCTGAAGTTGAATTCCAAGGCATCATATCCAAGTTCAGGAAGAGAAAGAAAATTCCGTCGTTGCTTGTTTCATTCTCCATAAAACGCGAATTTAGGCATTTTCACGTCGTAGTCGTGCAAAAACGGCAAGGAAATGTACACAAAAGCGTGTTGCGCGTGCAAAGTTGTTGTTTTGCTTATTAAACTTATTGTTTTTTAGACGTTCTCGTTGCCGTCGCGTCGTTGGGTCTTAAACTCTCTAACAGCTGACCCGCGCGTGCCCAGTAACGATTCCAGAAACAATTGCGAATCGCACTTCGAATCTAGTTCTCTTCTCTTTTGTAAAGTGGCGAGTAGCTAGATTACAGGAATCTATTCCAAAAACATTAAAAAATAATCAAATGAAACATATCATGATTAAAACCCTTCAAAATAGGAAATAACTAGATAGTTGGCTATTTAGAAGCGGGACGGTCAATCTCAAGACTATAGAGAAAAAAATTCCGCTAGCGGAGCATTGAATTGCTCGAAACCCAACTTGCAGACTGGGGGTCTGTCACGTGAACCACTTGGCCAAGCTGTCTCATGAAAATTATTTCAGTGGAACAAATTGCTGCCCTCCTCAATAGCTATAACGTACTTGCAGCGTTACTGACAGGATAGACTTTGTCTTTTAAATAGGAGTTCACTACAGCTAAACCTCTTGGCTGAGTTAGTCAGAAATGCAGGGTTTGAGCTAGGATTTGATCACCGGGGGACAATTTGTCCCCTTGGCTAAATTTTTGGGGGACATTTTCATTTTTAGGGGGACAGAAATTTGTACACCCTTCTGCTGATGCAAAGGGGTTTGTCTTCTTAGCAGGGCTTCTGATAGGTCTCGGAAGAAAAAGTCAAATTTCGCGGGATTTTTAGGGACAAATTCGCGGAAAAATCGGCCGATTGCGCGGGAGTTTTCGGGGCAAACTTCACCGAAAAGCAATCGGTAAAAAACGGCCGATTTTGTGGTTATTTTCAAGGCAAATTTCGCTAGAAATCGATCGGTTTTGCGCTGATCAGACCAGCCTTTTTAACGTTTTTGTAACAGAGCTCATCATTTACTCTTTCAACAACAATACGCTCCAGAAATGAACCAATGGCAAAGCCTTTAACATCATGGCTAGTGCCCAGTTTTTCGCAACATAATCTGTTTGCACGTTTCAGTGACGAAGTTCCAAGATAAATTTGCAAGTTTACGGCAAGTAAATAGCCCCTATAGCTGAAATAAGTTTCAAATATGTTTTACAGACATGTATTTGATAAGATTTCTTCCGAATTTCGCGCTATTTTTCGTGTTTTTGTGAATTTCGCGGCTCCGCGACCGCGCGAAGAATCAGAAGCCCTGTCTTAGATTTCCGACAAAAATAGCAGTACAGTGTGACTGAAGCGTAACTTTGGAATGAACTTTAAAGGTGCGATAAAATATACTTTCCACGTTCTGTTTCAGCTTGCAATTTCTGTACTGAAATAAATCTCTTCGTGTGTGCGTCCTTTCGAGTTTTTTCCCTAAATTTTGAAGGGGACAAATTGTCCCCTTGGCCGTTTTTTAAAGGGACAATTCCAATTGCAGTGCGGGATTGGCGCAATGGCGCGGCCTGGCTCAAACCCTGGAAATGTTTCTTTGTCACCTTAAATGACTTTAAAGGACTACTGCAAGTCATTTCTGCGCCATTATGTGCTGTTCCAAATTTGTTTAGAACTGAATTTCCGCTAATTAGATACACCCACTATTAGGACTGTACGGATAAGCTGTGTCATAGGTTTTCTGCCATGGTTCCAGCTCAGCCTGAGCCTATAAGCATTGCTAAATGTTTTTTAAAGAGCTGCAGTGTCAAGGCTGGCAAGTTCATTTTGTTTATAATGTTAACTACTCGTCCTTAATCGCTATGAAAATTTAGAAATGTATAGTGAATGACAAAATAGCAGCTTTGTGTCAAAAAATATACCTCCCATGCATTGCGTCAAACGTTACAGACACCAAAAAGGAACTTTGAAAAACTGTTTTCAAAAACCACAACTGCAATCCCTTTCGATCTTCCTCAGGTTTGTCCATCAGTGCTTGCTTTCGTATTTACTGTGTTATCCACACATTCTTTTAAAGTTCTGAGCAAATATTTTAATATTTCATTTCACTTGGTGGTAGTTCCCGCAGTTTGAATTTTGATACATTTCGAGACACGGCTCCTTTAACTCTCACTTACCTCTTCTTCAGATTTCTCGTGAATTTAACTAAAAAACACTTTAGCCTGTTTACTTATACAAAATCGCCCACGATATCACTTACCATGTCCTGCTATAGAAGATGCAATGGTGTTAACAACATGCTCCATAATGCAGAAGTCTTGATTATCTGGCTGCTCAAGGCTCACAAACCGTTTAAACACGTTAATCAAGGCCCTCAGTCCACCAACAAGTCGCACCTTGGACTGGCACTCAGCTGAATACACAGAAATACAAGGTTAGATGTTTTGAGCTGTGGGTTTTTTCAATACCAAACCCATGGAAAAATGTTTGTACGGTGAAATATACTATCCACATGGAAATCCAACATTGGGGTACTGATAGAAGATTTAAAAAAAGAAGAACAAACTTGTTTCATGGAATCTTTTTAAACATTCTTAAAAGAAGTTCATTTGGAAAAGCTCACGTGTTTATGGATTTTACTGTTTTTTTGAGAGCCCTCTTATGAAATCCGTCTCCAGGTAACTGTGTCTACACTCCTAAATTGGAGGCTAAAACGTCATCAAAAAAATCTCGTGCAACTTTTCCCTTTTGCTACAGGCTTCTTTTACTCTTTTGATCATGAAGCAAAAGCATCAAGGCTACACTTGCTAAATAATTAAGTTTAACAGTAAGTTTCATTAACTTTGCAAAAAAAAAAAAAAAAAACATTGAAATCTAGTTGAAATTCCTACCATTTTCAGAAACAATGGCTACAATGAGAGTGACTGTGGGTAGAATAACATTTGTCTGAGTTGTTGCCAAGTGTAAAGTATTCACCATCATGGGAAGGAGCCTGCAGCAAAGTCGCTGATTTTGAGCTGTAAATTGAATTATGATAGTATCAAGGCTGTCATTAAGAGCAGGGGGTGGGGCATTTCCCCCCGGCTACTATGAACATGGCCCCAAGTTACTTTCATAGGTAAATAGAAGAAAAATAGAACCAAAAGAAATCCCTAGCTGTTTTATTCCCCATCTACTTGTTGTATTTACCCAGTAATTTGAAATCTTAGTGACTGCCCTGGATAGTAATAATAACTGAATATTATTATTAAAGTGTAATAATTACAAAACGAACACAGCCTCTCTCCTTTTATAGTGTTCTCTATCTCCCCCCTCCCCAACTGGGGTATGCCCTGTAAAGTACTAAGGCACATTTGGAAAATCAATAGCATTCAGTGCTAGGGGTTTCTGCAAAACAATGTCTTTCCATCAAATGGGAGGCAGGCTAGTCTACTGGAAAAGGAATCACAAAAATATATACTCTGATAGATAACTTATTTTCTCACCATTTTGAGGGTTTTGGAGCAGAGAATGTAATGCCACGACAACACTGTTCCAGAGTTTTGCACAATCTTCGTCAACATCATTAAACCACATTTCACTCATGTGACTTGAGGAGGGAGACTTGTGAACTGGAAGACAGCTCCTAATTATGAAAACAACATGTTTATGGCATTTTCAAGAATTAGGAATACAGCTCAAAATCTGAGTTACTGCCATAAGCAGGAAAATTAAACTAAACCACAATATTGTGATGTTTTGACAAAATGGATCTTTTCTAAAACCAAAAGAGCAATAGCTTATAATTATTGTATAACAAAGGATCTTACCTAAATATGTCACACAGACTATGTAAACACTTTGTTTCTCTTGCAAGATTCTGTCCCTGACCTAAAAAGAAATCAAAATATACACTCAAAAATTTAGTAAAAAAACATAGCAAGGCACACAGCTGTGCCCAGGAAAGAACACTCATCTATACAGGAATTTTGAAAGGTAGCTGTAAGTCAGTGGAAAATAAAGTTAATTAAGTCAATGACAGCACTGATATTCGTTACTTAAATTTTGAATAGGATACAGTAACATAAAACCACAACACATTTAATTCTTACAGTTATCAGCACAGATAGTAAGGAGAAGAAAAGCTGAAGTTGTCACAATTGCCCTGTCCTTGGCTTGTAAGTTGGATCGCAACAAGTGAAACACATAATTCTTTGTCATAGCTCTTTGAGAAATATCTGTATGATTGAATATAACAACAATTCACTAGATTAATTATCTCACTAGTTTTTCACTTTGTCATTAATCTGGCGCGGTTGTTCAAACATTGGATATTAGTGTTAATTCCACCGGATAAATCACTATCCACCAGATAAGTAGAAGGGAAACCAATTGCGCTATTCAGTAGATAAAGATTTACCCATGCACTGTTTGAACAACTGGGACAACGGGCCCGTTTCTCAAAAGTCCCAAGTCTGGTAAGCTGTTGCCATTTACATTAAAGATCAAGGTTTCAATAGTTTTACATCAGTCTAAAATGATAAAAACTATCTGTTAATGAAACAAAATGGAGTGTTTTACTAGCCAGGAGCTGCACTCTTATTCCTTATATTTCGACTTGAATATTTGATTTTGGGTCTGACAAGTTACTGGGACTTTCGAGAAACGGGCCCCAGGTGTTGAGTGAGAACCAGATGTTGAGTGAGAAATATTGACAAGAAGGCTGCAGTAAACACTCAGGGTTCAACTGTCATGATACTCTACATTTCTAGGATTTTTAACTTTGATATGACTAGTAGTTGGAGTAGTCCTGCTATTCAACATCCACTATATGGTTGAAATGGATTGATAGAGTTGCTTTTAAAAAAGGTTACTTCACCACAAGTCTTTATGGCAGTGATCCTTCCAGGCAGAGATTCAGGTTTAAAAAATGAGAGTGCATGGTAGCCAATTATTGCAAGTTGCAGGCAGAGGTGGGTTAATGCTGTTGTTCAAATTTATCCTTGGTGAAATTTTATTTCCCTTGTGTTTGGGGGATAAAATTGAACCACAACAGGTATATTGGGTGGTATGTTCCTTGAAAAAGTTAACCTTTTTATTTTCAAAAATTAGACTGGATTCATATCTGCTTCATTTGAGAGCTTTAAACACTGGCAAAACAGGCCTGTCCATGCATGGTCACTATTGCCTAGGTGACGAACATCTGTCTACATGTTTAATACATATTTCATAATAACGGTATAATGAACCCCACGTTTTTTCAATGTTCTCCTATAAATAATTGAATGAATGACTGTTTTACAACTAAAACCTGAAACTCACCATTTCCTTCTGTAGCCATTGCTAAAGTATACAATGTCGCCTGGCATACAGCAGGAGTCTTTGTGGCCTTACAAAGGCTCAGCAAGTATTCCAAGCCACTTGACAAACAAAAATAGTCTTGAGCTCTTCCTAGAGTTAGGATATAACAATTGATCGGAATTAAAACAAAATATACCCTTCATTTCAGTAAGGTTCATTATTTTGCTATAAATGAATGAGCTTAGATTTACTATACCTTTTAAAACTACTCAGTATTATTATGAACCAAGCACTGGAAAATAATTTACAACCAGTTTCTCCACTTACAAGAAGCTCAAGATGTTTTTCCTTTCAATCACAACATAGCTTCATCACAGACAATTTTGTTTCTTGAGAGCTGATGCAAAACTGGAATGAGTTTAAACCTGAAATTTTTCAAGCTGATAGCATTTGGCTAAGTCAATACTTACAGTGTTCTTAGAGATGAAATGATACTTTTCAACTTAAGTGTAAAAAGTTCACTGCTTACGTTTTTTTCGCTACAAGAAATGCACATGAGCTTTATGTACTGCAAAAAAGAAGAACACTTGTCAAACGGAAACGACTCACTGTTTTGAGAGAGGATGTCAGCTAAAGCTCTCAAAGCCTGCTGCTGTTGAGAAGGATCATCTTCTTGATATCTCAGAGCTTCTTGTAAAAGTTTTACATCCTCGATGTCCTTTTCCAACTCGGATTGACTACAAGTGTCCATTTCAAAAATTAATGAAATTGGATCCTTGCCTCTTTGACATGTCTTTGAGGTAGGCTTACATATCAAGCTTCAAGAAAACGTGAATCCTTAAGAGGAATCGATCGAAACCGATTTAAAGAACTATAAGAAGAAGCCTCCTCAAGGGAAAAAATTACTGCAGAGATATGGTTAATGAGGAAAAAAGTATCAGCAAAGTGAGAAAACGAAGTCTTTCCTGGCGAAGTCACTGGCGAAAAATGTCTACGCATGAGCAGCGACGTAAATCACGTGGTCGATTTCCGGCAAAGTCATCGGCTTAGAGGCAAAATCCCCGCGAAACATTGTCAAGATGAAAGAAGAAATGGCAGGTCTTTTTTTTGTCGGTGGTAGTGTTGTTGTTTTGTTGCCACTGCGAGAGATCGAAAATTATTTTGGTCGAAATTTTTAGTGATATGTGTTGTCTAGTAGCTAGATAATGCATCCTGAACTGTCAGACAAACACACTGGCTCGATCCATTTATCCGAGATCGGCGTTGCAATCGCTCGATGCGAGGAGAGGACATGCTAAAAAGGTGGGTAATTTTCTCCTTTTATGTTTTAGTGCAAGTTTCGTGCAACTCGGTAGCAGTGGAAGAAAAATTCTTGGGCTTTGTTTTGGTATATGAATTAGCGTGTACTGAGTTGCACGGAAGCGGCAGTTTTGTAAAACGCGTAAACCCTTTTTGTGCTATAAATCGACCATCCTCGGAGACTCAGGGGCTGATAAAGGGGGCGAGGGGAAGTCTAAACGTTACGGTTCAGGGGTAATAAACCTTTGCAGCATTCCCTTGAGCAAAGACGCCATTTGAGGCTTGGTTCGGCAACATTGAGGTCACAAAATTCATTAGTGTTCACCTTAGACGAAATACAGTGTTTTGTGCGAAATTGTGCTCGACCTGATTCCACTTTGTTTGCTCACTAAGGTGGAATGTGGAATAGGCATATGACTGCTGTCCCTTCTGTCCACCTTAGATATCAAGATACCAAACTTAGGACGGGCTTATCACACCAAAGAAACCTCAATAAACAATACAAGAACAGCATAACAATCATTAAATTACAGTTTACTAAAAAGAGATATAAATTTAAGAAATTACCGTTATCTAAAACGAAACAGAAAGAACAAACTTCGTTTAGAAAGTAAAAGATGCCTTAAGCTAGGTAAAAAGCTTAATATATCTTTGAAAGTTATCGACACTTTTGATCTGTTATCCGCTTGGAAATACAAAGCTATTTCTTGCCGAATAAAATGTCTCTGCTACTACAAAGCAATAAGCCCAAAATAACATTGAGCATTTGAAGTTATTAATTAACTTGGTCTTTCTTTCAATTCTTGCACGGGCCTCGTGATACACTCGTGTCCTCTTGATACACTTGTGTCCTCGTGATACACCCGTGTCCACGAGATACACTGGTGTCCTCGTGATACACTCGTGTCTCGGTTCATTCTTGTTTTCAAATTGTTTCACTTGCCACTGAACTGGGCGGGGGTGGTTTCTCATTGGCTGGGAGCACTGTGACGTTACCGATGACTTAATTCGTATTTATACGTCGTTTGTTTTGTGTCGTTCCACTTGAGTCTAGTTTCACCTAAACAGTCGAGAAAAGCGCTTCGATGCTTTCCAAACAGCATCTTGGTTGGAAGATCTGAAAAGAACAACATACAAACTGGAAATGTTGCGGAAATTAGGAACCTAAATTACCCAGACCGTCTTTAGCGGAAGAACATGTAAGAAGTTTCAATGCTGCTGTCTTTACACAGGAACACAACGTTTCACTTTTACTTGCGAAAAGAAGAAAAAACATCCTTTTAAACCAAAACCTAAAATCACTTGGAATACATATCACAAACTAAGACAAAGCATTTCTCACTACAAAAAAAAAGAAGAAGAAAAAAAAAACGGAAACAAAAAACCCTCCATGGAAAGGAGGGAGCGTTTTCGTTTGCGCATTCAATCATTTCTCGCTGTTATTATCATCACCATTGATAATGATGACTAGAGCAGGATTTGATCCCGCGGAAAAAGAGTTCAAATCTGGCACCCTAAACCTCTCCCGTACATAGCATTCCTATCTTTACTTCTTCAACGTTATGATTAGAATCCATTATAACTTCCATGTACTATAGTCCGTCAATAATAGGCTTATAGGCAGAGCAGATCCCGGCTCATGAAGCTACCCACCTAATAATGGCTTGATGAAACTCTTGGAGCTGCTGAGGTGTGGCTATAACACTGCCTGGTACAATCTGGGTTTGAATTGACTGCAAAGACAGTTCAACCCATTTGGATGTCTCCTGTGTAGCACAAAAAAATAATAACAAAAAAAGTTCAGTGTTACTGACACCTAAGAGAGTTTATAGGAGACATGATTTCAGCTTTGACAGTTGTATTAAATTATTCAAGGAAAAATTAAAACAACCGACATTTAGATAGGATTTATGTAAGCTATAATGTTTCAAATTTTCTCAACTGTTAGTTTACAGAATGAGTCAGCTTTAGCGAGGACACCTAGTTTAATTAACCAGCTTTCTCATGTGTTTCGCTCCAGTAAGTATGTGAACTAATATATCAGGTTCTTTGAAAAAGAATTCGGGGGTGTTAGAAAATTCCCACTAACTGAAACGTCTTTGAAAAAAGGTCTGTAGCAGGTTGCAATACGGAAACCAACATTCGATGAATATCATTGACTGACCATAATTCAAACGATCGCAAGACTATTGTTAACATAAACTCCACATTAAAGGAGTTTGGGACCAAAGATTAATGGAATGTCGTAATTACAAGTTTACCTCTCTACAGAAGGTGATGAATTCCCACAGCACTTCAGCTACGTCTAACACCATGTATGATGGTAATGCTCCTGCGCAAGCCTGAATCAGACCTTAAAACAGAAATTCGGACGTCATGTTAAATATGTCAATAATGGGAGCAAGAAAAAAAGGGAAGTTCACGAATTGTTATTGTGACTTACTACGTAGCTTTACGTATTGCGTTACTTTAACTTGTTTAATAGTAAATGCAACGTAAGACGAGAGAGACCTTGTTACTAGAACGTGTTGACTGAAAGATACAGAAAACAAATTCAGACTGAAAAGACTAAAAAGGATTGTACACGCAAAAATTTCGGAAGACCATATAACAAAGAAAAAATAGAGCTTCAAAACTCCTTTATACAAGTGGTCCTTCGAGCTGGATGATCAGGCTTGAAGCTGACATGATTATGAACAGGTAAACGAAGGCAGAGCAGCCTCTTACCATTTATAATGTTCTGACCATGTACAGCGAGTATCTGCTGCACTAATGAAACTCTCTCTTGAAAATCATTTCGTGACTAAAGAAAAGAGTAAACAAAATTCCGTGAGTTCCAAGCTCTGAGCGCCTGGTGTTTCAGCACTGAGCAAATGGAATCACTTCTGGCTATAAGTGTGTTGTGGTCTCATTCGCTCAGACGCCTTTCAAGCTAATCCAGTTAGGCCAACCACATGCTGATATGCTTAAGCATAAAACATAATCAACAGTTAAAATTACATCTCTACTCAATAAAGCATTTACTATTGAATGGTCTCACGCCAGTTTCTAAAAAGAGCAAACCCCATGGTATGGACGAGATGTAGGCTCCCACGCAGACCTTCTTTGGGCTTCGTAACCCTTCCTAAGCCTTCAGAACGTGTGCGTGGGAGGCTAGACGAGAAGACGACTGAATGCATTGCAAACTACAGAATATACGATACAAACGATCAGTTGTACACTTAATAAAAAAGCCGCGAGTTAAAACCAGCATTTTCCCAAGTTACCCGCAACACGTTCTTACATAAATGGTAATAGGCAGAAATTAAGCTATGTAGGTTCTTAGAGAGGTTCTTATTTTCTGAAAGAAAAAAATTAAAGGATGCATTCCTAATCTGCGTCTCTCATGAAACTTTTCTCAATAACGGACGCACTTTTATCCGCGTTGAAGACTTTTCAGGGACTTTTTCTCGGCTAGGAACTAGCATCTATGTTTTGCGTCAGTGGTTTAGCCTCATTTGCACAAAATTCACGTGAATAGTCCAGTGTAATCACTATCGGACTCCCTTAATTTGCAATTACTACTAGTTCCTTCTGTAAAACAACAACAAGCAAACATTTTATTTGCCAAATTAACAAACGTTTACGAAAAACGAGAATTGATTAACATAAATTAGGCAAAAGACTACTCAGAATAGCAAAAAACTAAACGAGCTGAGTAGTTCCATACTATTACACTGCAGTTGGAGTGATAAGACACCTCTAAAGAGGATTCAGAATGTTGACTTATCTTATTTGCCCAAGCGTACAGGATTTTTTTTGTAGATTTTAGAAAATAAGACCCTGTTTCACATTTTAGGCTTAACAGGTTCTTGTATAGCGGCGGATAAAGTGGCAAATTTTAACCTAACAGGTTCTTAACCCTATAAACTCTAAGATCAAAATTTGAATTCTCATTTGTTGGTTCCTAGTGGGGAGAAGTTGATAAAATATTTTCATCTGTGATCATGTCCCTCATGAACCCTGTTTTACAAAGCTTTGACCATGCTGATCACTCTTAGGGCTTAAAGGGTTAAAAATCAGGTTCCTAGTCGCGGGATTTTACTGTATACCCCTCATACCAAGACCAGAGTGTTGTGAGACACAAAAAGGCCAGAGAGAGAAGTAAAATCTTTGTCTAACCTTCTCCGTTGCACAGCTGACAAGGCATTTGAGGAACTTCATTACAGATAAGTTGGCGTCTCTGTGTTCGATTATACTCGCAACAACAGCGCAGTGAATTGAAGGGATGGCAATATCACACTTGAGAAACGAAACAGGAAACTTCTGAAGACATCTGAAGGGAAAAGCAAGATGCAAAAACTTATATCGATCAACTGAAAGGCTTTTTTTAAAATTCGCTGCCGATGTCAGTAACTATAACAATGATGATGATGATGATGATGATGATGATGATGATGATGATGATGATGATGACGATGATGACGATGATGACGATCGATGATGATGATGGTAAAGACGCTTCAATCGTCAATGAAGATAATATCGGTAGAACAACCAACCTATCGGCCGGGTGAAGAATTTAAACATACTTGAAAGAAAGGAGATTTCCCTGAAGCTCGAAAACCTGGCACTCATAACTAAAACACGAGCTTATCTTACCTGCTGCAAAGTCTAAACAAATCATCTATGGTGTCTGGATGTTCAATCATTCCTTTCTCTTGACTTAACAACTGAAATGCTGGTACACAAAAAGCCTGAAAGAAATTCAGTGGGAACCAAGGATGAAGGAGATTAGACGAACATGATCATAAAGCTACTTTCAAAATTTTCAACATTTCGAGTTTTCTCTCAGAGGGTAAACAAGTACAAGGGACAACTTATTGTTACAAGGAAAAATTGACACCTCAATCAACTGTCTGAAGAGCGATGACATAGCGAAATCCATGGACAAAGACGGGCGCGATCAGGAGTAGAACTGCTGTCCGGTATGGTGAAAAGAGAGAGTATTAAGCAAAGACTCCAGTTTAAGGACACAAAGGGATGGTGGGGTCAGGGTCAGAAACGACGCAATAGAACCAGTCACGCTATCGACTGGAAACAGTTTCTGCGAGTAGCTAGCGTTTTGCAACCACAACCATCTGTTGTTTAGACTACTCAGCCTACAGATCTTTTATATATTGCTAATCGGTTATACCACGGAAATATACATACCACAGTCATATCAACAAGTCCAGAGATACATCCGACTTCCTCACCATACTCATCTACCAATATACTGCCCAGGTACAGAAAGCACGAGTGGGGATTGGTACCGTAAATACTGACCATCTAGTTAGAGAATAAAAGGAAATTAAAGTTAATCTTATTCTTCGTTGTCTGGCAATAACGGCAAACTTTGACACATCTTAAGGGATCTCGTCCTTCGCAAAGATATGGTTGATTTGACCAATTGCTTACTGACCAAACAGACGAATCTTCTTTTACATTTTTGCCTCATTAGCATATGCCTTTTCTTTCTCTGATCACGCTCCTAAAATAAACCAGTTCTAGTTTTTAAACAATTAGAGCTATCCTAGCTACCTTTCCAAAAAGCTTTAAAAAATCTCGATTAGCAGTGTCCTGGTAATATATCTAGCTAGCAAATTTCTCTAGTTCCACAGCTTTGAAGTGCAATAGCGCCTAAATTGCTTTTCTGCTTGCAGAAAGTGGGACACTGATATGCCCTCACTTTTTGAAGACACAGGGTTGTATGATTTCTAAGAACAACACCTTACCTGTGAAACCAATGGAGACAGCAGGTTTATAGCGGCTTTACCAAGGCAGCGGACAGCGAATCGTATGCATCTGCATGTCATAAGAGGAAAAAGGGGATTACAATTAGCCTCAAACGCAGACGTTCTTAGAGCTTTGTCACGCATTCCTTCGTGGGGAAAGAAAGCGTGACGAGGCAAAAGAACGTCTGGCTGGGAGGCTGGGTAACACTAATTAAGGAGGTGTTATGAGGAAATTTCAAAATGGAAGTAAATGGAACACCAAGGTTTCATACCTGCAGCATCTCTCAATAATCTTTATGTCAGCGCGATATTTATCACAAATATTGGAGAGTATAGGCCAAACCTAAAACATCAAGTATTATTAATATTAATATTAATATTACCATCAATATGTTCTCGTCAGGTTTTCACGCTTTCCATCCATTGTAGCCGGGTCCAAGCAGTGGACTTGGGGCGTTATAGGAGAAGAAGTTGCTTCAGCGACAGTATTTTCCTTAGTATGTGGGCTGTTCCAAGCATTTTTATTTTCTGGATTTCACTGGTGCTAATGCTACCCGGGATTCTACTAGTGACCTTGTCTAGTCCATTCTTAATTAGACCTAGGGCTCCAACGACCACTGGTATTGTTTCCGTTCTCATATCCCACATCCAAATCTTTGTACTTGGAAAACTTCTCTGTGAATTTTGCTGAGGTGTTACTTTCAGATGGAACTGCTATGTCACTGAGCAAGCACCTTCTTTCTTTGCCTTGAGAAAATCTCCTACTCGTAGTTGTCGTCGTCTTAGAATCTTAACGTCTCTTTTCTCTAGACACTTAGAAAAGTTCTTATAGTACAAATAATAAAACTTTGTTTTGTTTTGGGAACTTACCTCCTCTACGACCACAACGGCTGGATGAACTTTACCATTGTCTACTTTAGGATTTAAATATCTGCAACAAATTGAACCAGTAACTAGATAATTCAAACACTTTTAATTTTCAATAACATTCCACAATGAGAATGGGTTTATTTTGTTTCAAGTTAAGACATGTTTTATTCCGTTTTGCCGACGCTTTCAGTGTCTAGGAGCTTGCTTCTTTGGGGACTGGAACCAGAAGTTATTCAATTAAGGGGCGCTCTGGGGGCGGGGCAGGAAAAAGAGAGAGAAATGATGATTGTCGGAGATGACATTAGAAATGACGTCATTACCCTTGGCACGTGTTTTTCAATGTTTGTTTACATTCGCGCTCGTTTCCGCTTCAAACTGATTGGCAGAAATCTGACAGCTCAGTCGACGGGGAGCCACAGGGGAATTGGAGGTGGAATTCAAATTCCAGAGACGTAGTTCCAAGCTCTCCTTCCTTTGCCCGCCCCGCCGCCACAGCGCCCCGGAGAGCTTGCTCGCATGAGAAAGGCGGTTTCCCGGCTCGGATGATAAAATACGAGTACTCCGGATACGGGTTAAATCTAAGACCTTCAGGTTACCAGTCCAGATGCTCTACCACTAAGCTACATGAGACTCGTGGGAGCTAACGCCACAAACATCCTGCACACAGTGCTCGGACAAGAATTTCGATATGTCCTCATACGCAGTGATCGAGATGTGATGGTGAATTTTGAGCCTTGAAAACATGAGAAAAATATTTTTTCAGTTAGTGGCACACGCAGCTTAGAAAAGAGTCGAACTTATGACCTTTACGTTACTAGTGCAGATCCTCTACCGCTAAGCACTACCATTTCCATTCTTACCTGAATGTTGCTGCAAGTCTGTCAAGCCACAGAGTGGGGTCTGGGTAGGAATTACCAGGGGCTGATAAAATCTTCAAGGGAAAAGACTTTGCATCACTAACAACGTTATTGAAATGAAAAGAAAGCATTTGAATTCCAAGCATAAGGATTTAAAATACACATCCTGTAATCCTCAGAGTCTAAGCGACCTCGCTCCTTTTCTGCTGAGTTAAAAACACACAATTTTTGCTGATATACTGTATTTTTCCCTCTAAGGCCGGAGGGATTTCCACTGTCGCGTTATTTTTACGTGCGAACGTGCGTAAATATAAATGGAGGCAATGCATCAAAGGTCGCACGTAAACGTACAAGTTGATCCTCGCTCAAATTTTACGGTCATGCAGGACACTTCATACATTGCCTCTATTTCATTTACGCGCGAAAAACGTGTGCGCCTACACACGTTAAAATTACGCGACAGTAGAAATCCACCTTAACTCATCGTTACAGGGAACAAAGAAAAAGGCACTACCTGATGGATACGAACATGATTTCCTATGCAGGCTGTCTGGAGGCTCGAACTCCTGTCATGTACAAATTTGTAACAATTTACCTGTTTAAGTGATGCTATGTGTATTCCACATATATACTGTAAACCTTCTGAGAGCTTCTCTGTCGATTCAACTGCCTCAAGTACTTTACAAACGCCTGAAGCAAATGACAACGAGGAAAATTAGTACACAAGCCTTCAATTACAATTAAAATTTCTTTAGCTGTTTATAGTTACCTCTTTGGTATAATTGACATGTAAGACCGACATGTCCCTAAAACGGTCGAGTAGAGTTCTGTCATACTTGGGACATTTTCTTTGATCTTTTATAAGATGGAAAGCCTGCATGGTAGGCACTTGAAGCGAAGGGGAAAGGGGGAATAAAAGCGCGCGAGAACGCGATAGGCGCGCGCGGAAGAGGGAAAGACGTCCGTTATGTACTCGCCCGCGCGCATTAATTAATCCAGTTTCCCTTCCTCTTCAAACGCCTCCTAGCCTGCGGACACAGACTTATTTCCGGTCGTCGTTTCTCTCCGAGGACCGGAGGTGCGTCTGCGTCCGCAGACTAAGCACCCCCACACACCCTTTAAAATAGACACCTCTCTAAAATACAGGTATTCTTCCTGTGATTTTTGAGTCATTTTCTTTGACACTTTATTAACAGAGATAACTGTCTAAAACGTACGTCTGTTACGACTTTGACATTTCAGTTTCATATTCTAAGACCAACCGACAACAGTTGCAACTTGGGGTCAATTTACTTTTACAAGTGTAATTTACAAGTGTAGCCATTGTTTTCGGACCCTAAAACAAAAGCTACACTTGGAAATTACACTTTATTTTAGTTTTATTAAATTGACGCCTGAATATGGGTGACCTAGTCGAGTTAAGACGATGACCGAAGCACTCAACACTAATTGATTGTTCTCTAACACTTTTTGAGAGACAGTTACCTTTGAGAAATCCAATGTACGATTCATGCGAGATGGAGAGAGAATCTGCTGCAACCACTACCTAAAGAACAGTGAAGAGAATTGAACATAAAAAATAAAAACAGGTTGCGTAATAACACGACTTAGTTTGTTAAATGGTCATCAAGCTTTGCGTTCAGAATACTCTTCAATTAATTGTACCAAAATATTTTATACATATAGTAAAAGAGAAGGGGAAAACGGGCAGGATACTGGGAACGAACGCAGACTGGGGTTTAAAAAACGTGACTTTCGAGTCACGTCATGAGGTCAACGAAAATGGACCAATCGAAATTCACGGTGGTTGTTTTGTTTTGTTTTCATCTCTTCCTTTTTTTTCCTTCTCTGCTATCTCCACTTTATTTCTTTTTTAAATTCTAATTCTGAAGGGACGGGAAAATAAAAAACAACGTACATTTACTTGTTGTTTCACTTGAACTAGCGATGAATAAAAGATACGTTTTTTTTAGAGTAGAGTAGAGTAGAGTTGTTTATTCAGAACCCATAGCAGCTAGGAGCTGGATAACAGGATCGTGCGCAAATTACACATAATAAACATTTATCTTATGACAAAAAATCTAAATATTTCACAGATACAAATTCTGACAATCTTTTTGTCTTACACATTTTGTCATTATAGTTCCGGCAGCTTCGTAACGACTCAGAGTACAAGTGAACGGTAGTTACCCTTCCACTCATGGCAAGGCCAAACACAGGGTTGGATGGTTGTAAATTACCCATAAATGATTCGCAAGCGGCAGGCCTACGGTCTTCTAAAGATGGCAGGCCACTTAGTATCAATGCCTCGTCATAATGTAAATTCGGAAGAATTATCCTAAGGGGGCGCTTTTGAATTCCCTCCAACCCATCAGACAGATACTTTGGCAGATTCGCGAATACAGCCGAGGCGTATTCAATTACTGATCGTATAAGAGAGCAATATACTGTGATTAGGTCTGATGTCGGCACGCCGCACTTCTTTAGAGTTTTAAGTGCATAGAGGCGACGATTGGCTTTTTTGATTATGTAGTCACAGTAAACACCCAAGTCAAATCCTCGAAATATATACTCGGAGAAGTTTAAAGGATTTGACGCGCTCGATAACAACTCCGCCTGTACAGATGGGGCGCCAGGTGCAACTACTATAATCAAGAAAGTCAATCGTCATGGCTTTGCATTTAGCTGGATTAAGGCGCATGTTGTTGCGGTGAGAAAAGCACTGGATATCATCCACACTACAATTCAAATATGATGGAGAGTTTGTAGGGATGATTTCTAGAATTGTCAGATCATCCACGTACTTTGCGCGCTTAGGCCATGTGCTCACTAGGTCGTTGACCATAACAGAGAACAGTACAGGCCCCAGTTTAGTTCCTTGGGGAATACCAAGGGAGCGGATATTAGAAGAATCGGAGCCTATGCGAACTGACTGTGAACGACCTTGGAGGAAAGCAGCAATCCACCTTACAAGGCTAGGTTGTAAGTTACAAGAGTGTAATTTACTCAAAAGAATGGTATGGTCTATAAGGTCAAACTCTTGTTTTTTAGAGATGTTCGTTACCTGCGCTAATACATCGAAATACTTTGTCATCTGTGAGTAACACGACATACAGATGCTCGATATGGCTAAGGCTGTGATTGAAGATATTTTGGGATCTTGAATATTGGATAATAGAAAGCGAAGAACAGGATCTGCAAAATAGAACACAGATCATGAATTAAGGGAAGGGCCAGGCTGCATTCAAAACCTATTTCACAATTAAAAGTGTTTTGTTTTGGCAAGAGTTTAAAGTGTACAGAATAATGGTTTAAAAAACCGTCCTACATGTATTGTAAGTCGACCGTGAATACACTACAAGTAGTGTCACTTTTCTTCAGATTTTAATAGTGACGATAGTGCACCAGTGCGAGCATCGAAAAAGGCAAAAAATGGGGGTGGCAGCCTCTCCCGTCTCGCGCCTTCAGTCACGCGTGTGGCCATTTTCGTGTCTCGCGCGTTTCGTTGCTAAGAAAAAAGAGAGACTGCTGGTGGTCTAGAACGTGCACCTGACTATTTTATACTGATTAGAAAAATCGTATACGAGGCTGTAATACGTAACAGAAGGTTTACATACCAAGGTATTGTGGGTGTTCATGTATCCATTCTGCCAGTTCACCAACAAGTTTAATGCTGCTATGTCTGACAGCAACATGACAGGTTGATGGGAGATTTAACACCATTGGCAAGAAATGACCAACCACCTCAGACTCGCTACGAAAGCAAAATTGCCTGGTCGTTAGTCCAAGTTAGTAAATGAATTTGTAAGAAACGTCAGTTAAATAGAGCAATTTTCGTAAGACCTTAAAACTAAAACGCGCGAACAAAACAGAAACAACAAACGAACAGAATAGAGCGATTTGATTGGTTTATTGAACGGATACAAACGCGCGTGGCTTTTGGTTGGTTAAAGGAACGCTCGCTTTGACGTCATACTGCAACACGATTGGCCAATCGAACAATGCCCTTTCCATATTAGGGTTTTCTTTGGTGGGAAAACGAAGAGTCCATCTTCTGATCTTTTCATCCATTGGCTAATAAAACAAATAGCGAACACTAACCGAAACCATTTTTCAAGGTCATACGAAAAATCGCTCTGCGTATATAATTTGCGTACAATTTTAAACAACTGCAAAGTGTTCTCTCAGGGCCGAATAAGTCTGTCTTAATAGGCCAGAATAGCACCAGTACTCCAGCCAGCCAGTAGGCCTTCCAGAATTTCACATAGGACATGAAGTTTGAACAAGGATAGTATAGACGTGCAAAAAGACAAAAAAAAGAAGGCAGTTGAGAACAGCGTGACATGTGAATGTAAGTAACCTTCAGTACAAATTGTTTTGCTGTGGTTGTTGTTACCTGTATCGCTGTCAAAACAATAGATTTCTTCATCCCTTCTCCTGTCTGGCATCCAGGCCTTCACAAAGAATACTTTACAAAACATTTTCAGAAGTATTCAGGTACTTACTCTGAAACATTTCTTGCCACTGTTGACATCACAAACAAGATGGCCTCCGTTATTTCCCAAGGTATTTTGTCTCCTTGCTGGGCGAGGCTATTGTACATCTAGTAAGAAAAGTTATTTTTAACCGAATTAAACTTATTAAACCGTTCACAATTAACATTAAAATAATGGTTCATATTACAATACTTTAAGTAAAATACACTGTAGGAAACAACTATATTTAAAAAAGTTTATCATAGGAACTTGGATAGGAACTATGTAAGTAATTGTTATCAAAAAAAAATGCAAACCTGGCTGAAACAGTTGGTTGATCCTATAATAAACACACAATCATTGATGAGGTCTGCAACTCTGAGACGAAACTCTCCAAACTCATCACTGTCGTCTGGGATACCTTGCTGTAGAGAGATTCATGTGATAACAGAAATTTAAGTAAAAAAGGTTCTAAATAATGGTATTTTGTTATAAGTTTGCCATAATGAGTTTTTGCCTGGCACAAAATATATATTTTTAAAACATGTACATTTACATTACAGTAAAAAACAGGCAGTCTAGCCAGGAATGCCAACTTTCATAGAGGACAGAATACATTTTGGGGAAATAAACTTTGAACATTTCAGCATATTATGTTTTCTCACCCCAATGACAAAGCTTTTAAAAAAATGTTTTATCTCTAGAAAGCTGTTTGCCTTTTTGTTTGTTTTTATACTACTTGAGTTAAAAGTATGCTACAGAGCATCTGACTTTGAAACAAACTTACAGATCTTTGTCCAAGTAATCTTGGACATGTGCGTACCATGTTAGAGATAAGTACAAATGTGTACAAGCTTGAACTTACAGCATCACTATCCAGTCGACAGTGGACACAGAGAGCTTCAATAAGAGTCTGAAAGTACTGTCTAAAAATAGCTGTCTTGGCGTCATTCCGTGCCTTGAAAAGAGCTTCTGACAAGCGATACCAGAAATTGAAGGTTACCTCCGCAACCTTAAAAACAACAGGCCATAACATTTACAAGTCTTTGAAGTAATGGCAAAGTTTTAAAAGGTAAAATATGAAGTTAAACTGAATTTTTTTTCAAGATATGGTGCAGGATGGGGGGTAGAGAGGGGGGGGGGTCAGTAGCCTTCCATGGAGTTGAGGATCCTGATATGGCTCATTTCTTGAAAAACACATTTTTAAAATGATAATGCAGTTGACTCCCAATAACTCAAATCCTCTCTATAAACTCGAACTTTGCGCTAGCTCAAACCAAAGTCGCTTTCCCTTGGATTTCCTTCATACATTCACTGAAATTTTACCCTCAGTAACTCAAACCCTCGATATCTCAAACCTATCCTTAACTCAAAGTAATTTTTGTTTCCCTTGAGATCATTTCAATATAATTTTACCCTTGATAACTCAAACCATGCTTTAAGCGCATGGCAAGTTGGAAAAAAAAACAATGTACTGAAGTCCAAAACATTGAATTCATTTCAAAACAATCATGTCAGTTCTTTGTCTTTCCTTTTTTTTGTCACTGCAGTTCAAATTCAGTGTCCATCACTATATAGTAATCAAGCTTTGTTGCTTAATTACTTGTTCAAAATATCAATCTTTATTTTTTGCTGTCTTTGAAGTGAAGTGTGCATGATACTTGCATTCCCTCCACATCCATTTTCTTATTTCCTTATTTCCAGTTGCACTTCATAAATGTCACCTCAATATAACAATGCTTTGCCTTTATTGCTTCACTCGGTCAACAGATCTCATCTCCATTTTTTCGTGCAATGTATCATGTACTGCAACCCTATGGGTCTTGCACAATCTGTCATTATTTGCTTTGAACTCCTGATAACTCGAACCTTTTTCGATTTATTTTACTAATTTATTATCATTACCTCATACTGATGGTGTTTGACACAAGTAAGAAGGATGGTGAGTGTTCTCAAGTCTCCCAGGCCCTATAGTGCAAAGAAGAGTTTTAATCATAAGATCAATGACTAAAGAAAAACATCTCTTGTCCACCTTTTCCAAAAAAGAATCAACAATTCTCTGAACAAACTAAATGTGAATGCTACTCATGACTATTGTGCATTAAGTAAATGCATGAATACATGCTAGAAACAAACTAGACAATTCCATTTCTCTATATGATCAAGATAAAGCAAAGTGAAGAACATGTGAATTAATAATAACAAGATGAAGAAACAACAAAGGATCATTTACCTTTCCAGGTGATTCTACCATCACATGTAAATAGGATTCTCCCATTTCAGTGAAAATTCTACACAGGTTAAGAGCTCTGTCAACAGAAAAGAAGTAAAACCAAAAATTATTACAAATTCCAAAAACATAACTTATCATTTAAGGGTTCTTGGAGCCTCAGAAAACATAGAAGGAAATATTTTCATTTTGCAAAAATCCCCACCAACATTAGCTAGTTGAGCTCAGAGACATTAGCCAGTGGCAGATCCAGGGGGGGGGGCCACCCCCCTTATTTTTAGAGCAAACTGAGGCCCTGGATGACCAGCCCCTGCCCCCCCTCCCCTGCTCCCATTATTTCAAGGTCTGGATCCGGCACTGTTAGCGGCATCGCTTCTCTGCAAAATGTGGGAATAAAAAAGACTTCATGTTGTGTTCTGTTTCAGTTTTATCACCTTAGTTGTCGGAGCCTCTAATATATTATTTAATTAAACAAGGGGCCAATAAACCAGTTACCTATCAAAGTCCTCACTGTTGACAGCTTTCTCATAAGCTGGTGGCAGCATCATAACATATTTAAACAGACCTTCAGCTAGTGGTTGCTGCTTGTCAAGGTTCTGAGCAAAAAAGAAAAAAAAAAAAAGATTAAAACACATAAGCAAAGGAGCAGCGTCCTGTAGAATTGAGCTCGTTGGACTTGTAATTTGCTTTCATTCGGTCTTGGGTGTCCCAGGTTCATGTAACACTCTGGTTCCTAGCTGGATTTGTCTTTCAGTTTTCCTGACTCAAAATTCTGAGTCACCCTTGTAAAATAGCCAATTGGTTGCCTCCTGCCAGTAGAGGTTTTCAAACCTGTTATGTTATGTTTGTACTATTTGTCTGAGATCACTTAAGAGCTATTAAGAGCAGCTAAAAGCACTTCCATTATAAAAACTTTAAGCAAAGAGTAAAGCATTTTCCTAAAAAAGGATGGAATTAATATCCTTTACCTTAACAACAATCCCTTTATGCAGTGCGCATTATTGTACTTGCCAACGATTAAATAATGAAATGGACTGTACAGCTATACATGTACATTGGATATTTCTCTTTTGAGGGAGGAAAGCAGTTGAAATTTCTTTTGTTATTTGTCTTAGACTCATACATAACCAAGTCTTATGATACGAAATTACAAGAAATTAATATTAGTATGAAAAAATTCAAACTAACTTCAAACAAAGTTTATTTCTTTGTTGTAATTGGGGACCATTAAGACACATGCACACACACTTACCTCTGAAGTAAAAAGAGCATTGCAAACAAAATCTGCAGCTACCTCATGTAACATATCACTGGAGTCAGCTTCATGCTGAAACAAATAGTAATTCAAAAAAGATTGTTCACTACTTTATTGGCCTTTAACCCTTGGACATACACCCTAAATCATACCCCATTGTGGTACAAGTGGGGAGGGGGGGTTGTTTTAACCCCTCCCCGGAGTTTTTGATATGTTGCAGTATTTTAAAATGTATAAATGTTGGTTAGCCTGTGTATAGCTGCCCTTTCATTAGAGGAGGGGTGGCTGTACACAGGCTATAATTGATGCGTTTAGAAATGTCAAAAGAACAAAGAAAGAAGGATGTACAAGTTTATATTGTAAAGTGTACATAAACATTTACTGAAAAACATAAAAAGGTACTGCTACTTTATGGGATTTTTTTTAAAGAAAGTGAAAAAGACGGAGAAAAAAGAAAGAAAATCAAAATGTGAACTGAACTGCCTATCAATAGGTTAACTTCTACATTGGGTTCCCTGTATTGGTAGGCATTAGCTATTTTCTTGTTTTTAAATAGGGCTTCATCTGTGTTAATAAAATGGAAGGTGACTTATGTGAGACTAGTGAAATTCAAACTCAACTGTAAGTGCAACAATCTGCCCCCTTACACTGTATCGGTGTATCCACAAAAAATAAACAATAGGTTTGTTCCATGCAAAGAGGAATTTGACAACCATGGTTGGAAACTCCATTTATTATCAGTATACAGCTATTTCAAGAGAGGTTGTCAAAAAAAATGTGCACGCGACAATCCAAAAGGTAATATGGGATATTATCAACACACTGTTCCTGAAACTATAGCTGTCGAACCTACTTTTGTTGCTTTCCTTTCGCACTCGCAAACATATGTCCATGGCCTCTCATGCCATTCTTTCAAATTTCTTTGAAGAACAGAGAACTCAAAACCATCTACAATACCTTTCAGGATTGTTGCATACACTTTTTCCAACAACCTTTCTTGAAATAGCTGTATGTGGTTTGGTTTTGCTTGCACGCAGTACAGCATGCTGATTATTACTCACCAGAGTTCTAAAGGTGGTCTGAAGCAGTTCAGTCTGTGCAAACTCAGCAGGAGGAAATGCACTTAGAGTCACCCAACTGGCAGCACAGCGAAACATCTAATAACAATAAAACAACTTGTGTTGCTTGTTTTTTATACATTGACAGTTCTGTAGGGTATGGTTTGTTTTGCTGTTAAGTCTCAAGAAACTGAAGCAATAGCAAGTGCCCAACTGAGGTCAATTGAGAAGCTTACATGTACATTGATATTAAACCATAAAGCAAAATATAGGTACACATAAATGGGCGGGACATAAGCACAAGCAGCACACTGACAGCTTGAAAAACTTGTAAAAAAGTAGAAGTCCAAAAAACCTTTTTCAAGCCTACGAAAGGGATACTTGCATATGACAGAAAAGTGGCATTTTAAACTCAAAAACCATAACACTGTAAATCTTATTATTACACTGTACACAGTCATGTACCAGAGGTTGATATAAGAAACACTTTACTGACCTTTACTTTGATATTTGCATCATTTTGAAATTGACCAACACAAGCAGCCTGTATCATACACAATGTACCATATCAACAATATTAGTTTATATGAAAGAAGAACATCGCAGTTATAGACTCAACTTTTGCAGTTGCGAAAAGAAAGCCTGAACAAATCCAGGCTTGTACGGGATTTGAACCCTTGACCTCTGCGATACTGGTGCAGCGCTCTACCAATTAAGCTAACAAGCCAACTGGGAGCAGGTTGTTGAATTGGTTTGTTATAAATCCATTAGTATAGTTTGTAATTATCAAGCTTAAATTAAAGGACTAAAGGAATGTACATGATGATTCTCACTATGATAATTATCAATATTATATGCTAATGCAAGAGTACACTGCTATGATAGCTCGATACACTAGCCGCCTGTACATTAGCTTTATGCCAACAATGTTCGAATCCCATACATATATTTAGACAAAAAAATTATCGAGTGACTGACATGTAAGACTAAATCTAGCAAGAACCGTAAGCATTAATTTCATTTCTTTCCCCTGTTGGGCAAATGGTGCATAAAAATGAATCACTTTTTGTTCTCTTATTTCTTTAATACAAAAGGAAAGAACAAAGAAAAGTTCTGGTCACTTTTTTGTAGGAATTAGAGGTAAAAACAAACTCCACAACAATTGCATATGAGACTGTGATTTTTACCAGCAAAACATACTGTATGCTCTACATATGTAAATAACAATTGAACTTACAAGAAGATTAAGAACTGTTGTAGCTGAAGCACGAAGTTCAGTGCACACGTCGTCCCTTCTGTTTGCACCCACTCGAAGATGATGACTCCCCACCTTACAAAGCACAAAAGACATGGAGTTATTTTCAATTTTATTTTCTGTAAGTTAAACTGCTGACACAAACTAAGACAAAATAAGCGACAAAATACCTCTTCAGGAAGAACTGTCAGAATTTCCAGAAGAACTGGGAATCTTTCTACTGTTGTACCAAACCTGTAAAAGAAACCACGTGGAATATTAATTTTATACTTTTAGTATTTTATTCATATTTGTGTTAAAAGGAAAAAGGTATGCAATATTAATTTGTAGCTTCCATTAGCTTACAATTTAGACTGAAACCTGGAATTCTTGTGCACTGTATTGTCTTCTGTGACTTACATGTACATTACCCACCTGCCTTTCCTTTCACCTAATCCTAAGATCCTAAAAGCTTTCCTAAAAACTCTTCCCACCAAAATGAAGCCTACTAAATGCCCAGCAAGAGAAAAAAAAAATGAGGCAAGAAAAGCGAAAAAAGGAGGGAGGAGAGAAAGCAAAAAGTAAAAGTCAAGACTGCTGTGTCACTTTTAAACCCAAAAACTATCTCGAAATTTTGCTTTCTGCGCATGCCCGAACTTCGCAAGCTGATATTTTGCATCTGGATCAGAAGGCCGCCAAGTGTACCACCTGTAAACCGGTTTGTGGTAAGTTTTAGCTCTTTATAGCACGACAGTGACAAGAAAACCACTCGACTAGCTTCAAAACGCGTTTTTCGGCAAAATCTCCAGGAGCGAATGGGTTAAAAAGCACTTAAGAAATGCAATGGAACCATTAATATTTTATGGTTGCCACTATAAAAAGGTTAAGAAAAAGAATTGCAACTGTGTCTCAGATAAATTACTCAAAATAGTGCAAATTAATTAATTATTATTATACCTCTGAGAAAGGTCATTGACTACTTCTTTCCACTGTGGCATTTGAACAGCAAGATCGGCAAGAGTTAGACACAGCTGTTAAGAAACAGTTCTAAGTTAATATATACAAAAAAACCATAATAATGGTTTGGTGTCAAAGTTGTCAATGGGCCATTTCCGAGTTCCTCCAAGCCCCTGTATCAAAACGAGGTTAAGTGCTCAGCCTTTGATATGCAAATGATTTTTCATTCTCATGCAAATAAAACTCATTTTCACAAGAAAGGTTGTGCACTTGGCCTCATTTTGAAAGTGAGAGTTTTTGGAATTCGGCAGTGGCCTATTGCCTTTGACATTGATGTCACAAGCAGTACAGAGGATGTGGATCTGCACGGGTGGGCGGTTCTGGTGTGAATGAGTTAACCAGACAAGAGTTTTCAAGCACTAGCCATCCTCTCAGACATCCGGGGGGTCACTTGCTTCAGATCGAGGTGGGTGGGAGTGGAAGTGAGTGACTCTTGAGCTTACTACAACCACGCTAATTCTACAATTTACACATACTCCTACATTATACTCCTCTGGGTTGATATGCCTGTTCTTTTGCATTTGTACAAATGTAGGTACGTAATCGATGCATTATTAGCATATGTTTATGAAAGCACTATATATACTAAGTGTACACCATAATGCGAATAAGCACCATTTTGTACCTCTGCTTTTCTTTTTACATGTATAACTTATAACAAAAACATAAATAAAAGCCTGTGCTGGCAAGTCTTGTGTACATGTACCTGGGTGACAATTGCATGAGAGGCTCCATGGAGGGTGAACAGATGATCAAGAAGCGAATCCCTTAGTGACTGCAAAAGAGAATAAGTGAGTATAAAGCACTACATGCATTATTAATTTGACATCCTCAATCACTGCAAAAAAGAGCCCCACATAGGTGTTCAAATTAAATGATATATAGCAGAACCTCCGTACTTACATCATATGTATATTGTGGCCCACAAAATACATGTAAGGACAAAGGCAAATAATATTGAAACAAAAATAAAATTTAAGAATCTTAACTGGTCAGAGGTAAACCAGTTAGCTATTAATATTTATTTCTTAAATACAAGCACGGCTGAGTACACTGTAATATATTGAACTCAAGACTGCCAAGAACAAATCCAGCAAGTGGTTAATGCAGAGGTTGAAAGTCTGGGCCCCTAGATTGCAAGTCCAGCTATACACCCACCTGGCAACCTTGCCTGTTTAGCCAGACAGAGGCAAACTGAAAACCAGTTCCGCCCTGTAGCTATTAAAAATAATATTTACAAGTGTAAGCTTGCATGGATGAGTGCATGTAGTTTAACTCATGAAAAGCCCCACTGGGGAGGTAACAATAAAGTATGTATGGAACTCATGGCCAATGCACATAACACATCCAGCAAGTGGTTAATGCAGAGCTTGAACTTTGGGGCATCTAGATTGTACGTTTCAGCTCTATGCCCACTCTCCCCCGTAGCCTGCTTAACCAGGGATATTCATTGCATCAGTATGCTTGGTAGAAGAAACACTGAGAATTCTGGTTAAAAAAGTAAATAGAGAGAATGACACTTACTTGATACTGTGTTGGTTGAAGTTCGTGAAAGTGATACTGAACCTACAAGCAATGTGGAATAATCTTTAGGCTTTGTCTACAATACTACAGTCTGTTAGTACTATTTTTGTTAGTGAGAGAGACCCTTGTTTATTTCAATCAGGGTAGCCCTGTAAGAAGCTTGAGCAACTGCTGAACAATAATTAAAAAAATGTATAAAATGCAAATTGCAATCTGGGGCCTCATTCTCATATGAATGATTTAAACACAAATATCTCCATAAATGGTCTTTATTAGATAGTTAGTTAGAAAACAGATAAAAGTTGTTCTTGTGTGAACAGCCATATAAAATATATTAGTTTTTATACATTTTAAAGTATAAATGGATGCTTGTAAAAGAAAGCTTCAATGTAGATTATTGATAGCAAAACTGCTTATATTGATATAATAAGTACCCAAACCAGTTATCATGTTATGTCCTCATCGATTATGCACTAAGGATAAAAGTATTACAAAGACAAAAAGAACAAACACACAAACAAACATACACACAATAAAGATATCACAATAATAATATTAATACCTTGTTCTGTCTTAATGTCACTGTGCGGTATATATTGTTTTAAACTAAATTATTATCTAATGTATACTGTTTGATGATATAAAACAATTGTTGCTATTTACCTTTGTTCGCATGGTCTGTGCTGCAAAGTAGCTTGTTTCCACACTAACATTCAACCTCAAAAGATGGTCTGCAATTTCCCAAGCATACACCTGCAATGAAATGACAATGTTATAGTTCCTTCATTTTTCCTGGACACATAAAAAAATACAGAAATGGAAATAAAAACCTATTGACATGGCTGTGAACATCACATTCACCTTCATGCCTTTCTCTGCAGTTCAAAACTTGATTCATTTCATATACCATAAAATTCTGAAAATAAGCCCCGGGGCTTATATTTTTCAAAGGCCCTTTTTGAGGGGCTTGATTTTGGAGGGGCTTATCTACGGAGGGAAATTTGCACTTCAAAAAAATGATTGGGCTAGCCTTATAGTTGGAAATAAATTGACTGTTTTTGCTTTGCTTTACTTTGTATTTGAGGGCAATTTTCCAAGTACAAGCCCCAAGGGGGCTTATATTTGGAGGGGTGATTAAACAGAGGGTTTTTTGCGTTACCGGTTTAGGGGGCTTATATTTGGAGGGCCTTATACATGGAGGGGCTTATTTCTCGGAATTTTACGGTATTTTTCGTGTCATTTTCACCATCGGATATATTACGAACTCACAATTTACTTGTTCTCCAGTTCGCTCGATTAGGTCAACAGATAGAGGGTTACCAGTTGTTTCGACGCAAAGTCGTTTTGATACAAGTTGTTTCAAAGCAAGTTTATTAAGTCGAGTTGTAAATACACTATATACTTAATAATAGAAAAAAAAAATAATAATGAAGGTTTGTTCATACTGGAAAGTGCACTTAGCTTATCCAGCTAGTTTACAGTCACTCCACTCAAACACTTAGAAACAAATTATTCAAATAAAACACAACAGGATTAAGAACCCCACCTGGCATGAGGCGACCAGCTGGCTATTTACAAGTGAGGCCAATGATTTAAACTCGGAACAATGGAGAACAAATCCAGTAAATAGCCAGAGAGGGACTTGAGCCCAGGACTGCCGGATTACGAGTCTGACACGCTGACCACTCAGCCACGCTGTCTCCACAAAGTGATCACAATTTTTGTGCAATTTCATTGCTTGAATTCGTATCGAAAGGACTTGTATCGAAACAACTTTTTATCAACATTATCTGTTACCAGATAGAGTGTTGCGTCCAGTCAAATTGCAAAGGTCAGGGTTCGTTTCTCGGTCAAGCCTGAATTTTTTCAGGTTCTATTTCAATGGCTTAGGTTGTTCATTCTACTGCGGAGATCACGTTCACTTTCATATCTTTATCCGCAGTTCAAAATACAATTCAGTGCTCAAACAAACAAATATCCCATACTGTTGAACATTGTGTCACGAAAGTTTGGAATTCTTGCTCAGAAAGACCCGGTTGTATTTTTGCAACACAAGTAATGAATAAATAAGCTTATAGGCAACATAACATTTCGATGACTCAGATGCCGGAAAATGGCAAAAACAAGTTTGCGGCCGGCCGTGACGAGCTTTGAGTGAGATTTTAGGCCCACGCAAAATTGAAGAGCAGTAGAAATATATAACAAATATCACTAATTAAAGCCATAGCTTGAAGAGGATGCACTCAGACCCTAAAAATATATTTTAGCTAATGATATTATATTAATGAAAAGGGAAACCTTACAAAGAAACTCCGAAAGTTTTGATCTAAAGTATCAAAGCTTAAAGATCAGATCTCAAACTTTGCATGTATGCTTACTGATCGCTGAAGTTCTTGAAGCCATTCCGAAGCTTTCTCTTTTCCAGTAGGATTGGATTCATCGTACAGAGCATTAATTACAGCCCTGACATGATCCACTGATGGTTTGTTCATTGTAGCTAAACGTTCTGCCAGTCTTTCACGGGGTCATGTTGTCGTTCTGGATTCCGCCGCCATGGTGGTAGTTCGAACGAGTTCGAAGTAAGGCGCTCTCTTCGCGGAAAACCCTGGCGCCGAATTTGAAGCCCCCGGTAAAAAAACTCAGCGGCTCGCAATATGGTCATGTAAGAGAAATTTAAGCTTCGTCTTTCTAACTCGGGTCTAAAATACCTTCTCTCGGTTGAATTCAAAGCCATAGCCACACCATCATTTATGGCGTTTGTGTCTCTGAACTGAGTTGCCTGCCACACTTTCTTTTCTTGTCATTTCCCCCAGCATTTTTTTTTTCCTGTCGAGATTGTATAAATGCATTTCCACAGACACTTTAAGCTTCTTTATATGAAGTGAATGTTCAATGTGGCGCCAAACGACGCCAGCTAAGAAAATGCCTTCCAACGTGGAAATCAAAGCAAAGGTGAAGGATTTTGAAACGTTTAAGAAAAAGGCAAAAGAACTCAGTGGATCTGAAGGTAGCATTTAGGAGATAATGAGATGTTATTTTCCCATCTACCCTATTTCTGCTACTTGATTATACACCTAACATCGGGGCAACGACGGGTAGTGCCTGGTTGAGAAAATTAGAGATCACGATCACACCACCGTAAATGCTCAATTCAAAGGCTGGGATGAATAGTGCTATCCAACGGATAAATCACTATTTAGTGTTAGTAAAATCCAACTAGTGGTCTATTATCAATGCTACGTTCTGATTGGTTGAGCTACCACTAGGCTATACGGTCAACTCTTTCTAAGACGAACACCTTTGGGACCGGTACTAAGTGCCCATCTTAGAAAGGTGTCCGTCTTATAAAGAGTCAAATAAAAGGAGTAAAGAAAGGCAGGGACCAACTCTAGGTGTCCGTCTTATAAAGGTGTCCGTTAAGAGAGAGTTGACTGTATGTTATAGCCCACTAGTATCGAAAAGCGCGGGCTTTTTTGCAGCAAAAAAGGATTAAAGGCTAGCTTTAACTAGCTAAACTTTTTTTATTCTCGATATTTTTGACCAACTAGTTGGATTTTACTGAAACAAAAAATTATTCCTCTCGCCTTCATGGCCTCTAAGTCAATAGCCCATTCGGGCTCGAGGAATAATTGTTAAATATGTGCCAATAGGGAAACCATTTTAATATTATCCATGCTTGTGGATCTTGGATAGCCTAGCATTATATCATCCACCCCCTTATTTTGAACAACGAGAGCCAGAGCACTTAACATTCAGAGTATGAAGAAGTTGATGTTTTGTGAAACATTGATGAGACGAGCGCAACTAGTTTGCAACTCACCCAACAGCCTACAAGACAAGACTGACCACCTAAACAACATTTTAAGGAAAAACAACTACAACATGGACTTTGTTAGATGGCACACTCACAGTAACGCCAATTCCAACACTTTGACTAACATTAGTAATCTCTGCCTCTGTTACGGCAGGGACTATACTGTACATCAGAGGCACCTCTGAATTGATTGCACATATACTACAACCCTAAAACATATGCGTTGCACACATACCGATGACCACTTTGTGACGACTGCTTAGTAATGACAAGGGCAAAGATGGACCAGAGGACAGACAAGGAGCAGTATACAAGATCAAATGCTGTGACTACCAGACCGCTAACATTGGTGAGACTGGTGGAAACCTTAGCATGCGACTCTCTGAACACAAGCAAGCGACAAGAAATGGCCGGTGATGTCTACAATCACATTGCTGAGCACCATGTACAGACAAAACCTCAAATTGACTGGCCATGCGCCTTTGTGACATGCATAAAATATTCTATAGACTATTACCGACAACACTTTAGAAAGCTGGTTTACTAACTTAGAGCAACAGCCACCGAATCGCAGTCAACAATTACTAGTACCATAAAAGATACTTATTGACGGACTCAAACAAAACTGACCACGACAGAATAATGACTGATTATAACCGACCATTTGACTAAAAATAAACGACTGTTCAACAACAAGGCAGATTGAAATGCTCCAGTTGGCTATGAACATTCTTAAAAGAGTCTTCATAGCCAAAAACATCACTGCTTAACTTACAGACCACCAATAACATTGTAACTTGTAACATTGACCAATCATATCAATTACCAGAGTTTAATAACATCAACTGATGTGATACAACTTACTTTGACTCTGAACTGACAGTTGAGCGAGGTGTCGACCAAGTGTCGGTGACGGTGATATGTTGGTGATCCATTGGCGAATAATGACTGACTATTGATACAATATTGACCCAGTATCAACCGATGGGTTATAGGGCCAACTATCGGACACATGCAGTGTAACGACCAACACTTGGCCAATACTCTACTAACACTCGACTGAGACTCGACCGATGTTTGGCCAATGTATTGACTGATAATGTCGACCGATACGTTGGTCAACACCACCTATAAGACCGAGATCCCTCTTTTACTTGCCCTGCTACTTACTTGCTTGCTGTTCCAAGTACTTGATGATTTCACGTTTTATGGTTCTTGTAATCTGCAAGCTGAGGTGGAATGTACAGGTTTTACACTGTAGCTTATCAGTAACTGTTTATGCACTTATTACTTTGCCATGGAATTTTGCAGGAGAAGTTATTGAACAGAAAGATATATTTTTCAATGTTCCTCAAGGACGACTTAAGGTAATCAGAACTTTTGATCATTTGCTGTTATATTTTTTTATTTGCTTCAGTTTCAGTTCATTTATTTGCCAGAAAAAAATATATATATATATAAATACATTCAGACATTCAATATATTACAAAAAAGGTTAGTTAAAGATTAAAGAGACGTAAATTGTTAGTAAAAGAATTAGAAGTATTTTTGTGGTGAGGAAGCTCAAATTGAAACCTTGTGGCTTATTTTCTGAGCTCCCTCCCTAACCTAAGACTAAATAAAATGAATAAATAAGCAGTGGAATCATACTGAAATATAATTGCAATAAAAATCAGCCAAAACAAAACAGACCAAACAGACGAAAAGCAGCAAAAAACAAGTATATGTATTATTTAAGTAGCTTTAAATAAAGTCTGTTTCCCAGTGTTAGATAGAACCTTATTATTTTTGAGTGACCAATATACTAATCTATCTCCAGATAACCATCCCACCGAAACTAATCTTCTTCGCAGTTAGTTCCACAAACTATTAATTTTAGGTGTCCCAAACTCGGCACAATGAACCTACAATAGTGAAATCCTCTTTCCCTTCACAATCTCCCGATTTTATATTTTAAAGTACTAATTTGTATTAATTATAATAACTACCGGTATTCTGTGTGAGTGTAAATAAAAATTGACTTGACTTGACTTGACCCCTTGTGTCCGTGCCAGTACCAACTCAGAGGTTGCACATTCTTGGAAAGTCCTTGAAAATCAAATGTGATCATTGAAAAAGTCCTTGAATTCCATTTTTCCTTGAAAAATCCTTAAATTTCTGTGGTAGTCCTTGAAAAGTCCTTGAATTTTCTTCAACTTTGAAGGTAGTGGCCTTGAAAGTGTGTTTAATAGAATATATCAATAATCATAGCCCACAGAATTTTTAAGGTGATTTGCAAAGCACATTTTGTGTTTTATAAGAATTAATTATCAATTTTAGACAATTGAACTGAAAAATGTAGAGAATCTGGTGGAGCAAACAATCTAAGCCTTATCAAAGTCCTGTTAGCTTGGACTCCTGGGAATGAGCATTTATGTACAAATCTGTAACTTACGTTCCTTGTAGGTGGTCCTTGAAAATCGAATATGCTTCTTGAAAAGTACTTAAAAAATGGTTGCAATTTTTTTTGTATGAACCCTGTTACTGTATGACTGTTTCTTCTGGCTTCAGCTCAGATTTCTTCAAAACAAACCATCTCAGCTTATATACTATGAGAGGGATGACAAGAGTGGTCCAAAGATGTCAGACTACTTTATCACCACTACAAATGAACCTGAAGATTTAGCAAATGTTCTTTTACAAGCACTGGGCGAGAAAGGTAAGGTGATAAGCATGTGCAATGACTTTTTTTGTTGTTTGTTAAGAATGATATGTTTGAATGTGTGTTCCTTTCAAAGCATCCACTCATTAATTTGCTTAACTGTGTGCTTTGTATAGAAAAATATGTCTTGTTCTTTCCTTTCCTTTAATACACTGTGATACTACACTGAGTATTATGCATAAAAGCAGTTTTTGGTGAAGTAGAGAAAATGAAATGGAATAATGGAATGCATGAATTCATCTTCATTGTCATACATGTAAGAAATTGACCAAGCTGTTGTTAGTAACACTCATGTTCTTCTTACCATCATTGTTTTTGTCCTCATCATAATCATTACATACTTTGGTGACAATTAAATTCAACTTATTAAGGTGTTGTTAAGAAAAAACGATTGCTGCACCTTGTGGGACAGACTAGAATACACTGTGATGAGGTTGAAGGCCTTGGACATTTTATGGAATTAGAGGTTTGTTTTGATTTTGTTTTTTCCCTGAGTACAGTATTTTGCTTTTCATTTGAACTGTATGTGATTTTGAATAGAAGACTTCCAGGCCCCGGTTGTTCAAACGTTGGATAGCACTATCCACCTGATAAATCACTATCCATAAGTATTAGGGAAACCAATCACGTTATCCACTGAACAGATTCTTTTTATCCAATGGATAGCGCTATCCAACATTTGAACAACCAGGGCCTGGAGAAAAGGAAACTTGGTTGCATTCATTCAGGGTAGGAGGTTTGAAAAGTTAGACTGTAAATTTCAGTGTTAGACTTTCAAAGGGAAGTAATTTTTTGCGTGAATTATTGTGAGGTTTGAGAAACCATGGGTTCAAGAACAACATATTTTAGTATATTTGATAATAAAAGCATATTTTGCAATGATTAGGTCACTGGTGTGATTCTAGTTAATACAATGCTTATTTATAAACCTCAATGTTTGCCTTGTTAGACTTATTACCTTATGATGACTATACTTTTTTATGTTCATTTTCACCAAAAAGATGAAGTTTAGCCCCTTTTCGCTAATGCCTTTTGTCATGGTTGTTTTGAAGTTTACAGATCTATGCAATGATCAGTAAATTTCACTGGATTCTTTGGTAATTATTAGGTTGTAATGAAAGAAAACCAAAGTGCCTTGGAAGGTGAAGAGATTGCCAAAGACTTGATGTTCAAGTTAGGAGTTGAAGACAAAGATCTTATCAAGGGGGCATATATAGACTTGCTTAGTTCAAAAGACGCTTAAGACAGGCGGTTTATGGAAGGCCACGGTGTTACACTGCTGCCCGACTCTGCATTCATGCAGATTGCAGAACTATGAAGCGGTCAGCTAGTCAGAACTTGATAAAGGGATGGACTCTAAGAAAGTCCACAACTTTGTCCTGGTAGATTCTCACAAGGCTCATTTTATTAAGCAAAACTGTAGGCTATCTTTAAATCTATTGGTAGAAGCCTAGGTGGCTTGTAAAAAGTTCATGGAGCGTCCGAAATGAAAGGTTTTTGTTAGCAAAAGGTCTTTATGCCAATGTTTTTATTTTTGGGTGGGGTTTAACTTCATAGACTTCATGGAAGTTTTGCTGGAGTGTAGAATGCGACTGAAATTTGATCTTTTTTCCAAGTGATACCGAAAACAGATTGTTTGAACATTGAAAAGGAAAATGTGGTTTATTTGAAATTAAAGAGAAATTTTCGATAAAGGATATAAAAATTGAGTGTACAAAAAGAGGCAAAATTAAAGGCAATAAATAAAATATAGCTTGTCTGCAGTTCAGGAACTTTATTAACAGGAGGAATTTTTTACTCAAAAAGAGAAAAAAGGAACTTTTTATTTGAAGAAAGGCGTGGAAATAGCCTGCGTATAGCCCGCGCCGGATTTTTTAGGGCGAAAGGAAGAAATCTCGAGGACGCGCGCGGGGAGAAAAGGAGTGTTCCCCTCGCGCGGCCTGTATTAAAACCATGACCGGCGCCTGCTAAGCATAACGAAACCGGCAAAATATCATAGAATTTCTTTTTCCTGTTGATTCGTAAGTTAGAGTTTAGTGCCATTATCGTATTTTTGTCTGGAAAACATTTATTTACGGTGTCGGCAGCAATATTGACATGCTTGAAAGTCATTGGACACTTCTCCCGCGAAAAGAACAATCTATCGAAGTGCCTAGCAACGACACCACGCCACCAGTAGGATAGCAACTACACAACACGACTTCAAAATGGCGGCTCTGTTTAGGCCAAACTCCCGATCAAGGTTTGAAACAAAACAGTGATACTTTTACAGTTTTTCAAACGGATTATTATCTTGCAAGATGGCAAAGGTTTTTGTAGCCCCCGCTGTTCATAATTTTGCGGATCTTCGGCCGTCCTCGCGTGCCCTTACGATCACCCCAAGACCAGCCTCTCGTAACTCAACTGGCTATGGAACACTTGATCGTCCACCTTCTCGAAACATTTCTCGCGTAGGGAGCAATGTGGTTGTTTCTCCGCGTGAATCAAAAAGAGTATCGAATATTTTGATTTTATCTCCGGGCAGGCGAAATTCGGGTTTGAGCCTTGGTAAGTAACTTTTTGACGTCTTTCACATCAGTCTGTTGTTGCTCTTTTGACGCACTGCAATCGTGATTTTATTTGTTTTAAATGGCAGGATATACTTTTCATTGCGAATTGAAAATTTAAAAATGAGAAATTTAGTCTTATATCAGGGAATCTGTTATATTTTTGTATATTAGAGCAGTATATAATTAGAATTCTATCTATAGAATTAGAATGTTATTTTGCGATGCGAGTTCCCTTCGCGTGCTACAGAATATTTAAGTAAACAACTTTTTCAATCGAGCGCGAGCTTATGAAATGTTTCTTTGTGACCGTTGTTAATTGTAACAGAGCCGAGTGATACACAGAGCTTTGATTTCGTTGTGTACCAGAACAACATGGCAGTTTCTTTTACGTCCACGTACGCGTTGTTACACGACAACAATCGTTTGATTCTTGTCCCGTGTTTTGTAGGTTCGCCCAAATCTCCAGATGTGAATTTGACCTTCATTGAGATCGAGTCTCGACTAAGGGAGAAGATTCGAGTCAACGCTGACGAGTTACGTCAGGTAAATTTTATTGGGTGGTTTGTAATCCTAAAAAAAAAAACAGTGAATAAGGTTTACGCCTCTGCCAAAAAGGTTATAGAAATTAGAGAACTTTGGGATATTAAATGGATCCATGGAGACCCAAAATTTCTCTTTGAGTGTTTCAAAATATTGCACTTGAAGAGAATTAATTTTTGATCGCCAAATGGCCATTTAATTTTCTTTTATTATATTGACACAAATGAAATAGATCTGTACCAAACTATTTCATTTTTGAAATGTAATTTTTTGCTGCAAAAGGCTTGATTTATTATGAATGGTATTCCTTTTCATGTCTGAAGAGGACATGGTATTAATAATATTGTTATGCATAAAAGGGGAAATACAGCATCTGCTATGGACAGTACACCGTACATGTACATGTATGAAAGGTACCTGGCATCATATCTGGGCATGGTATGCCCCAGTTTCAAGTCACAGGGATGATCGAATGGGGCAAATATTAAAAACTGAAAAAATGCCTAGGGCTTCCAACGATACCCCCAAAAAATGCCTGGACCAAAAATTAACCCCCAAAATATCCTCTGCTGAATTTCCAAGCCTCAAAGTTTTCCAGAAAGCATAAAATGATATAACACGAAAACTAGATTACAAATTGAACGTTTGTGTTTGCGGCTTTGATACGTGGGCATTACAATGAGTCTTCAGATTGTTTTTTATACCCCAAAAAATCCCTACTTAAATCAGGCCACACAAAAAAATACTTGCCAAATTTTTCTACCCAAAAATAAAAATATATAAAATAATCCTTGGATCATCCCCATCACTAACCCCCTAGCAACCCCCCCCTCCCCCGTAGTATCCACTGTAGAGGGGGAGTGGGATGGTAATTCTGAGCTTTTAGACCATTAGACTACCATCTTTTGCATTGTCTAAATTCATATTTTGCTTCTTAATTACCAGGCTTTCCAAACTTTTGATGCAGAGAAGACACAGACCATCACTCAGAGTGAATTTAGAAGAGCGCTTGAGTCTTTCTGTATTCCAGTCACAGATGATCAGTTTGAGCAACTTCTTAGAAAGGTAAAATCGCATTGAGAGTTGTTAACTGAACTTCCAGTTGATTAGACAGCATGTGTGAGTACCCCAATGTACATAAGTTGTGTACTTCAAGGTATTTTTACGTAAGCTTTATAATGTGTGTCTGCGATGTCTACTTAACATTTTTCAATGTCTTAATTACTTCGGCAACATTCCTCTTCATAGTACTAAGTATCACAAAATAATTTACAAGTGTGTTGATGCTTTATCTGTATTTATGTGTTGTTGGCACAAGGTTGGAACTAACAGAGATGGGACCATATCATACTTGGAATTTTTAGAGAAGTATCATCAAAGAGGAGGCACACCAGATGGATTGCGAATGTTAGGAAGCTTGCAGAAGTAAGTTAGGTCCCTTTAAAGTTTGTTTTTTGGTTAATCAAGTGTTTTGTCTCCTTGTTTGAGGAGTCTTCCTGGCAATTTCAGAAGGAGGAAGAGGTCAAGTGCCTATGACATGGGCTTTAGGCTTACTCTAAAAGCTAGTTCTAGGCAAATTATGTCAATAATGGGCTATCTTCAGGGGTTTTTATTAACCATAAATAATCAGAAGTAAAGTTACGTGTGCAGTAGGCAGCGACAAAACCAGGATCAAATGGCCTGTAAATCACTTATAAATGACAAAAAGTAGGGAGTCAGAGTTTTAAAAGCTAAAGGTGGGTGGGGCGGGGGTGGGGGCTTGGTTAATCCCACCCAGATTTTGTGAATGCTGTGTCTATGCAGTGAAGGTAGGCTTAGGGCAGTTATTTATTGCATGCATGTAGAAATTTGATAAATCAATGATTATAGTAATAACTATAGAAGAAAGGTGTTTGACTACAGATTTTCTTTGTTACTAGTACCCACTAATTTCTAATGAAACCACATTTAAAATGGCGCTTTCATAATAAATATACAGTGGAACCCCATTAATACAGTAAATAAATATAAAAATTGGCTGTATTATGACTGGAGGGCTGTGATGACAAATACACCTTACATCGCATTCACATTTCTTGAACAACTGTTCTCATTAATAAACAACCAGAATGAAGATATCATGTGTACACAGTAATATTATTGAAAAAAACTACTTAAAATTTTCCTCCAGTAAATAAAACACTTTTAAAAGTCAGCTATAGAATCGCACTAAGAGCACTTTATGTGTACTGTAGTCTAAAAACAGTACAAGAACAGGCTCAGAACACTAGGTCAATAAAATTGACATGTCACAGGCATATTAATTTTTTGAATTTTTGAACAAGTGGTAATGGGGTGAAATGTTAGAGATTTTACGGTTTGGGATTTTAAAATGTGGCTGTTGACTGTATTAATGGGTGACCACATTAACAGGGTTTTTTATAAGGAAATGTACGGCCGTTTTGCTGGGCTGAAAAAAAGTGGCTGTAATAATGAGGTGACTGTATTTACAAAGGTGGCCGTAAGGCTGGATTCCACTGTAATGGAATATGAAAAAGTAAGAATAGTGAATCATTGTTATGCTATTTTTTTTCATTGCATCAGATTCAACCAGACAAAATCTCCTCGAGATCAAGTTGCTATGGATGAGATTGAAGATCGGTTAAGAAGAAAGGTAAGAATTTCTTCTATTTTTTATTTCTTTTATTTTTTGAATGGGGTGTTATTTTATGTGCATTAGATCTGATTATTTTGCAAGTTTTTGGGTTCTAATGAAAAATGGTTATGGTGATAAAAAATTCTGGAGTGGTGCCTATTAAAATGTAGCGTTGAGCACATGAACAGTGTACACAATGTACATGTTTACAACAGTTTCCCTTTCCAGTTTGGTTACTTCTCAATTTAACCTTTTCATTCTACAGATGATTTGTAGTCATTTATAAAATAGGAAACTTTAATTGGTTTCTAAGCTTTACGTACTAAGTACTATTAAAAGTATGGTTATGTGTATTAATTATTGTTGGTGGTGTTGCTTTTAGATGGGAGGCCAGTTCCAGAGTGTATTGAAGGCATTGAGATTATTTGATTATAACAGAGATGGCCAAATACAAAAACACGAGTTGCGCCGTGTCATAGAGAACTTTTGTTTCAGACTAACGGATGAACAGTTTAACAAGTAAATATATTTTCTGGTCGTTTTTTCTTATGCCTTTCCCTGTATAAATGAGTACTGACTACATGCTCTGTACTTCTTGATGATATATAAAGTCTTCAATCAAAATAGAAATAAACCAGCCAGCATACTTTCCTGAATTCTGCAAACTAAATGGTTTTTAATACCTTAATTGTACATACTCAAAAAACAACTTTTCTTTAATTTTCTAAGAGACAAATAGTCAACGTATTTGTACTTAACTTACCTTTCTACTATTGGCGAGTAGAAAACTCGTGAAAACTGATGAAAACTCTTTTCATGGCCTAATATTGTGAAATAGAAAGTTGCACAAGTTTTTAAGTTTAACTTAAGAAAGATAAGTAATAAGAAGTGTAAGTGAGAATAGGTTTGATTGTCTAGTGCATGAACTGAATTGACAACATTAATTTTTCTAATGCCAAGTTGGACTCAATTCAAGCTAAACTGTTTGACTTTGCTTTTATTGAGCTATTTTGAAAAAATAGCCCATATGTCAGTGGTGTTACCGGCCATTTTACAGACATTCCAATAAAAAATTGAAACTTGCTCCAGCTGACAAATCACCATGATTATGAATTATTATGATGGCACCAAACCAAAGTTTTTATTTTATGATTGAATTTTATTTTCTTGACTATTTTGAAAAACCTTTGCTTGTTAGAAGCTACATGTAAAATACTTTTTTAAATTTAATCATAGATTGTGGTGTAAATATGACATGACACGTAATGGTCATACCCTGGAGTATATGGATTTCCTTAAACGACTTGGAGTAAATGCAAAGCCCAAAAGTCAAATAAAGAAAGCAGGTAGGTCATCTTCAGTTGTATCTTTGTGTGAATGTCGCTCGTTTCCATAGTGTTATACTTTCTAAAATACAGTGTATGTAGTACATTCGTGTGCATTAAAAAGCCATAAGATTAAATCCATGGTATTGGACTTGGTCGAGAAATCAAACCTCATGGTAGGGGTGACTTTTGAGGAAACTTTAACTATTTCAATATTATTGTGTTGCAATAAACCACATGGATATTGCGATAGTATTGTGATAGTGGAGGTACTATTGCAATTGTATTGCGATAGTTTTCATGAATGTCTGTTTTTACTTTAGTTTAATAATGCCTTATACTTTAAGAAATATTTAAGAAGTGGTGGTCATACAATATGGGCACCACATTGTATGCGGTTCAAGAATCAAGATGCCAAAACATTCTAGGTGCAGTAGGGGCAGTAGATTGTTTTTAGTTTCTTTTTTATCATTATTGTTACCTTAAGAATCAAAGATGGGTAAAAAAGGTGCCTTTATTTTCCAAAGAAGTCAAAATGTGACGAGTATAGAAACTATCAAAACTTTTGATAGTTCGCTACACTATGTCTATCATGATTGTTATCAATGTTTCATTTGTTGAGTTTTTACCTTTTTAATAGAAGTCTGGGTGTCCAGAAACCAAAAAAAACTGAACACAACGAATCAATCACATGGCGAAAAAAAGGCACAAGTTCAAAAAACTAGATCGAGGCGATGAGGTATCTGCCATAACACATTATGCATCGGAATAAATTAACATCAGTGCATAAATAAACGGTTCAACAACAATGTCTTTTTCAACATCATTTTTGCTATCAATCTATCGCTATCGCAGCATCATTATCATGATAAATCGATAGTTCAATGTATTCTTACAGCTTTAAGGCTCATGGACAATTTTTCAACTCTCAAAAAGTGCAAGAATAAATTTAAATGCCTTTGTCTATACAAACTGTGTTCAACAGGAAACAAACTATCGCTAAAGGTACAATCAGACTGGATTCGTGCAAAGCTATTCTACATGTACTTGTATCAGGACTTCTGCATAATAATCAAGCATATACAATGTCATCCAATTTATTCAAACCTCAACTGGTTTAACAGTTTTGACCCTTGCTAGTTTCTTTCTTGATAATGATGTTAGAAACATCAGAATGTTGAATAATGTTACTTTTAATTTTTCTTATTGGATTTGAAAACAAAATTACATTAAGTTTTATAGTGTTGTGATCATTGTGTTGATTGTGTTTCCACTCTTGACCAACTTTTGCTAATGAAATTTATCTATTTGTGATGATAGCAATCATTTTAGTCTTAATATTATTGATGTATAGTTAGCTAATTTCTACTTTTGCAACTGTCTTTTTTAAAACCTCTGCTATGCCATATGTGGAGGCAGCTTGGCCGAGTGGTTAAAGTGCTGGACTTGCTCTTTGGAGGCCCCGAGTTCAAGTCCCCCTCTGACCGCTAGCTGGATTTGTTCATGGTAGTCCTGAGGTCAAATCCTTGGCCATGCTTGTAAATACATAGCTAACTGCTTTTCCTGCAACCAGTTGTGATTCTCATAACCCTGTTATTTTGATTTAGATTATTAATTTGTTTCAGACATTTTCTTGGCCTACTAGGATTAGTGCTATAAATACAGCCAAGAGTAAATAATGGAATTATTATTATTATTATTATTTCCATTGCTTCGAAAATCGCTTGCAAAGAAAATTCCTTGTTTCCTTTCATGATCTTGGCATGCCTGTACTTAAGGGCCTGGGAGAGAGAAGTTTTTCTCTTCTCTCTCCAAATCCCTTAGGTTTATTCGTGCCTCTGTTTACTATGTGTGAGAAAATGAGTATATTAATATTATTGTTAAAATAATTTCAATAAGTTTATTTTTCAAAAAACAATTTTGGTCATTTTTTGTATAACAGCAATATTATGATAATGCATGGGTAATAATACTGCAATGTAAACAGTATAGTTTAACTGGTGCAGGTAGATGTCAAATATTTACTCTATTATACTATAAAATATTTATACTGTTTGTGTTGAGCCACAAGGGATAATGGCTCCATTATCTAAAATTATCTAATGCAGTTAAAACTAATTATAATTTTAATCTTCAGTGTTTGAACTTCTCACACTTAACAAAATAAGTGCCATGATTTGAAGAAAGTGGAAGGGGTTTAATTACCACAAGGTTTTAGGACTAGTTGAGATTGAATGTAGAAAAGAGTTATTGCTGTGGTTCAAAATTTAATCAGTTTCCTGCTTAAGTTAAGAAGGTAATTAAATATTAACTTTTTACTTGTCACAAATTATTGTAACAAAACACCATAGCAACATTGCTACCACTCCAATAACTTCCTCAAGCGACAAACATCTGCCCTCAAACGCTTGAAGACATAAAAGTCTAAACTACTTTCTGCATCGTTTTCTGAATTGATCCATTAGAGTTTGTGATCAAAATGTTTTTGGCCATGGATGTTCCTTTCAAACTTGGAGCACAGCTGAAAAGACCAAATCAAGGCTACGCTGTTGATAATTTAAAAAATAGTTTTTCATTTTACAAACCAACGGAGAAGCATAATTTACAAACAAAAAGTCGAAAAAGGTCTTTGACTTTCCCAGTCATAACGAGAAAAATGCCTCTCGGCCAAATGTTATTGCAAGACCATGTTGGTGAAGGGAAACTATTTGCCTACTCATTGGAAGGAAAGAAATTGACTTATGAAAAAAACAGGAAAACTCCGAAGACAATTTACAAACTTCACAAGAGACCACAGAGTATGCTTTTAGTAGAGTCATTATATTAATGATTTTGTACAAAATGTATTTTTTTGTATTGACTACTTCATTGTCAGTTGAGTATTTTGGTATTACGGAAGCTGAATTATTTTTCATTGTTTGCAGAAGTTATTGCAGAAACATTGTTAGGTGTATTCTTGTGGATCCACTATCAAAGATTATTATACTGCACTTTTGTCAAGTTTCCAAACGTTGGAAGAATTAAGACTGGTTTGCCAAAAATAACCTAAAAGGATGTTTGAAGATATTTTTTGTGTAAGCAAAATTAAATGCCAAGGCATAGCTTGTAATTTAAGTCACCTTTAATAATATTGTTTTGTTTGCCAAAACCTAGTTGAGGATCAGCATCTAGTGAAGCTTGCAGCAGTAAACAGCAGACCACGATCAAGTCATGCCACCAAGCAATCTACTCCAGTACTCACAATAACAGACTTGGAACAGAAACTCAGAAAGAAGGTACACTGGTTAAGTTTAGTTGTTGACCCTTTTAGTTCCTATAGTGACAAAAATTAATTTCCTCCAAACAAAATTCAAAGCACAGTCAAGTAGAAAGGTTATGGGAATTAAAGGTAATATTCAGTAGTAAAATGCTTTGATCTTTTAACAGTTGTTTGATCCAACTTTTCTTTATGTACAACCTGTATGGATATCAGTGTGGAGAATTTGTATGTAGTAGTAGTTGTAGTTTGTTTACCCACGAAGCAATTAGGAGTTCTTGAGAAATCGTTTAAACATGTCCGTGCGTGACGGTTGGAATTTGGAAGTGCTGGTTTTTGAGGAGAGGGGAAAACCCAAGTACATAGAGAAGAAACTCTTGGAGCAATGGAGAGAACCAACAACAAACTCAACCCACATATGGCTTCAATGCCGGGATTTAAACAACAGGCCACATTGGTGGGAGGCGAATGCTCTTACCACTGCACCACCCTTGCACCCACCCTTGCTGGGTTAAATGTACTGTAATTTATGCAAGAGATTTATTCAACTAGATGGTTTGTGTAAATAGAAAGCACTCCGATACTCAGCTTTCACAATTCTAACAATTCTTTTCTCTCACCTCAGATGCTTGAAAACCATGGCAACATAAGCCGTGCATTTGTGGCATTTGACAAGCGCGGTGATGGCTTTGTCACCCTGGATGAACTCAAACGAGTTCTCTTTAACTTTGCCTTTCCAATGTCAGACAAATTGTTTTTGGAGCTTATGGACAGGTAATGGTAAAAGAATTTTGTTAGTTTACATTAGTTCAGTTCAATTTATTCACACTTATTCAAGTCAGGTCTGTGCTTAAACCACTCCAATATCCCTTTGCTACTTTAATACTTTGGTCTAAATGCAACCAGGAAGTAGATTTGGCACTAAACTGATATACTAGACACCCTGGATTTATAGCTTCAAAGCTTAAACTGGGCTTTGCTTAACAATTATTAGAGCCCTGGCATGTGGCTGTGTAGTCATAATTTGCTGCTCTTTTCTTAAGTGTTTACGTTTTGTAAGATAATACACTAAAATTGGCAGATAGGGTTTCTTCCATTGCAACTTGCATGCCTATGAATACAATTAAATTGCATGTACATGTATTAAGCTATTTTATTGCCTTTACAGATGTGGGATCCGGGCTAATCACAAAATATCATACCAACAGTTCCTCAATAAATTCCAAATGCCAGTTAGCAAGGGAAATGGACAGACTATTCCAATCAAACCAAGTCACCAGTATGTTCTTTTGTGACTATTTTGTGATGTCAGTTAGCTCATTTCAGAAGTAAAAATAATTCGATAATAGTGGGGATGGCAAATAAGATCAGACATACACTGTACATGTGTGTACAAAAGTACCAATCTCTGAAAATTTTGGTACATGAGTGATCTTGAGGTATTCTTGGGGTGTTAAAATTTTGCATCTGTTTTGTACTACTCTATCATCAGTCTCACCGAGTTTATTTTTTTGTCACTAAATTTGGAATTTAAACACAAGTCTACATATCTTAGCAAGTCTTGGAAACTTTATTTAAGCTGGTTGTTAAGCTCCTTTTATATGTTGGTGCCCATAGTTGTTTGCCGAAATGAATATTCAGTATTTTGTGCTTGGTGATAATATCTTATTGATCAATCTTTCCTTGAACACATTGCTAGGTACAACCCAGTACGTGAGGCAGAAGCCATGCCAACAACAGAGGATATTTGGAAGCTTCTTCATGATAAAATTATGAACAGCTTCTCATCTGTCAAGCAAGCATTTCTTGTTTTTGATGACGTAAGTAACTAAAAAATAAATGCATTAACTTTTAAAAATTTATGTTCATTTGAAGTAATGTAAGTGCGATAGTACATATGGCAGTGTTTATGAACGTATTTTCAGGAAGCTTGATCTCTATGTTTCCATTCTGCCAATGTGTTTTCCAGAAAAATCTCTCTCCCAAGTATGCCTTTGAGAATACCTTTCAAGTTCATACTTTGTTTGAAGAGGTTTGAATACAGTCCGATACTTTCTTTCAACTCACCCTCTGAATTTCCTTTAACCCATTCCTGATTTGGCTTTTTCATGGAACCTAACATGCCCGTTAAGCCTGTCACAAAATCTTAGAATAACTCTCAGCCATATTCAGGGCTCCACATAAAGTTTAAAAAAATCTATTCATAGGAAATGGTTAACTAGTGCCTTTAAGGGCTGTGCTCTAGCTGAGCCCAGTGGCCCCTGGGGCCCAACTTTTCCTCTTGAGTGACGCAGAAGTCTTATTTTCTTTTCATACAAATCATATGCTGGGCACCCTAGATTTTACAGGTTCAGAACACTGGGCTTCCTTCAATTTTCCTTAGAGCACAGCCTTGGCCTTATTCATGTGTACTGTTGCTTTTGCTGCATACAAAGGGAACATGAACTATATTTATCATATGTATCCCTATATTAATTAATTATATTATAACAACTGTTTGCGTTGCAGAATAGAGATGGGCGTGTCACCAAACGTGATTTTAGACGCGTGTTGGAAAGCTTCTGTTTTCGAATGAGCCAACAGCAGTTTCATGAGCTGATGGCCATGATTGATCCCTACAACAAAGGTTATGTGTCCTATTTGGAATTCCTGGACAGATTTGAGCAAAGAGAAACAAAGGTAATATATAGTGCAGTAGTGTTTAGTAAACGACCAGACGGTCCAGCTCTATTGAACGAAATATCTTTACCTACCCTACCGCCTTGAAGATTAATTTTGTCAACCCCACCCCTTAAGTCCAGGGTTAAGGGAAAAAAACAGGAAGAACTCAAATTTTGTTTCCTCAGGCCCATTTCATCTTTGTCAGAGTTTATCATTTACTGAGAAGGTGACTTTCCTGGGTCTTATCCCTAAATCTTGGCAAGCGCGCATGACAAGTTACTTGCCCTACAGGAAAAGTTCTTACCAGAAGTGATTTTGTTCGAGCTTTAAGAATTGAGGAATTCCAAAGCCACAATCCTGGCCAAAAGGTTTTGGGACAAGTCTTTTTCACGTGGTATATATTGGAATTTGCAGCTAACCAGCAATACACACTGATAAAGACGGCCTTAATAAGATTTCCTTTATGATTTACTTTATGTGAGCGCTTTTTAAAACATCCAATGTTTATAAATCATTTGCAATGTAGTAGTTATCTCGACAGAAAAGGAAGGACACTTGCTGTGCCAAAATCTAGAGGTTGCAGTAACTTATTATAAAAACCTACTTGATTGCTACTAAAACTGTTTTTGCTGTGTTATGTTTCTAGGATGCCCACCCATGGCTGATATCAGATCACTCACCCAAAAGTGTTTCTCCTCCTGCTGTGATGGCCTGGTCAACTGTAAGTTCCTTGATTGTCTACTGCTGGTTTCTGATAAAAAGTACACAAACCTAACAAAATTGGCAGTATTGAGCAATTTCCAAACAACATGTAGCCCACCTTTTTTTCAAAATGAGTTCTGGTGCTCATTCTTTCATATGAAAATAAGTTGTCATTCAAATCACATGCAGAAGTAAATTTATTTTCATACGAATGGGTGTGTACCAGACCACGCTTTGCTGAGGATGCTCAGAACAACTCCCAAACTGGCTGTCGATGAATTTGTACAAGAGGTCATTCCTCAGCAGGCAATTTTGATGCCATGGGCCATAGCTACTGAATTACTCTCGGCCTAACGTACACTAGGGCTAACACTCAAAGTATCAATTTGATGTGATATATTGCAAAAGTACAAGTCTCTTTCGGAATCAGTGAATAAAAAGATACTATTTACCATACTTGCGTGATGTAGATTTTTTTCTGGTTTATTTGTAGGTGGAAGACATCTTACGATCCAAGATCACAGATAATTGGAAGGCAATAGCATCAGCTTACCTGGGTATTGACGGTGATAGAGATGGCTCCATTTCACGTAACGAACTAAAGCAGCTACTGGAAAGATACTGCCTTCCTGTTTCAGAGGACCACTTTGACCTGTAAGTCCCAATATGCAGGGGTGACGTTTAAGGCCAGTTCATTTTTAGTCTGTTTCAGGCTCCGAGATAATCGCAGTGTGCAAAGAAAGTCATTTTTACAGCTTGCCATTCGGGCAAGCTGAAGCTAGCATTTACTAGGCCAAACGTCATTAAACTAGCCCCCCCCCCCCCAAATTTTTTATGAGAAGTTGAATTTCTTGAATACTTTGAATACTTCACTTCGGGCAAGTTAAGAACAGAATTCACCAGCCCGATGGTAAAATCCATTAGCCCCGGGCTATCGGACACTACTTTCTTCGCGTGCTGTAGTCGTTTCCGCGAATTGGAGAAAGCGCGAGCACGAACATTAAACGGGAGGGAACTGGGGAGAGGAGGTGCTCCCTTCCTTTTTTCCCGCCATCGTTCCCTTTTCCCAGGCTCGCGTTCAGATTTTCGCGTGCCGTTCACTAACGCGTCATCGTTACCATCTGATAGCCTGGAACAGGCTAATTCATTGTTTACAGTACTAATAGGCCACTTCCGAGTTCCAAAAACCCTCACTTTCATAATAAGGTTCAAGTGCGCAACCTTTGTTGTGAAAATGAGTTTTATTTGCATGAGAATGACAAATTAATTCCATATCAAAGGCTGAGCACCTAACCTCGTTTTGATACAGAGGTTAGGGGAACTCGGAAATGGCCTATGTATTGACTATGTATCGTATTTATCTTTGCAAGGATGTGGAGTCGCTGTGATGAGAATGCAGATGGTACGATTGATTTTCAAGAATTTCTTAGTAAGCTGGTAAGGGGAACTTCATGTAATTTGCAGTGTAGTAATCCACAAGGCCGATTTACATGGCACAACTTTGTTGCATGCGATGACCTTATCATAAGCCTACGACACTTAGTTCGAAAGATACCTAAATGTCTGGAGTTTAATCGCATCCTCTGACGATACGCAACTCACTTTGACTCAGAGGTATTAGTCTTTCTCGTAGCAGTCCCATCCAAGACTACTCTTCTACACAACTTTCATACGCGATATAGCTATGACTTGGCTCATCGGTTCAAACCGTTCACGAATTTTAACATATCCTATCTTCAGGGCGTAGATATTATTGGGGGAGACATCAATGGGTTGAGCACTCGAATTCACGATGAAAACGAAGCAAAAGTGCAGTTCATGAAGCAGGATCAGTCTACGAGGTACGAATCTTATTGAATAATGAGACAGTCAAATTTTGCAAAAAGCTTTTAACAATGGTATCAGTGAAGTGCACGTGGTGTTAAAATTTGTTTTTCATTTCTTTGCTTAATCCCGGGCTACTTTTTAATGGTTGCAATTTTTCAGATTGGAATTGGCAGAGGAGAGAGCACAAAATCTGACTGGCCAGAAAACAGCCAATGAATGCATGGATATACTCAAGGTATTTATGAATATTTGAATATTTGAAACACTCGACACCGTGTTTCATATCATATTATCAAGGCATAGGTTGAAAAACCTCCGTTCTGCCTTATTTTCACGGTATATGCATTTACTTTTCAGGAGTACATTGCCCAGCGGTCTCCAGATTTCAGAAAAACGTTTGTAAAATTTGACAGTGATGGAGATGGGAAAATTTCGAGAAAAGAATTCAGAATGGTATGTGTTAATTTGGTTTTAGTCAAGGGAAAAAATAGGTTCAAAGAAGATGATTAGCCTTTGTGTGAAATGTTCGTGTATTTATCTATTTATTTCTTTTTAACTTCCGTAGGTGTTGGACAGTCTGGGTCTATACATGAATGACGATCAATTTCGCATTCTAAGCGCAAGGTACACTTTCTTTGCTGTGATTGGTTAATTCTTAGAGCTCGCTGCCTTCCTCACTAGCCTGTTCACAAACTCTCTATTTTCTCTTTAGAGACCGTCGAGCACGCGTATGAAATGGAAACCGCGGGGGGGATATTGATCGCTCGTTCTTGAGTGCTCGCTTCGCTCTAGTGCTCACAAAATTCGGTTAAAAAAAAAAACAAAGCAAAGAAGATAAAGGAAAAAAAATCTGTTGATAGGCTATCACCCGCAGGTTTTTCTAAGGAGAAGCGAGGGAGGAGCGAGGAGCGTGGACTTAAGTGCGGGGGGTTGGAGATGAGCACGGAGCGCGAGCAGGGGATGGTGGGAAGCCAAAATAGAGAAAAGAGAAAGTCGCTTTTCTTTTCTCTTCTTTTGTCTCTCCCTCCAACCCTGCTTCCCTCAATGATAAACTAAGATGTCTCCAAATTAGCGATCGCGAGCGGCGGGGGCGAGGCATTATAGCTGGGAAATTCAAAAGATCGCAGATTACTATGGCTAATGATTTGTATAACTGTCTACTTCTTCAGGCTGGGATTTCACAAAGGAAAATCGTCTTACATGGAATTCTTGGACAACTTTCAGGATCGACGTTCGTTTGGTGTGGGAGAGAGGGTGACAGAGTACCCAAGCCACAGGTACAATGTTTTGCACCTTCTGATCCAACTCCGTGTACACTGCTGATAACGCGCAAAAAATTACAAAAATAAGTAAACATTACTCAACTTTACTGATAAGAACAGAACAAACGTGAAACAACAATTTGTGGAATATTCACTTTAATTATCGTTTGACAGACCTAAACTTGAGGGCCACCTTGAAGATAGAATCTTAAATCAAAGACGTGCACTTATGGTTGAGATTTAGTAGAAGAGTAATTTCAAATAAAACTGAACCTTATTCCAGGGTTTTCTTTGATTCCAATGTGTTTTTTAGAGTTTTAAAGTAATCTAGTCTAATTTCTTTAGAATTTTACAGGTGTGATACCTTTAAAGCTTAAGACCACAAGGGAAATTTCGTTGTATGTCAGTCACCAGCACACAACCCTGAGGGTCACATCACTCCAGATCTGATTCTGAAGAAGTAAACTGAGAGACGTTTATCTTTTCCCCTTTTTCAGGTATAACCGTCCAATTCCTCAGGAGGAGTCCATGAAAGCAAGTGTCGTGGAAGCAAGACTGCGAACCAAACTTAGGGAGAACTTTCAGGTAAAATAAACCGAGAATTTATCCTCATTCAAACTTGCTTTTTTAACTACTCTACAACCGAATCATCTTTTCTTTCGGTAATTTTTTTTACTCTGATCACTGTTTTTAGACATGAGCACATGGCGATGTTAACTTTTGTCATCTAAAATCTTCTTTCGTACTTTTGTTCTTGTGTTCCGCAGGATTTGCGTGCAGCGTTCCAAAAGATTGACTTTGATCGCAACGGCCTCATAACTCGACCAGAATTCAGGCGGATCCTGGACTCATTCATGTTCATGTTATCGGATGAAGACTTTGACAAACTGATGACGAACCTTGGCATACAAAAGGGAGCTAAACTAAACTACAGAGAATTCCTTAAACGGTTCGAACATGTGGAAAAGGTCGAAGAAGGACATCCTTGGTTGTACTCAAATCACAGGTAAAGGAAATTGTTAAAATATAACAATCAACCGTCACTGTCGTCAGGCTAAAGCTCCCCCAGTATCGCTGAGTACAGCTACACGAGCCTGTTGCCTTGATTGTAATACCCATTGGCTCTTTTCACACCAGAGACGGATTCAGATTCAGGCACTAAAGAGTGTGATACAGTTTTTAAAAATCTTCTTTCTGTCAAGGAATTTGACATTGATGGGGTTTTTTGTCGTTTCCTTACATGTAGCTTTAACGAAACGCAAGATCTGAACTACATGACTGCAGAACAGGCAGACGAGGTCATCAAAAGAAAAGCTTGGGAACAAAACGAAGATGTAGCTAAAGCCTTCCTGACCTTTGATCGTGATGGGAATGGTATTGTCTCCAAGAAAGAGCTCAGGAAAGTCCTGTATAAATACCAGATACCGCTCAACAAAGAAGAGTTCACTAAACTTTGGAACAAGTATGTTATTAGTTCAGCCTAACCCTTAAAGCTCTAGAGGTAACACAGTCCAATTTCTTTTTATAAATAAATATGATTGTATCATTAAGCAAATAAGTCATGAGAACAAAGGATGTGTCATAGATAAAATTTCTTGATTTTAGGTCATTTTAAACCAATTCTTGTCATCAATTCCATAAGAAACTTTTAGAGAACAGTTAGAAAAAATAATGTGCTGATGTTAGAGTTAACTAGACTTAAACGCGCTTTGCAGTTTCAACTGTGATGTGTCCTTAGGTGGCAGAATTCAGGAAAATGGTTTAAGTAAGAGGCAAGAAGTTAAGAAAAAGTAGCAAAACAAAATTGTGCAAATGTCAAATGAGGGAACATCTCGATGGCTCGTTGAGTGAACCTGTCGATTGGTCGTATTTCAATAAAGAATAACAAAACACAGAAAGATAGGTGCTGGAATGCTACAATTAGAAATTATTGAATGGTAAAGAGCGCGTGAGACAGTCTTTCTCACTCTCTTTTCCCACCTCTCACTTAAACATGTAACCGAACTCCCAGGAGAAGCTATTCACAATTCAGTCAGCAGAATGCGTGTTATACGTCACTTTCGTTGTTGTCTTTTTGTTTCTTTAATTATCACTTTTTTCTTTGTGCAGATATGATACTGATGGCAATGGCTATGTAGATCATAAAGAGTTTCTGGCCAAGTTAGGAGGAGAGCTAGCTCCCGGTGATATACATGGACACAGTACACAGATAGCACAGCAAAGTCAACAGGTTCTAGAGAGCATGTACAGAAACCAACAGGTGTGTACTCATGCTAGCTAGTATTTGTGACGAGTGTGCGTAATTATGATATCGCATAAATTATGCTTAATACCGACACCTCATTATTACGGACAGCGTGCTCTGTCGCTGGGGAAAGAAAGTAGTTACATGTTCTCTTTAAATTCAACCCGCTTAGAATAGGCACTTTCTATGACCCCCTCAGTCTCCGTATTAACGGGGTTTGACTCTGTAATTATTACACGTTACTCTACTCCAATCCTACTAAAATAATTTTTTGATCGAACTACATTTTTGAAGTGCAACACGCTCTTTTTTGGAGGATCGTTTCTTACCTATGGTTCGGGATGGCCCTCGAGATAACTTTGTAGTGTATTAACGACTAATCGCCTCGTAATTTTTTTCACTTAATAAAGGATATGCACTTGGCTGCCACGTGGAATCAGGCCCAGGCTGCCTCTTTCTTGTCCGCTCTTGAGGTCGAGCAACAGTTGAGGTAAGTGGTCCCTTGAATTTCTAGCTACCTATGGCATTATAGGGGAGGGGGGGCAAGGGTGGCGCCGTGGTGAGATCACTTGCCTGCCAACAATTTGGCCTGGTGTCGACGCCATATGTGGGTTGAGTTATTTGTTGGTTCTCTCCCTTGCTCCAAGAGGTTTTTCTTCGGTTACTCCTGTTTTCCCCTTTCCTCAAAAACCAACATTCTCAAATTCCAAGTAGACCAGGAATCAGACAAAAGGCCACTATGTGGATGCGCTTCCTATAAATCGTTATTATTATAGCAAGTATTATACCGGCCGATTCATGGGTTCTTGAGACCAAAGCGTGAAATTTCTACCATTTATTTTCTGTAATACAGTACCGTATCCTTAATCCCCTCCGATGTGGTAAGATGCCAACTTCAGCCCTCTTATGTCTTCTCTTAATTTCCAGGGATTCATTATTACTTTGATTTGCTGTTTTGTCTCGTTTTTCGACTGTAGAGATCGTTTTCGAGACGGCTATGAAAGTCTGAGGAAAGCATTTGAGACCGTTGACACCAACAGGGACGGATACATCTCAAGACATGAGCTTCAGAAAGTGCTATTTGACTTCCACTATTTTTTGGATGATGTGCAGCTCAATATACTCCTGGACAGGTCAGTATTGATCACTTTTGCGATTATTATTATTAGTTTCTTGAATTTTTGTTTCCTGAATTCGCAAAATTGGTTAACCACAGATACTCGTGCATAGAGTATATAAGTGGACGTCGTAACTATCCCTGGATTTGCGCTAATCGCCCTTTGATCAACTCATGAGGAGGAAGAGCACAAAACAGAGCAAAAGGTGATAGGGGCAGCATGAAAAATGTTCCAGGATTCACTTAACCTTCTTACTTCTAAATATTGGTTATCTAGGGTGCCGCGGTTCCGGTTTCGGTCAAGTCTTTCTACTGACGCGCGCGAAAATATTTTTCTCGCGGCCTCACGGCTCGTAACTTCGCCCTGCGCTCGACTCCTAAACATTCCGCTACGCGCGCCGGGGGAAAAAAACCTAGGGTTTCTACGGCACAACTGGAACTCTAATAATGCTTGGTCCATGTGCATCAGTTGACAATCCCGTCTTTGTTTCCTGTAGGTGTGGACTATCGCATAAGAGCAAACTGTCCTACGAGAAATTCCTGAGCGCTTTTGAGGATAACAGGCATGCAGGTTATGGCCGCGTTACCCTGGACACGCCAGGTAAAGTCGTCACGCCTGTTGTATTTGAGAGACACGATTCTCTTACCCCAGAAGCAGCCATCAACAGACTAAGAAGCAAGATCAGTGAGAATCCTGAAACCATTCAGAGGGTAAGTGTACTTATGTCCAGGATTGCAGGCTGTGGTAAAACGTTTCTACCATATATCGATAGGAATTTTAGCAACAAATATCTAAAAGACATTGTATTCAGAAAGATCTATAACAGCAAGACCCTTCTTATGGGGGTACATTGGTCTGCCATCTGCGCGATGAAGTGGCTTTGCAAGAGGGACGGGACACGCAACGCCCCCTTGGTTTTACGGAGGGGATGGGGGTTTGTTGTTCCATTTTATTCTGTCCAAGATTGTAGCTAGAGGAGCTAAGTACACTTTCACAACAAACACAGCATATACATTCTTTCCGTTTACGTCTAGGCCAAGAAAAGGATGCTCTTGCCTTCGTATACTTAAACTTATTATCTTAGTTGGGTGTAAACGAAAACAAAAGACAGTGATGTCATTGCGTTCTTTTCCAGGCTTTCGCCGCGTTTGACCGAGATGGAATGGGACTGATATCCAAAGAGGATTTACATCAGATAATCAATGCATTCTGTTTTGTGATGTCTGATAAACAGTTTCAGGTAAAGTATCTTATTTCTCTGCTGTAAAATATTAACATGCAAAGAAACAAGCACCAAAATACTTCAAGATTATTTGGTTTATTAAGGGCCCAGTTTACAGTTTGTGGAATTTTCCAAGGCACAAGTCAACAAAGAGAAATATCGCTACCTAAATCGTGGTAGCTAGTGCCAGCCAATTATTTGAAAATTCTGAGTTGAAGCGAGTACAGTACCGCGTAAAAGTAAGTAGACACTTGAAGCTCGAAACTCGAGACTCGATCCTCGCATCTCGAAGCTCGAACGCTTCGAGTTTCGAGTTGCGTGGATCGAGTCTCTCACAAAGCTGCACCGCCTTTGTAAGGGACCTTTAACTTGAACATTGTGCTTTTGCCTTGTTGTAGTTTTTGTTGTTGTTTTATTATTGTTATTTCGTGTCAAAACTGGTGAAAAAAGATACTTCAACAACTCTATGATTTTAATATACTAAACAATGACGTCTCTTAAATTTGGAGGTGAGATCCACTTCGTGACAAAAATTTTAAAAATCCCAATTTCATTTCTATAAAACATATGCCACATGAAGGTACTGCCCGAAGGGTTTAGAATTTTGTCCGCAGACTTTGTGTCACATAGCTTAAATCTGCTGGTTCTAATCAACGTAATGAACTTTGTATTCCTCAGACGCTTATGAAAAAGGTAAACGTGAGTGAAGGAGGTCTGATATCTTATGAAGAGTTTTTCAAGAGCTTTCAAAAATCAGACGCCGAGGTAAGTGGACCTACGTGCCAAATATTATTATATTTTAGATGTTAGGTAAAGGTTTTAGAACTTGGAATCACATTGGCGTGGCAAGATGGACACAGCAGAATCTATTTTATCTAAATCTGTTACTGTGTTGTTACATTTGTTAGGCCAGTCGCAAATGGCTGGAGAGTTTATATCCTTCCCCTGACAAGCGCCAAAGAACCGCTGAGCATGTTAGCAAGCGACATCGTGGGATGACGGACGCTGAAGTTGAAAAGAGAGTGCGAGAGGTTGTCGTGGCAAGATTTTATAGTCTTGCAAAGGTAATGTTTCTTTTCTAATGTAAGCTTCATTTCCAGCCAAAGTCTAGTCACCGTTGCCCTCTGTTTGAGCAAAGTTTAACTGACTGACGAGACTGGCTTAAAGCATTGATACTTCACCTTACTCTTTTCACTTCCTGAGCGAATAACACAGTCTTGTTAGGTGGCTCCAACTTGTGAGTCTGTGGACAAAATCCTGTTGTGTCACCATTCAAATGGAACCTCCTTAGCAGTCATTTCAGATGGTGCTGCATGGTGTTCAGCATTTTGCAAAATGAAATTTGAAGCTTTTGTCGAATTTTTGCTTCGGCCACTGTCGGAAGTGAAATGGCCTTACAAGGTACCCGAGGAAAAATCTGCCAGTGTAGGAGCTCAATTAAGTGATTTAGTTTAGCTCTAATGTTTAGACTTATCACCTGATATTACAATTAAGGTAAAATTTCGAAAAAATTTTTAGGGAATTAAGTACCAACGTTTCGAGTGTTTGGCATCGTCGGTGCTTATCATTTTTCGACTGCTGGGCAAATTTGGGACCTTAGGCCTCGAAGCGGTGAAAAGAGTGGTTCCGTTTTCACTGTGACGAACGCTCAAAAAGCAGCGATAAAAGTTAGTAGTGCGTTTATACTGAGCGTAACCGCAACCGTGCATTTAAACCTCGATGGTGTTTTACGGCATGTTATCCTATTTTCGAGCGCCAGGCATTATAGAACCTTCCATACTTTGAAATGTCCACAGTAATCCATTTATGCTACGTAAAACTACACCGTCGGTCGAAAATCTTCTTGCTGTTGTTAGTACTGTTCGGAACTGAAAATAATATTTGGGATGGGTTTGTTCTCCAAAAGTTCACTCGTCAGAAAAGATACTCTTGCTTTTGAGTTTATAAGCCACTTATTTATCTCTCTCTGTTTTTAGAGCTTAATTCGATAAATGTACCGGGATTGTTTTATTCCCAGGCGTTCACAGATGAAGACACCCACCACACGGGGACAATCAGTGGCCCGGCTCTGCATGAAATACTCAACGAACATGCATTCCGTATGAGCAGCGATCAATTCAGTTTTATTTGGAGTAAACTTCCAAAGAACGCTGAAGGCAAAGTAGATTACAGGGATTTTCTGAAGATTTTCTCCACGCGAACAGATGTTGTACGAGTGGCATCCACGACACCCCCTCAATCACGCGATAGAAGGGTGAGCTCGCCGCTTTCGAATTTTTACAAGCTTGTGTCTGCTGAAAAGATTCCATTCCCCACACCAGTTGAACCCCAAAGGCTTTTTCAGTTCTCAATCCTTATTTACATTGACAAGTTTGCCTTGATACGTTCTGGTCTTGCCTTGATATTAAGGATAAAAAATTCCATACTTTTCCATTTACATTATCAAGGAAAGTTCTTTTTAAAGAAGCCTGCGTAGCCGGTGGTTTTGTTTGGTGAGCGCGCCATTCAGTGGCGAAGCGGCAAAAGCGCCGGCGGGAACGAGCGCCATTCTCTGTCCCATTCTCCCGGCCGCTTTTCTGCTCGGACGCGCTCCCGACCCTAACATAACCACCAGCTACACAGGCCTTTTCAAAGAAAATTGCTATGATAAATGCGGTTTTGAGTTAATACTATTTAAGCGTAAAGCTTGTTACTAAGTCTTCAACCATATGCAATTCATTTTTTGTTTACAAACCTATGGGGTGGTAAGCTTTGTCATCTTTCGACAAGTTGTTATTGTCAAAATTTACTTGCGCGCCTTTGTTGCAGATTTCTGAGTCCGCAATGTCGCCAGTACGTTCACCTGCCAGGATTCCATCACCTGAATCACTGACACCGCCTCCTTCAGCAACTGATGTGGAAAGAAAAATTAAAGACGCGGTAGGTCTTGAATGTAATGTTGTCGATAACGACAACGTTAAAATTATTATTGTAGGAGAAAAGAGGGTTATGATCTCTTTAGATCATCGATGTAGTGTTTCACTCTTAAGAGGGTCAGACCGAATGACTTTCCGTGTACCATACATGTTTGGCATCTTCCAGGTTCTTTTCATGCTACTGAATGACAACCAAAGCCCCCAGTTATACTGTCTATTGGACTGTTTGTTTGTATTTTAGGTTTGTCGTCGTTGGCAGCAGATGCAGAAATCTTTCAGAAACATCGACAGCGGAAACAAAGGAGTCGTTAACTTTGAGCAACTTAGAGGTGTGTTTGGATCTTTTGTTTTGTTTTGCTTTCTTACCTGTTTGTGTTTGTTTGTTTGTTTTTGTTTTCTTTTTTTACTGCTGTATTAGTCGCATCTTGTGGTTCCAAGCAGTGACTGTTTATTTCGAGTTTATGGAAACTAATACTCCATTTGTTTATTTCTGTTTAAGTTATTTTATGGAAGCACGATATTGAGCTCAGCCCAAACGAATTGTGGTCTTTGTGGAGGAAACACAGCAGTGAGGAAAAAGGAGGGTACGTTTTGTGAACCAGCTTAGGTTTTCCAAAACGTGAAACAAAAGAAACGAAAACCTCCTTGAAGTTGTGGCTGGTTCGATAAATGCGACAATAGGTCATTTCTGAGTCTCGCGAGGCCTCTGTTTCAAAGCGAGACTAAGTGCGAAGCCATTGATATGAAAACGACTTTTTTCTTGTGCAAATGTTAATGAGACTCGTTATCTAAAGAACGTTTTGCATTTAGCCTCGTTTTGAAAGTGAGGGTTTTTGGAACTCGGAAATGGCCCTTTTACTGAAATGGGGTATATTTTGGATATGTCCTTCTGTTCTCCCACCCTGCGTAGTCGGGGGGGCGAGGGGGGTGGGGAGGGGTATGCCTTCAATTTTTTTATACATGGCTAGAGAGTGGCAAACAGAACATGAAAACTTGAAGAAGCTGATGGTAGTTGTAATTTTGTTTCATCGATGTTCCGAGAACTTGAGAAAGGAGGGACTTGTTTTACCCCTTGTTGAAGTAAATCTTTAAGGCATATAAATCAGTAATTTTCTTTGTTAAGACTTTTGGCGAATGTGCCAGACGTTAATCGAGTCTTGTCTCTCTTTTCAGAATCGAATACAAAGATTTTATGCGCCATTTTGTGTTGAACCTTAAGTCGCAAGATAGCAATTCTCTCGCTAGACCCAAGCTACAAAACACCCGAATTCCGGTGAGTTTTACTAAGGGCAAAACGACGCTTAGTTAAAGTGTGGTCCAGCCTTCCCCATAAGCACCCAGTCAAATGACTGCATGGTGTAGCAGTGCCATTCGTAATCTTCAGAAAGGCTTCCCAGAGATAAGCCAAATGCTATTAAAATCCCTTTTAATTCAATCCTGCTTATGTTCATTTTTCATGTTGAGTCAGACCAACTTAATACGTAGAGCAAAGAAACAGAGTCAAGTGTCCCCTTTACAAGGGTGCCCCTAGTATGTGATGTGGGAATTAAATGAAATTTAGTGTCTTTGGGACCAATAGAACTGTCGGTAATGTTGTATTCCTATCAACAGAACCCGTTACATCACATACGATACAGTACGGCAGCGCACAGCATTCTGTCGTTCTGTAAAACTGATTAGTTGTATTTGTTTTCAGACAAGCCCAGGGGTAAGGAGTGATCGGTTCATAGAGCTCATGGCTACAATCCGCGCCTCGGTACGGCGCGACTGGAAGGAAATGAGAAGAGCTTTCAGGGTAAGATTCTTACAAATGATCTTAAACCTAATTCTGTCTCTAATTCGTTTCCGATCTAATAAACCCTAACCAGTAATAAATCCTTTGAATGATTATTTTGCTTGTGGGATACACTAAAAACGCGCATTAAAGAATCTTTAATTTTCCTCGACGAAAGACTGAAATGGTTCGTATACATTTAGTGAGTACTGAGAACTGAACAAACCTTATACAATGCACATTGCGTTCATTCTCACCACAATGCAGTAACTGAAAAGTATCTCCATAAATGTCCTTATTTTCCGTGTCATACACTTCCAAATTTCGAACTGGAAGACACCAACATCTCAAACAATTGTTTCCGAGCTCCTAAGTGTTTGTTGGGTAAATAAATGATATTTTCATCTCATCGCAACTACATTACAAAACGTAGTCGTTGTGAGATACACTTCCGTGTAGCCTGAGAGGCGGTTATATTCGCTCGCTAACTTGTCTTGCGTTTACACCAGAGTCTTCTTAAACTTCAGTACTTCTTTTTTGTTGTTTTGGGGTTTTTGTACTGAAAATCTTTTTCACTCGTTAGTTGAATTAGCTCTTATGTGAGTTGCTAACTTGGTCAAATTTGAGCCCTGACCTTCTGAATCCGCATTTTTTATGCGTGTTCTACTGCGAATCGAAATGGGCATTAATCGTAGTTTAGCTTGTTTTTACGTCTGAACAAACAGGCCGCATTTAGCAGCCAGAGTTCAGCCACTCCCCTGTCTTGCCGCTTTTTCATTACCTTCGACAGTCTAGGGTTCAAATGCTCGTGACCAGCCATCAGTGTTTAGGTTCTTAACTTCTCTGCTAACGTCACGAAATTAATAAAAATTCAAACAGTGGAAATCGTCACCAAGTTGAGTGAAACTCCAAAATAAAAGCTAAAAACAGTAAAAGAAGGTAAAAATCACAGCAAATACAAAGGGAGGCACGTATGGACAAACTTGATGAAAACAGAAACGGATTGCAGTTGAGGTTTTTGAAAATTTATTGGCCTAACATTTTTTTTAAAGTTCAGTTTTTTGTCTATAACTTTTGATACAATGCTTGGGGGACAGATTTGTTTGATATGAGGCAGTGATTTTGAATTTGCAAGTTATTTCTTTGCTTACGCTAAGTTCGAAAAAGGATGTGTAATTGAATTGGCAATATTACTGCGCTTTTCAAAAACACGCGAACTCTGAAGTTCAAAAGCCAACTGACATTTGCGTTTTTCGCTGCCGTCAATCATCTTAGTGGACCTCTCAGGAAACAGAACTTTACTTCAACGGGTTCAAAGGTCATGGTTTGTGATCTGTGATTGCTGGATTTCGATCCGTTTCGTGTGCTTCTGTGTTTCAAGGTTCGTTGCTTGTGATCGTAATTATGATCGACGGCAGCGAAAAACGCAGTTGTGAAGACGGCTTTTGAGCTTTAGAGTTCGCGTGTTTGTGAAAAGTGCAGTAACAAAATGAACTAGACAGCCGTGACACAGCCCCGTCTACGTTTGACTTTTGTGATTTTGACCAGTGCTTTACTTAGTGTGATTATTCCTTCTCTTCTTATTTCCAGGGTTTGGATAAAAGTGGCTGTGGTACTTGCTCTCTTCTTGAGTTCAGAGAGATGATGAGAAAATTTAAGATCGAGTTAAGCGAGGAAGAGTTCTTCCATCTATTTTCGTTTTACGACAAAAACATGACGGGCAAGATTTCTTACAACGATTTCCTCCGAGCACATTTAGAATAAGCATGCACGATGTTAGAAGTTTGAGATCTCAAGGAAGGTTCGGTAGAAGCGCATCTACTGTCTGTGCTACCTTGCATAAACCAAGGGATTTCATGTAATGATTTCTCTTTGCTATTCCAAATCGTTGTGTATGTCGAACTCTTAAATAATAAAATTGTAAAGAGTGATTTCATGTGATCGATCACTGTAAAGAGACATGTAAATCTCTCTGATGTAGGTGTTTATAAAATAAATGAAACGAATGAAGGGAAAGATGTGTTTGATGTACCTCACTTGCCTTTCTTAGTTCTTTGAAAAATAATTGAATGAGGAATATTTCTTTTCCCGTGGGCTCCCGGCTCTCAAATTCCTAAGAGCTTGAGCCCAGCCCCTGTGGTCATCAGTATATTTTGAACGTCGCATAAATCAATACAGTGGATAAATCTCTGTCAGACGGATAGCTGGTGATAACTAGTCTTGTTCAGAGATGTCAGTGGTGCGCCTGGGCAGGAAAAAGAAAGGAGTCAAGGAAAGAGACAAGAAGAAGATGATGATGGTGATGAAGGTGATAATGATGAACAAGAAGAAGTAACAAAAACGAACAAGAAGAACAACGACAAAAGCAACAACAAAACAAGACGAACAAAACAAGTACAACAGCAGGAAGAACAAGAAGTAGGTAAAGATGGAGAACTGAAGAGCGAGAACGTGAAGCAGTGAATGAAGAAGATGAAGAAATATAAGATGAAGAACATGAGCAAGAAAAAGAAAGAAGAAGAGCAACAACGACCAGAAGAAGAAGCAATAACAAGGAAAGGAAGAACAAGAACAATAACGAAAAGGACAAGAACAAGAAGAACAAGGAAAAGAATACGACAAGAACATCAAGACGAAAACAACAAGAAGAAGTAGATGAGGATGAAGAACAAGAGCAAGAAAAAGATGATGAAGAAGAAGAACGAGAACAAGAACAATAACAATAAAACAACAAAAACAGCTAGAACGACAAAGAACAAAACAAAAACAACGACGAGGAGGACAAACAAGAAGAAAAAATTAAGCAAGAACAAGAAGTAGATGAAGCTGAAGAACAGCAAGGTCAAAAGCAAGAGGATGATGATGATAAAGGACAAGAACAAGAATAAATCACGAACAACAGCAAGAAGAAGAACGACATTAAGAACAACATAAGCAAGACAAAGAACAAAACAAGAAGAACAACAAGAAAATCGACAAGAAGAACAAGAACAACATTTTAATGGTGGATAGCATTTTAGAATATGCTAGGGTCAAGGATACCTGTATAATAGCTTATTGAGCTAAGCGTAAACTTCACATTACATAAAGTACTTGTCTTATGTTTAACTTATCTTAAGATGGTAAATCAATATATAGCCTAAATAATACGGTCTAGAGAATACTCCCATGAGGCACGCCACTTTGGTTAGGGGATTTGACAAAGCATTTCTAATGCTGACCGCCTTGGTTCTATTGTGCAAATAATTTGAAAACCAGTTTAGAGAGTTCGTCTTTATGCTACATCTCTCTGACTTTACAATAAGTGCATAATTTGGCACAGAATCGAAGGACTTTCTTAGGTCGATAAACACAGCTCCCAAGAGCTTTTTAAGGTCAATGCCTCTATTGATAGAATCGCAAAAGAACATCACCGCGGTGAGTGTGGAGTGGTGAAAGGGACTTAATAAATCGCTCTGCTTTAGATAGTGTTGAAGCTGACGTTCACAACCACCTCAGAAATTCTGGACACAACTGGAAGTATTAATCGGTCCATAAGTATCCATGATTGCCTGTCCACCACACTTGTACAGTGGCACCACCATTGCTTTCTTCCACTATCAGGCGCTAAGCCAGTCAACAAAGAGAGATGAGCTATGTGCGTAACCGAGGGAACTTAACGCTGGCGCTGTCTTTTCATTTCAAAAGACCAGCTGGTATGTTGTCCAGACCGCTGGAGACACCGACACTAAAAAGCGCGCCAACGCGAACTATTCCGCGTCACAGGCGTCCGAAGGGGAATTAAAGAGAGAATTCGGGCGCCCAAAGCCACGTAAGATCTCACAAGCAATGATTCTTTGACGCGACTACAAAAGCCCAGTTGTACAATGAGGTGCAATTCATTTAGTGCAATTCTGATTTTAGAGCTACACTGATCGATTCGTGCAAACTCGCTTCAATTCTTACAAGAACGCGAAAATCTAACATGTTCCGAGAACTCTTTGCTGACTACATATTGTGCAGTTACTCTGTGTGACACTTTCGAAGAACAACTTGAAATTGTTAAGCTTAAAACCTGACAACGTCAAACGTCAACCTGAAACGTAAATGAAAACGATGTTCAGGATCCACTGTGATACAAGCACTGATAATAGCGTAGAACGTTTAACTTTCTGCTTGGCCATGACTTTTTTTTAATGAGCGTGAATGGTTCAGACCTTGAGATTGTGTTATGCTGAATAAACCTGTGATGGGTAAATTTGTCTAAGAAATATGAAGACCTTGTTTTTCCGGCATGCTAAAATGGTACAGCGTAAAATTCTCGCTCTTATCCGCCTTTTGGAGTTAGTAGTATAGCTGGAACCGTTTACTTCCTTGAAGGCGTCGGTTTGCTGTGCGCATTGTACAATGTGGCAAGGAGAAATCTCCTTTTTGATCTAAAATTAATAATAGCAAAGTAATCAGAAATGTTTTTGTAAACGAGTCAACCAAGGCAAACTCGAATTCACAGTTCAATTCAAACTCAAACTCAAACTCAATCAAACAGGTACGCAAACACACATCTGATATGGAGCTACAAATCGACTCGAAATTGAAGTAGGATCCAAACTGAAACACAAACTTGAACTGGGACTGCAAGGCCAAGCCCGGAAAATACGATTGAGACTTGGAGTAATCAATTTAATCGCTATCTCTAACATACCATTCGTGTTATTTTGACCAACGTCCATTCTTTTTTAAAATGACATGAAATGATGCATTTTACAGAGAAAAGTACGACGGATTAACGTACTTTCAGGTTGAAATGTTTAAATGAAAATAAAGAAAACTACCTTGAGTTGAATGCGAAATGAAGCCGATTCCTTACCTAAAGCAATGTACTTATTTATCTATTGCTTCCCGCGTCAAAATCTTAGTGGCAGAAAATATGTAGATCTCTGTTTGTGTCTCTTGATGGCATTTGGGTTCCTTGAAGTCGACCTCGTGACAATGGCAATTCTCAATCAACACACTGTTTTCCAGTCCTTGAAAACGCACCTCAGCATTACCATTATTTTTTGCTGTGCTGAGAACTTCCTGCAGATCTACATCTTCGTCATGCAGCTCATCACATGGAACGCTCGTTTCAGTCAAATGGTCCAGGTGCATTTCTCCACCCAGATCAGAAAGAGGAAGAAGCATTGCCAGGCAACAAGAAATGGACAGACGGGGATCTCTGATCCACGTTTTAAGGTACTGAAACACGTGTACGGCATATTGAACTTAAAAAAATAAAAGAAAAAAAGATACTTCTGATTGTAGCAACTTTGAATTGTCAAGTGTGTGATTTTACAGTAATTAAATTTGCACTCTCTACGTAGAGAGCATGAAAAATGATGAAATCTAATATCTTGGATATTACCTGGTAATCAAGAAACTTTCTTTGTCAGCGATTTTTCAAAATACAATGATTCAAAAAGAAACATAGCTCAAAAAGCGATTGAGGATGCGTTAAAAAATTTTGACAGTTCTTCAAAAGATTTTTTCAGAGATTCTATTGAAAAAAATTGTTTGAACTCACCACCAACAAGGCCGATTACCAAGGTATTTGCTCCCACTACAAGGATCTTGAATAAAACGGTATCCATATGCGAATCTACCGAGGCTGAAATGTTCTCTGCTGGTATTCTACTCACAGCTCCAATACCCAGGTTGAGACAAGTAACAGCAAGGGACGTCACCATAAGTATGTTTTCTGTAGAGTCTTGAATGGGACTCGTCCATGCAAATAGAACTCCATACATGCCAGCGACTATCCAAGCTAAGCCAATGTAGGATCTAGTCTGTTTTCCAACGACAATCATGACCGACGTAATAATAACTTTGCGAGACATTTCAACAATTTCCCAATACCAATTTCGAGGTTTGTAGTTTTCAAAAAGAAAACTGAGTCCTGTTACGATTTCGTTCTTTGGTCTTCTTGAATCCAGGGTTGTTTTACTGTCTCTGGTGGCAAATATGATCGTTTTCAGTCTCCAAAGGGCGATGAATGAAAAGGTAGGGAGACAAAGCACGTAGACAGTAGCAATGTACGCTACAATAACCAAATGGTTGTACCGCGGCTCATGGCATTTCACACTGTAATCTGTTTTTAAGTAATTGGAACATTGCTCTTCTTTTTCGTTCAAGCAAATCTTCTGGCAGGCAAGTGGAAACACGCTGGCTGTCTTAACACAAGTGCTTAGGTACGTTACGTACAAAAAGAAAAATAGATTCCTGTAAGCGAACTGCTTCGTCTCGGAAATTGCGTCGGCCTTCTCTTGTTCGCTTAGGATTTGCTTTCTTGCGATGACTGCCTTGCGCAGCCCGTAGCCAACACCGCAGAAACAGATAACTAAGGCATTTATTGTCATAATTGCAATTAAATTGGCAAATGCGTCAACTTGTAGACCATGAAAAAGACAATGTATAGGCGCAACTTGAAGGATATTCAACTGCAGTATTTCAGAATATTTGGCAATAGCTTGCAGGGAATCTGGCCATTCTATAAAGGAGAACGCTTCCAAAAGACCATAGGTCACTTGATAAAATCCTATAATGATCTTAAGTTTGGATAAAAGTTTGTCAATAACGGCAAGCCCCTTGGCCTTCTTTCGGTTCGATTTGCTCGTCCAGAACGACACAGTTAAAATTGCTACCAAAACGACTGCAATGATTAAAAACTGTCCTAATAACCACGTCTTTGATGAGCATCTTTCACATGTATGTAATTCCATGTAGTATCCCATACTGCATACTCCACATAATGGACCTTCATATCCAACCTCACACGGAGATTCTAAACCACCTTTGCACGATTCTTGCTTTGGGCATTTATGTGGTGTAGGCATTGGATAGGGGTACTTAGTGGAGAAAGTATCTGAAGCTGGCAAAGACGTTGAGAGATAGTGCGAAAAGTTCCTGTACCGATTCTTATATATTTCACTTTGCCATTCCCACCAGTAACCAGGTTTTAAACTGGCATAATCATCTTTGCACTCGAGTCCCCCGTGCAAGTCACACTTGTGACACTTTTCCAACATATGGGTGCGGTGGAATCCATGCAAACATTTGCAAGCGCGATATCCAGCAAAGTCGTCTGTGTTTGTTCCTGATCAGATGTGAAATAAGATTCGAGAGTATTAAGACAATTTGTAAAACAGACTCACGATTTTCCCTACTTCCTTTCGCCTGGTCAACGACTATTTTAAAAGTCTCCGCATGATCCCGCCATCCACACTAATAACAGGCTTTGCTTTGCAAAGTCTGTCATTTACAAATTAGATAGCGTTTTCTTATAACTTGCGATCGTATTAGTGTAGAAGCAAGGTCAAAAGGCATTAAAATATATTCAAAGCACCTCGTGATTTTATTGCGGGCGACAAGAGGAGCCCGCAATCCTAATCTACAGGTTGTTATTACGCATGCGTTGCATGTATGTAGCATTCGTTTGGACTCGTATGAATGGAATGGACAGAACCCGATTTGATCCCGCGCGTTTGGACCGTCTATCACTCGTAATCTGATCACGCGTGTTTTGACTATCTCTCACTTGAAACTTACGCAGAGCACAGCTATGGACCTTCGATCGTTGTCGCCCCCACACCGTAACCTTTGGTTATCGCTAATTGTAATATGATAATTGAATTACCTTGAGGACAAGCCTTGCAGTCTTCAGCTCTTTTGCCTGGCGCCTTCTCGAGCGAAACAAAGGAACCATTAGGACATTTTTTACAACTTGTCGCAACGTACCCAACTTTGTCGGAATAAAATCCTCCTAAAACGACAACAAGGGATGAAAAAATTACCTTCTGACCACAATGGATCTTGTGGTACTTGCAGCTTCACTCAAAAATTCTGACTAATTGAGTGGGTGCTCATGTGTCAATAGGTCATTTTACAGTTGTGTGGTTAGTGCCCTGGCCTTTGAATTGAAGCGAGGCAGGAAGTGGCCTTGTTAAGATACAAGCTGTCTTGCTTTTCATGTACAAATCGTGTTATTCTAATGTTAACAAAAACTTGAGCAACATTATATACATGTGAAGATCAGAAAGGTTTGCAACAAAGCAAGATCACCTCCAGCCTTGCCTCCTTTTCAAAGGCCGGGGCATGAACATGAACCGAGTCAAATTTAGAAGGATTTGCATGGAGTCATCAGAGTATAACTGGGCTAATATCTTAGAAACAATTTGCCCGGAAATGCTAGTTTTTGGCAAGAAGGCCTTTTGGATGCTGTTCGTTCAGAATATTCCGACAAATTTCACAAATTTAATCTTTCATGATGTCACACTTTATGTTTCTATTGGGATCCTTTTACTACCTGCAGGACATATTATACATCCTTGTTCGCCTCTTGAAGAAGAGTTAAAGAATGTTCCCTCTGGACAGGGAAGTAACTTGTAAAAATCGGTGCGGTTTTCAGGATGACGTGCAAATCCTGATGCCAGGAGAGTATAAACGTAGGCTAACGCTTCTCTTTTATATGGCGGCGCATAGACAATGATGGCTTCGGTTTCAGCATTGTGGGGACTTCTAAAAAATTAAACAAGCACAAATGACTATCATTGCTGTTCTGGTTTCAGCGTTTCGGTAATTCCTTGAACGAAAGGACCATGAGAAGAATAAATTAATTTCAGTTAATGCAAACTTAACTTTAGCAATGCTACAAGCGGGCAGTTTTCAATGTCCAGAAGAGTAACTGACTCTCTAGTACCCAAACTCTTTTATTACAGATATAGAGGGATATAGGGATATGGTGTTCCAGATAAAAAAAAATTAAAAATGAGAAATTTTCTGTATTTCAAATCTCAAAGGATGTCTTAGCCTTTCGACGTCTGGCTCGACATTAGTTAATCAGTTCGTCTGAATGAGTTTAATCGTCCAACACGCACTATCCACCTGCTTCAGACGGATAGAACGTCTGAAGATCGTCTGCAGGACAAACGTCGATCTTCGCATGCGATGATCTATACTAATGAACTAAAAAATTGTATAATAATATAACTATATTTAACCTCTTTCGGGAGAAAATTTGTTATAAAAATTGCTGTGTTTTTGTTCTGATTGGCTCGACGCGTCCTAAATTCGAGGACTGAGTCACTTAGGCTCGTCTGAATGAGTTTGGATCCAGTTCTAACACGTTCTATCCCTCTGAAGTCTGAAGAACGTCTCCGGGACAAACATCGATCGTCGATGAATTAAAAATTTGTCTGATAATGTATATTTAGCTTCCTTTGGGAGAAAATGTCAAACTTTCTTTTTGGTCTGGTTCAGTTGATTGGTTCGGCGCGTCCTAAGTTCGACGTCTGAGCCCAAATTGGAGTTTGGCTCGTCTCATGAAAAGGTTCGAAGTTTGGCCTAGGCCTGAGACACTAGCACAGCTAGCTACAGCTATTTTGTAATTTCAAAATGTCAACTGTATTGGCATGGGCAAACGTCATCTACATTTGGTCAACGCTAGATGGTTATCAAGAATTAGAAGGGAATCTACGCGAATTAGAAAAGGAATAATGTTTTGAATGAATAATAATGTACTTACATATATATGGTGCACCTCTGTTGATTGGCGTAATATCTTAGTGTTCTAAGCACTCTGTTGTCTATCACTCTGGGGGAAAAACATAAATATATATATATATATTATATTATCATTTCTGTGTTAGCACAACTTCATTTCACTCAAAAAATGCATAGTTATAACATTTCTTTAGAAAAGGAATTCACTAAATTTTTCAATTAGAATGGTGCCATTCAATGTTCGTTATATGTTTGCCAATTACTGCTCTCTGCTATTTCAAATAGACTGAATGACCCTGGCATTTTGCAACCAACTTCATAAATGTTGATACAAGTAAAAGGGCCACATTGAGTCACTATAAAAAGTAAACGAGATTAAGAGAATTGGTTTGGATATACCAGATCCAGTTATTAAAGAATTATCATAAACGTTGGCAAACGTGTTTTTTTTCCAAGAGTTATAGTATGAAAGTAGATATCGACCTTTCTGAAACACTCAAAATATATTTTTAATAGGAATCTAAACGTCCTGAATCGCTTCCAAGAGTTTGGATTTCCTAAACAAGCACTCTTTCAAGTGATTACTATACGCAGAATAAACTGTTCTGAAAATATATTAAACGTGATACGTCACAGCTGAGAATAAAACCCATTCAAGCCGATGAAGGATGCAAGACTCAAGATCTTCACTTCCGTCCGCAGCAAATATCTGTAATGTAATTGCATGAACAAATGTTGGCCTTTAAAAAATGACATGTATACAGAATGGATACAGAACTTTCATTTTATCGCCGTTGCAGAAAAATACGTCTTCTTCTTACTTCTACCTTTAAAAATAGCAAACTTTGTCTCAGCTTTTGCTAGTCTAACAGCAAACCATCTTAAAAAAGAATGTATCAAAAAGGTTAGGAACCTACTCATCTTTGTATAAAATGTACGCTTAGTTTTGCTAAATACAGTTGGAGCTCCCGTAGCGACCACCTCGGAAACTCGAAAAAGTGGTCGCAACTAGAAATGGTCATGTTGACCTTGGTGCCTTAGTGCTATACATATCTAATACTGAAGTGTACAAGATCTTTATCAACGAACGATTGGCGCAGTGTGCAGTTTCATTAAAGTGTTGATTTATATGAATAAGACTCTGAAAGTGGTATAGGGATCAAAACTTAAAAACAAAAAAAGGGAAAAATTCTGGGTCCTTTTTGGTAAAAATCCGTTAAAAGTAAGCAGTTATACCATTTTTGAGATGTTCGAAAATCCTAGAGGCAGGCAAGCAAGAATTTTACAACATCTAGATCTCAAAGTTTGAGAACAGATATTTTCAAATCGTTGGGTGCCCCTGGATCTTTATCAACGAACGGGGTTTCATTAAAAGGATTTATATGAATAAGACTCTGGTGGCGAGCTTAAAAACGAAAGTCCAGGGTTCCCAAAAGGACTGCTTTGATTGTCATTGCAAAGTTTACATGTTTTCAGGGCTTTCAGGTGGCTCTGGGGGGGTGGGGTCGCAAGGACTGCTTTGATTGGGAAACTTTCCCAGGGCGGGTCGAGTGGGAAACTCCCAGTCAGGTCAGTTTAACAACAATAAGGGTAGTCAGAGTTCATTTTAAACTTACATCGTTAAGTTGTTATTACCAAGCCTGAAGGCCTCTTGTTCGATCATCCTTATCGGATTATCTGAAAGCAAACTGATCCGAGAACAGAAAAAAAAAAAAAAAATTATTCCGAATATGGAAGGGCGTTGTGACGGACAAAAACAACAATAACAACACAGTTACAGTCAGGGCAAGTCAAGAGTGCCCTTCAAGATTGCATTAATAAATTTATTATTCCAGGGTTGAATCAACTGGTAGTTATAGATTTCAGTTTCATCTCTGCATTCCTGCATACATAATGAGCAGTAAATTCGCATTCGAGCGGATTCATTTTCAAATAACGATTCATTAATGCAGTCTTGGAGGGTACGCTTGATCTGTCTTGGCTGTAAGAATAATTATTCAAATGGATGAGGGAAGCCGTTATACTAGTACTTTTGTGATCAGAAAAATTGAAAGTGGATAAATAGCTTCTTTTTTAACCCAAGCATAGAGCAATTTTCAATTGAGTGTTGAAAGTAATCCAGGATTGAATTGATTTTGCTTTACTGTGCTGTTTGATTGGTCTAGAAAACTCGCGCCTCCGTCTCAGCCAATCAGATGTAAACTAAAACCAATCGCTCCTTGGTCACTCGCGTTTTCCCGCGCTACAGGCCGGTTACACGCGTTTACTTCGAGTTGCCATTGGCTCTGATAATTTCCTTTACTCTGATTGGCCGTTGTGATTACTTTGGTTTTGGTTTTCGACACTCAGTTGAAAAGCGCTCTATATTGAATGTGTGCATCAGCTAAGAGTGATTGGATTTATGAGACTGACTTCGTACACTTACACTATTTGAAGATCCGTCAAATTGAAGAAAGTTCGATATGGGATTCTCTTCAGTTGGTTAAAGCTAAGGAATCTGAAACGTTTAAACGAAATCCAGGAACTGATAATGCTCTACACAATTTAAAACTAAGTCGAATTTAGGCGGGGAACGACGCTGTTGACATTTAGGTTTTTGTATGTGTTTTTTTCTTACGTTGGAGATAAAAGAAATACGCTGAGGTTTTAGGTCCAGAAAGATGCACAAAACTCCGACGTTGGGTACTTAAATTTGACACAATTTGTATTTTGCATATGAATTCATATTTGACAGAATTGTTTGCGTTACGTTACGGATTAGAACTACAGGAAACTCATTCGCGTGTATTGCTGGACAGAGCAGAGTAGTTATATTGGGCCTTGATTCTAATTCGCGGTGAATCATCGCGACTGGTGACAGCGTCTTGCTATCATGTTGCAAGTCTTCTCTCCTAGAGGCCTCTTTGTGTCGCAGCGAAGCTGGGGAGAGAGAAAAGACAACTCGCGCGGGGGACGATGGGAAGGGAAAAGCTAGGGGGAGCAACTGCGGAGGAGAGATTTGCAAGTCTGGTAATGCCGCTGACAATGGGTTGTCCGGTTGTCTGCTTTCGAAGGTTTTAATCTTCGAAAGAGGAAGCTTTCTGAACGAGCCAGGAGTTGAAGCGCTGTCCCTTCTGTCCAGCGGTCAATGATTATAAAACATAAATAAACTAACAAACAAAAACAAAAATAAACAAGGGACACGATCTTGGCAAATGAACTCACTTGGATCACAGACGAAGATTTATGGTTGAATTACTAAGCACAGAATTTGATTTGAAGAAAAACGATTTTCGAAGTTGCTATCCACGAACCAAACTCTTTTACTCCCTTTGGCGTTATAGATAGGATATATGAATACTTACAGATATTGAAATTTGGTTGAGGTGACAAAAGTCTTGATGGAAATCGAGGGAATCATGTTATTCTGCAGAAATCTAGAAAAATATTAAATTGCTTAACATAGTTGAAGTTAGATATGCCATCAAATATAACTTTGAGATTAAAGAATCTTCTTACAATAGCAAAAATTTAGGACAATTAATATTCTCGAGATACTCACAAGTACTCTACATCATTTAGCATGAAGTCCTCAGGTAAATTTTGGATTTTGTTGTAAGAAAGGTCCCTTGTGATGAAAGAATAAGAAGAAATACTTAAGTATATCGCCTTGGGGTGGGAAGGTTGTTTCTGAACTAGACACATTAAACAGAAAAGTCATTAGACACAAAAAAATTGATGAATGAACAAACATGGAACAAGAATTGTGAAAATCCAATCACTGATAGTTTTAAGTACGAGCCATGACGTCCTAAAGCTATGTAGCGATGATAAACTTCAGAGGCGAATCTAGAAAATTCAGAAAGTTGTGTCTGGAACGCTTGCCAGCTACATGTATAGATACTATTTATTTTACTGTGATTTCTTAAAAAAAATAATAGAAAATATCACAGAAAAAGAGCTGGTCAAGGTCCCCTCGGCCCCACCCCTAAATCCATCCAGAATACCTGTATGTCTTTCTTTGTAACCAATCTTTATTACAAACCCAGAAAAAGCCCAAACATGGCTGAATAATTGATACTCTTCAGCAAACCGTAAATCTGTTGCTTATTCTACTCTGCACTCAGGAAACCTATATTATAATAGACTACGAGTAGTAGTGCCTTATTCTTTCTTAGCAATTAGATCAAGCAAAATAAAGTTTTAAGCGCGCGTAGAAAATGGCACCTGCGAGGAAGTTGACACACGAAGGGAAGTGTGAAGCCCCTCAGTTTCTTTCCATTCTACGAGTCTCGCCTCTCCTCGCACGCAGCGATTCTCACTCACGTTCGAGTATTTCACTCGTTCAGTTCAACTATCCCTGAGAAAATGAGGTACCACTCGTAGTCCATTGTCATAAATGAAAGCCGGAAAGAAATTGTCATTACCATTTTTTTCTAAAAACAAGCCAGGAAACAATTTATTTATCACTGATATATTGCAAAATTAAAATTTCAAACATACAGATAACTTAAAGATTTAAGACTGACAAATTCCTTCTTGGTGAGGTTTTGAATGTTGTTTGAACTGAGGTCGCTGAAAGAGGACAGTGGAAATACGAAGATCAGTCCATACAAAGGCAATAAAACTCTATTTTTGGGTGGTGTCAATAAAACGCCGGGTTGGGGTCTATCTTTTTTCTTAAAGAATGGCTGTTTTAGGGTTAGGGTTAGGGTTAGTGTCATCTCTAATCCTAACCCTAACCCTAAAACAGCATTATTTGAAAAGAGATAGACCCCGACCCTGAACTCACGTTTTACTAACACCCATTTTTTGGCCATGAATTGTATCACGTTTTGCTGTATTAATGAAGATAAAGTGCTTACAGCTCAGACCAGAAATTACAGAAGTAAGAACCTCGGATTCAGTTAGAATCGAGCGCTGATTATTTATGTATTTATTTACTTCATTAATTGGTTTATTCAGATATTTACAATTTCATTTTCTCACCACCCACAAATAACAAAGGCTGGTCTACAGTAGGTGGGCAGTGTGAGATGAATATAAATATATATATATCCATAGCAACATAAGATTTCATCCGGCCCAACAACATTTACATGTTGATGTCCGAAAAATAGTTTAATTGAAATTCCCAATGAGTGGATCGATGCCAGCGGTAGGGAAACACGACTGGAGAATAGTAGGTAAATTGGAGGATTCCTCTGTTTAGCACTCACAGTGAGGATTGAATGCATCAATAACCGCCAACCATTGTGATAAAAAAGGGCACTGAGCATTGCCAGAAGAAGATTCGCAGTAAGCAGTGAAAACCTTGCGATCTATATCACAAGTATCTCAGTACATCGAGAATCAAGCAAGAAGTCTGTTAATAATAACGTCTTCGTTACTTTATTCAGACTAAGCGTCAACTTACAGAAGAAACATTTCTTCGTAAGTGAAAAACTTGGAGGGTAACCTTTTTAGTCCATTCGACGAAATATCCCTACACAAATCAAAAGGCATACATCATTAACTAAGTAAATTAATTAGTAAAAACTTATATACCTTGCAGAATGAATCAGCTATACAGTAAGCAATACTGGTATAACTTCATGTGCAGCCAATATTGCTGCATCTAATTACTATATGTCTAGCCGATTTTTTGAAAACGAACGTAAAGGAATTTGCCCTCATTTTTAGTGAATAGGCGTCAAAAGGCAGGTTTCTTAAGGCAGGTTTCTTAATCACGGTAACGAAGGAAAAAGCAAAGGAGAAAAAGAAAGAGCGAGGAGAAGGAAAGGAGGAGTAAATTAAAAAGCAATGGTTGAATTCTTAGTTTTTATAATGGCTACTTTGGAGATAAAAGGTCCATTTGGCGGTAATGTTTTCAAAAATCCGTCTAGATGTAAAACATGTTAAAATCTAAAGTTAAGAAAATACACTTCTAGAATTTACAACCTATATTAGATTCGAGCTAAAATGACATTATGATAATAAAATGGATATGCAGTTTAGTCAACCAGTAAAGCTTTCGACCGAACACGGATGGTCAATTTTGTCTGCTTTAAAAAGGAAAGTACATAAATCTTGGACTTAAATGTGATTAAGTTATCTATTGATCTTTGCCTTTTCGGTAAAAGGTTCCAGTCATTGGTAGTGGAATATTGAAAAGGTTTTGACCCATTGTGGATTTCGTGCGAGCAAGATTTAAAAAATACAGTAACTCGTCCCCTAAGGATCTTTCAGAATGTAAACTATATATGACAAGAAGGAGATACGAGATAAGATGCTCGGGACAGTTATAATCATGTACAATCTTGAAGACCAGTTGTCTTGCGACTCTTTAGCGAGAGTAGACCACCCTTTTTGTGCCTCCGTTTTGAGCACTTTTTTCGATCTGCTTCGGAGTGCGCAAAGCTTGATTCTTAAATCTTTCAAGCTTTTCGGATATAACCTTGGGACAATCAAGCCAAACAATTGAACCATGGTACAGAACTGGCAGTATAGTTTGCTTGAATCTTTCAATAGCACATCTCTCGGTACAAAACAAGATAGCCTAGCTTTTCACACATATAGAGAAAAGCTGATTGCTTTATGTCAGTGCACTAAACTCCAAGGTATTTTCAACATCTACCTCCTCAAGTTTGCAATTATTGAGGCAGATGAGCTAATGCTGGGGAGATATAATAACGAAAGACTGCATTTCTTAAAATTTCATTTTTTACATAAGTTTCGTTTATATTTCATTTTTTCTTAACCTAAAATCTTAAAAGATCACTTTACTAAACTTCTCAACGTACAGCGTCGTTAGTTTTGTGAGATTTGAGAAGACATCTGTTTTAATTTCTCTGATATCGTTTGAAGACAGATTTCTGAGACGGAAAAAAATATATGTGATAGTTAGTCAGTGAATGTTACCTCAAACCCATTCACACCTTCCCATCCCGTAACCGCGTGACTCCAAGTCACTTGTACCGCTTGTGACGTCATCAGTTGCAAAGATCAAAGGCAAGTTTGAAATCTAACTTGTGCAGCAAAAAGGGATCTTTCAAGCCATAAACCCGAATGAGCACGTTTTATTTAAACAGTTGAGATAAACGCAAAAAAAAAACAAAAAAATTAAGTTTGACCTAAAAATTTCAATAAAGATCTAGTGCCATTATTAAACTCCAGTTCCTTCCAACATATCCTAAGGTCCAAAAAGTATTTCTGAAACATTTTCCCACCGAAATGACGCTAGCGTGGTAAATGTCCAGCGAAAGAAAAATAAAACGGGGCAAGAAAAGCGAAATAAGACTGCAGTAGATAGAGAAAGCGAAAGGAAAAAGTCGAGCTGGACTGTCTCAAAATTTTGCCTTCCGCGCATGCACGGACTTCGAAACCTGATATCTTGTAGCAAGAACAGAACAAGTCGTAGCGCTAGACTTGCAAACTGTGTTTTGACTCTTTTTGGCCAAACAGAGACCATAAAACGGTTCGAATAGCTTTAAAAGGCGTTTTTCGACAAACGTTTCAGGAACTGAGGGAATGAGTTAACCGTGAGCCTATATTTATTCATCACTTCTCACAAGGTGCTATCATAGATTATTTTTTACTGTAAGGCTACTTATAATAACTTTCAGTGGGCAAATTTATAACTGCTTTAACCGTTCAGGCACTTGCTAAAAGTGTCTAAAGTCAAAATTCGTCAAAATGACCACATTTTGCATTGCAAATATGCGTAAAAACAAATGGTTTCATTTAAATGGGCACATCACAAAATTTCGTTCACAGTCGACTCGAAAGTTAAAACTACAAACTAAATAAAAGGTGCCATGTGAAAGTACTACCCCGAGGGCATGGTTTCATTTGAATGTTCACACCTCAGGAGTTCGTTAACAGAATTGAAACTGATAGTCACCTTCTTTTAACTCTGACACTAGAGGAGTTATTTAATGAAAAATGAAGACACGTATCTCACTGCTACTTACAGAACTCTGAGTTCAGTCAGTGCGTTAAAAACTCGATCGGGTAAGACTTTGATAAAGTTAGAAGAAAACTCCCTGTCGAGTAAAACGAAAGTTTAAATGAAGTAGAAGATTTCTTTTCCGATTTCGTTTGGTATTTAAAGCAAAGTAGTGCCTATGATAATAAATACTGGTGAGAAAATGCTATAAATGATAGGTGATCGCGGATAGGGGCATAGAGACAGAATCTTGATTGAAGAAAATCATTAACACTCTTAAATGTCCAGATATAACCTCTATGATAATAACTTTTCGAAGTAGTGTTACCAATGTATATGCGAATCAGAACTGTGGAGGTTCCATGTTTGGATGGTGTCTGTTACCCTTGTCAATGAACAATTCATGACAGTGTGGTTGGTTCAATAGACTGTTCGTAGTCCCTTATGATCGAGCGATTACCATTAAGGTGGAGGGGGGGCGGGGAGGGGGTTCCAGGTTTATGGCCCTCGGGGGAGGGAGGAAAGAATTTGTGATATTCATCACCAGGTTTGACTCGGTACATTTGAAGCCAAGATGTTCGCCCGTGAGCGTAAGCGGTTGATGACGACCGTCTTACGGAAAAATTATGGGGGTATGGAGGAGTGACTTGTACCGGGCAAAACTTGTTCGACCTGTCGAGACCTGTGCCAATTTTTTACGCATTTCTTTAAAATTGATAGAATTTTTTTCGTCTAGATTTTTATTGTATTAGTGGTAATGGTCATGGTGATCCACATTTTATATGCTGTATGCCATATATTGTGCCATCTAGCCGACTGCTGCAATAATTTTTATTTTGTCAGAAAATAATGCTATCCTCATCCAAATATTACAAATAAAGTAAAGACAAGTTCGTACTTACAATTGTCTCAGGTTTGAGGTCGTATCAAAAATACGATCGGGTAGAATCGTCATCAGGTTTGAAGACAAATCCCTAAGAGAAAGTTTTACAAAACAACTGAAGAACAAACAAGCATTTGGTGGACATATATTCTGGCTTTCTGTAAATTTAATACGATTTTGTGAAACAATCATTGCTAGGAGGCGAGGGGGCATAGGATTATGGGTTCTAAAGGAGCAGCTAGTTAAAGTTAGAGGGCATGCCTCTTTAAGAATATATAGAAGAATTCAGTGGCGCAAAACAGTTGTTTGTCAGCTACTGTCATCAGGCCAAAAAAACGTGCATACGCTTCATCCAAGGAGGTGGTGACACCATGTGATTTAAAACAAAAAACTATAAAAAGGAAAAACTACCACCAAACTGATCAAAGAAATTATATTATTAAATTTTCACAAAATTACTGCTAGCCAACACTAGCCGAAAATTGTGGGAATTTCACAGTACATCACTGATCAACTCAAACATCTTTCGCGTAATGTAAATAACCATTGTTCTTTGTTAGTTCCGGGAATTGGTTGCATGTTTTAGAATAGTCTATTTTAGGGGTCGAATATGTAACCTAAATCACACCCGGAATGGTCTCTTTCAAGAATTTAAAGAAGCTGTGTGACGAAATTTATCAAAAGTCAAACAGTGAGAACTGTCACCAAACTGAGTGAAACATACAACTAACTGATTTAAACGTCGACTTAAACAGTAAAAAGCTGAGTTATAAATAACACAACAAATACAAAAAGGAGGAACGGATGGACAGAACTTGAACAAAAATTTCACTTGTATTGTTTGTAATGTTTGATATAATGCATCGGGAGATATCTTCCTTTGACACGAAGATCAGATATTGTCATTCACAAGTAATTTTTCAAGGTCCAAAGCGAAAAAGAACGCTTAATTAACATTATTGACAAAATGAGAAGGATAGCCGTTACTAAACACTGCCCCTTAAAATCTAATTTTCCGATCATGGAGCACCCCCTTAGTTTTCATACGGGAGTGTTCCGAGTATTTATATTTCAGTTATATAACACTGTGGTGGTCTAATGACATCGTCATCTTTGTTATTTAGGGCAGGCAGATGAAGATGAGGCACACTTACAAGTAAAAGAGTTCAGTTTGCTTGGCAAATATTCCTTCAGGGAGAAACTTGATTTTATTTGAATTTAACTTCCTGTAAATAAAGGGATATTCCTCTGAGCCAAAAAAGAAGCAATGTCAAATTATTCTACATTTTATCATAGTTAATTGAGTGGAATGGTTATGAAACCCGTCAGACTCCTTTGTTATATGTATTTGTGGACCTGAAAGTGCACAACGTTCAAAAGAATTCCTATCATTTTGATTGTATTGACCAATAAAAACGTTGCATTAATTTATTCCGTAACAATTTGCCAACAGAAAACAAAGGATTGTGCACTTTCACGGTACTTCCAACATAAACTGCAGCACTGTTGTTATTATCATTGATGTTTGCCGCTTTTCATAACCAGTCTCCTCTAATAACTATGATTTTATATAGGACTATGCCCAAGCTCCAAATATTACAAATATTATTATCTTTATTCATTTCTTTAAATACGTACTAAATACATAAGATTAATTTCATCCAAAAAAAGATAAGATTAATGTCGTTTGATAAAACAAGAAAAGATATAATGGAACATCGAAAGATTAACTTAAAGTAATTATTATCTCTTTTAGACTTATCACATGTAATTAACTTAAGCTAATAATGTAAATTGTAAGCAATGATATTGTAAATTAGTATTACTTATGTTGTTGTAAGTAATTTTCATTTATTTTTTGTTCTCTTTCCCTTTTAGTGTGTTTCTGTATTTTTGTATTTCAATGCCATTATTGTAAATAAAAAAAAAGTTCCAAAAAAAAAGGGAACGGGTCGAAAAATATCTCTAGACGAATTACTCATGGAAAAATGCATGGATGGGGATGCCCTTTCTTCCTCTTTATACTCTAATGACTAAAGAGCTTAGAGTAGAAATTTGTCATACTGCTAAATTGTATTTCAAACTAAGCCTATCTTAAATCTTTCATTCTTTATTTTACGTACTTTAATCACTTTACTTTGATGCACAAGATTTCAACCGTGTAGGAGACTGCATGCCGCATAATTTACTTACAGAGAATACAACTCAGTTAGATTAGAAAACAGTGTCTCTTGTAAAATGGAAATCTTATTTGACGTCAGGTACCTGTGTGAAAGGTATAAGATAAATCATTGGGTCAATCATATTCTCGTTGGTTTTGGTAGAATTCCAACTCATTTTTTGAGCTACGCAAAGAACAACTCACAATAACGATTAATAGCAACGAAGCTGCGCGTGCGTGCGGTACCCCTTTTCATAGAAGGTGGTCAGTGCATCTTTCTTTCTTTTTTTTTCTGTGGAGTCCAGGCAAGCATTGTCTTTATCTTGTTGTTCCATATTAAGCTCAGTTGACAAATTTAAGAACAGAGTATCCGCTAACCAGTATCATATGACCATATCGTGGGCTCAAGACTCTGGGGACGAAGGAGGGGTCCCGAGACAACGTGTCTGTTGTGAGAAAGCTCTTAACTAGTGATATAGGATGTTCATATTAAGGTCAATTGCCAACTTTCTGCTCTTATTGTTCAATAATTAGTGCGTAATAAAACATCGATCCTATTGTTTCTTTACTTCACTTACAAGTAAGAAAGGTCTTTTAAGGTGGCAAAAACTCCTAGTGGTAGAGTTGTTAAAGCATTTGAAGATAAATCTCTGTGGAAACATAATACGTTGTGAACTTCGAGTTATTATTGGAATCGATATCAAGACATTTGGTATTTCAAGGAAAAATGCCAAGACATTATCTTTTCCATTACTCTTGTGGTAACCATTTTTGTGCAGTCCCTTTTCTTCCTCGTCACCGATGACGTTCGTCGTTTTCCTCGTCGTCGTGAAAATGGGAAGCGAAGGAAACAAAGTTATTTAATGAGCATTCTGCCTCCCGGGACAGAATGTTAGAATATTTTCGACTTAATCCTGGGAATTGGAATAGAGGAAATAGCGGGTAAATCGAATGGATATTGGAGAGTCTTCCATTTATTCCTTCTGGTTCCAAAAGAGAAAAAATAGATACCGTACATATCTAAAGGTTTGATTTATCTACGAGAACACTGCAGGCAAATATTAAAATTTACAAAAACACTGAATAGGAACCAGTGCAGATAAAGAATGACCAAAATGAGAATATATTTTCCACTTACAAGTAACTAAGAGAGGGATTTCCAGCAAATACGTCTTCGCGTAGTGAGTTAATGGAGTTAGAAGATAAATACCTGTGAAAACCAACCATCAATAAACTGAAAATATTTCTTCATGATTATAGTATTGATTAAACCTACGTAAAGCCAGTTTATGGGGTGGTTGTTCTTTTAAAGATTTTCCAATATTTACGCAGTGATTGTTGGCGCAACTGACGCCAAAACTTTATCTCCGAAGTATGTTTTTCGTAAATTGGGCGCATTAAATTGCAAAAAAATTCATGTTTACGCGTTCGATTTGAATCGCCATTTGCTTTTTCAATGGCTCTTAAAATAGAAGCAAAATCATCACTGAAAACACCAGTGAAAGTGTGATGTAAGAAGAGGAAAATGAGCTACGTTAATGACTGAACTGGTCATTTTTTTCTCGTTATTTGAGCTGCAAGTCAAAAGGAAACAGTACAAATGGCTAAAAAATTGTACTTACAGAGTGTACAGATCTCTTTGAGAGGCAAACATTCCGTCTGGCAAAGATGTAATGAAGTTTTGAGACAGATCCCTGCAGAGTAGATTTTACAAGCACCATCAAAAACATAACCACATTCACATCATTTATTAACTTGGATTATTTAAGTTTCTGGGAAACTGCCCACCTACCCCTCCTCGAGGCTAACATTAACACTTACTTCTCACTTAGGGCAAAATGATGGCTTACCGGAAGGGTAAGTGGGCAGTTTCCCTGAAATGTAAATTGATCCATTAACGTAATAGGACTAGCCGCATTGGAAAGGTTACAAGGACACCTATTTGAGTTGCTTTGGAAGATTAGGTGTGTTGTGTGCCTCCCACGCAGAACGAATTAAAGGCTTCTTCACGCGTATCTCACAGCACCCCCCGGGCATGAAACTCGCTTTACGAAGCCCTAAGAGAACGTCTGCATGGGATGGTAGAAACGTCAGGTCTTTTATGTTCTGTTTGGTACCTTAGCATTGACCTGAGCACGGACCTTAGCATATAGGGCTCAAGACTATCTCCGATTCCTTTTCTTAAGAAACCTTGAGATACCAAATAGAAATATTATAAGACAACCTGGTCGTCGAGAACAACTAGTTTTGCCCTAATGCCCTGAAAATTGCTGAACAATCTGTTTCTTTATTTGACGGTTGGTGCTGGGACTGATCCAGTCTGGATAGTAGTACCTTTGCAATGCTCATCATGAAATTATCTTTATTTTCAGATGCAACACCGCAGGGATCACATCTAACATTAAAACGAGCCGAATGTATCATTGCCAAGCCTACTTACAGAAATGTCAGCTTTTCTTGTTTCACAAACAGTCTTTTGGGGAGAAATGTTATGACATTGTCGCGTAGGAACCTGTTAAGTAAAGTAAACCGCCGCCCGGTTAGCTCAATTGGATAAGCCACGGTCTGCTGAACGGGAGGCTACTAATTCAAATCCGAATTCAAACCCCGGTTGGACCAACAAGCAGGGTAATTAAAAAACTGAGGAGAAAGTGCTGCCTTTGTAAATGCATCTGCAAAAGGGCAGACTTTCTAGTCTTCTCGATAAGCAAAAGGCCCGGTCCCACAACACCTTTGCTCATATAAATCCTGTGGGACGTTAAAGAACCCACACACACTGTTCGTAAACATTAGGGGGCGTAGTACCCAGTGTGGTGCTCTGTCTCTCATGGGTGAGGGATGGTTACACAGCCAGTAGCCTGAATTTCATCCGATTACTTCGAGTCGTTATTACTCCCTCAGTAACGTCTGAATCGACCGGCCGTTAATGCCGTCCAGTGACGTCACTACTCCTTGACCTTTGCTTTAATTCATGCAAAAAGCAAAACACGATTTTCAAGTGGCAAACCGAGAAATATCGTTTGGAAATGTCTGCAAGATACAGAACTGCTTTATTTTTTTCGATTGTAGTTCATGTTTAAGGTTCAAACAATCAACTGCATGCGGTACAACTCTAAACCGGTTGTACTAAATTCTATAATCAAAGTCGGTCGCAATCACGCAATGAAATAAGACATGATAAAAACACACACGGAACACTTAGTTCAAAAACAAAATGATTTGCTTTAATTGAAAAGAAGCTATTTGGTCCTTAACGAAGAAAAAAACAAGGAGAAAAGAAAGAAAAGCTAACAGAATCATCACACTTGACGGTGAAATAGCAAGAAGGTCGAATTAAAATTCAGAAAACTTCGCGTAAACAAAATCACCGGCCGCCGAAACCACAAAGCGGCTCTGAATGAAAACTCACCTACCGACTCTCCGCGATGATTCTTCATTTCGCAGTTCAATTTAACATTTCAGTTTCGAAGACAAGGGCAATTTTGCTGTTTAAGATAAAGATTAAGCTCATAGAAATGTTTGAACTAACCGAAAGAATGCCAGGGATGCGATCCGCTGAATATCAAATGACAATCCCGCTAAAATTTTTCATAATTATACATAATTATACGAGTGTTTAGACAATCAACCAATCAAAATCACTACCCGGTTTTCGGGTAGTGAGTGACGTCACTGGACGGCATTAACGGCTGGTCGATTCAGACGTTGTTGAGGGGAGAAAACGACTCGAAGCAATCGGATGAATTTCAGGCTAACACGGCCAGCAGATGTACGCGCCTTTTTCGTGCAAATATGATGAAGCGTGTTACAATGCTTTAAATGTTAAAAAAAGCTCAAATGTACATATAGTAATTAAAGCTAAAAAGTAAATAAAGCTTAAAATTTAAATGAAACACTAGATACATTACATAACAGGTTAAAAACTTTCCATATCGGAAGCAAGTCTAAAAAGATGCGTTTTAAGTAAAGATTTGAAACGTTCAAAATTGTCCTCACTACGGATGTGAAGAGGCAGATCGTTCCATAAGTTAAACTAGGTATGTGAAAAGGGTATCATTTGTCAATAGAAGGTATATGATAGGGGCACCTTTTCTTTCAAAAATGGTATATAAATGGGTTAAGGGTTGGACCTAGGGCGTAGACTGCCCCTACAAATCTTTGTTTTGTACCCCCCCGGGGGGGGGGGGGTTGCAGGCGAAACCCATTATCGGGTTGAACCACGACTTCCTTTATCCGCGATAAACAATTGGGGCTGAAAAGCAACAATTCAATTCAAACTAGTAAGTGGAATACTGATTTAAAAATTTTACCAACAACATCTACCCACATCGATCTGTTAATCCAAGAACATTACTTCATACCAAGTACAGTCGGACCTCTTGTAAGCGAGCACCCAAATTGGGAAGAATATTCATGGTCGCTTAAGAGATGTGCCCGTTTACAAGAATCCAAGAAGAGGTCTTGACATATCTACTTGATGGTAGATATTCCCTTGAATTCAATATCTAGGTTACCGTGTGCGTAGTTCTATGATGTTATTAAAAGTTCTTTGTCTTTTTTAACTACAGAGTGCGTAGAGTGAACATAAAGATCAGACAATGCTTGAAGTGGTCGCTTACAAGAGGTGAAAAGACAATGGAAATTCATTAAACTTTCAGCCCCGAAAAGTGGTCGCGGTCGCTTAAAGGAGGTGGTCGTTCACGAGAGGTTCCAACTATTGTATTCATGCATCTTTATGTAATCAGAAAAACAAATCTTGAATTGAAATGTTCGAATCCAGAAAGCTCTCCTCTATTATAAACCTAGCATTTGAAGACACTTACAGCCTTTCCAGACTTGACAAGTTGGCAAACACATCTTCATCTAGAGATTTTATACCGTTTGAAAACAAAAGCCTAATAACGCAACATTCCAAAATCAAATCTAGTAATTAAAATACCCTAATTTTTTTAGCAAAGTTTTAAACATTCTTCCGTCATTTCAAAGGTCTGTAATTACGTGCCTGTGTATGGAATGGAAAATTGTTCTGCTCAGTTTGCTTGTTTACAATGACATTTAAAGCTTTTAACGTCAATTTCCATTAATATTTCTAAGAAAAACGTCTGAAATAGTCTCTTGGAAAGCAGGCTATATAGTATACACAAAATACAAAGAAGCTAGTCTGTAAAGTTGTAGCATTATTCTAATCTTTTCATATGATATCGTTAACTTGCCTTTTAGTATGTTATCTTAAGTCCTCATGAGGTATCGTGGGTAAATAAAGTTATTGATTGATTGATTGATTGATATAAAATACAGAATTTTCATCATGTTCGGTTTGTACTACCGTTACTTCTTAAACATTTACTTACAGTTTTTTTAAGTTTTTCATCGTAGCGAAGATTCCGTGAGGCAGTAAAGTAATATTGTTCACCGACAAATCTCTGAGGAAGTAAAGAAGAGCGCAAAAATGGTCAATTTACCACTGTAAAAAATTGGAAACTGATATTTCGAGTTCTTTATCGCTTTCGTTACAGCGAATCAATAGATTGTGCGTTGTATGTGGTTTGTCTATTGTATGGTAATACATCGCTATTAGTGGAGCGTTCACACTAAGTTAAACATAAGCGCTATGCCATTGCATGAACCCACCTCTGTCATGTTTACATGTTGAAGTCTTCTTCTTGAGCGCATGTGCATGGACATATGCACAGTGAGGAACGATATAATAACATTTAAAAGTTATTATTGGCGAAAATTACAACCCAACAGCTAAGTACGTTCGGTGGATTTTATGGGAAATATGTACTTGTGCACTTGTTGTAGAAAAAAATTTGGCTTACGATAAATTACTTACAGTTCTTTTAATTTCGTTAAATTCGTAAACTGTTGGGAATATAATTTTTGGAGGTTACATGATCTCAGATGTCTACAAAGAAGATAAAAAAGTTAAAATACGTTGGAAATATTGTTTATTTCGTCTAATGACGCTCTATATTGGTTATGGAACGAAAAATGTAGTAGTGATAAAAGAGAGGAAAATTAGGCATTGATTTATTATGCGGAGCAACCTCTATGGAGCAAGGGTGGCGCACTGTGGTGAGAGCACTCGCCTTCCACCAATCACAGTGGCCCAAGTTCAAATCCTGGCGTCGACGCCATATGTGGTTTGGGTTTGTTTTTGGTTTTCTCTCTTGCTCCAAGAGGTTTTTCTACGGGTACTCCGGTTTTCCCTTCTTCTCAAAAACCAATGCAGCTCTTCCAAATTCCAATTCGTTCTGGAACGCATGGACGCGTTTCAACTTGTCAACATATTACAATTTACCATCGCAATTATGGGTTGCTATTAAACTTACAGCTGCTTCAGATTTGCCATGTATGAAAACATCCAAGGTGGAAACTGCAAAAGGTTGCTTTTTTCCACAAATCTGGAAAATTTGAGAAATTTGTTTGTGACAAAATCCCTGTAAGTTATTTTATGTAATTTAGGATTAGAGATCATATTATATTATGAGCACATAACTTACTAACTGCACAACAATCAGTAAAGCTGGTCCTGTCCTTTTTGCTGCCTGATCTCTTTTTGTTAAGATTCTTGTCGAAATAAACAATTTTATCTGAAAGGCTGGCAGGGCACATTATTAAGGACAATATTTCAACTTATTTTACAATTTATACATAGGCTGGGCTCTAATTACAAGAAAACTGTGTTCGTGCGTGTATGGCCATCTTTATTATTACTGGTTTCATACATTGTCTCGGCGATCGTTGGAACGCAACTAATAATGTCTTCTGCTGACATCAAATTGCTGCATACAAAAGTATTTCCACTATAATACCACTTGTCTTCTCCCTCTTGGCATTTAGGCCCACAATCTATAAAGGGCAAATCAACAAATAAATAAAAAATTATAAACACCGAATAGCTCATATTAAATACTGAGAAGAGAGAGAGAAAAAAACACCGACGCGACGAGGAGAATTTTTGTCAGTCGATCGTCGAGGTGTTTCATAGCCACTTTACTCTATGTAATATCTTCTCAGTGTAAAAGGTCTATCCTGATAATTTCACAATTCTAAGGGAATTTATCTTAAAGGGTGCTCGGGGAGGGGCACCCCCTTATTTATCCTAGACGGGAATGTGCCGCTGATGGTTTTGGTATGGTTTTAAGGGTATTTTGTCTTAAAAAGAGTCATATACAATTTCAGTATTTAGCGCCATGGAGTCTTTTTGGGTGTATACTGAATGCTGAATGTCATATAATCGTCCGCGCCTCGTTACTTAATTCTGGAAATAATAAAATACGATCTCTTGTGTTAAATAGGGTAGCGAAATAAGCAATTTCCGGGCCAGGATTTGAAGGTCTAGGCGGCACACCTATACCCAAACTTCCCTTGAGTACACCCCTCTTCTCCTGGGGGTGATGAAATACTTAACCGGATAAGACGACTGAGAACTGCTTCACGTCTGTCCCATACTCGCTTGTGGCCACGCAGGTGAAGTTCCCTTCCTCGTGTAGTTGCACTGTCATGCTGCCTGATGTATTTGCCAGTAATGTAGTATTCCTTATCAGTGCAGTGTATATAGGGGGACTTCCTGTAGCAGACCATGTCATTCGGAAGCCTGGTAATACTCGAATAACAGGAGCTGATGCCGGTAGAATTATTTTCGGCGGTGCTGATGATAAACACAAAAAACAAAATAAAATAAGAATAAGAGTGCAAGTTTGTATGAGTTTCTCGACTCACCCAAACTTAAAAGAGCACATCTGAAAGGACTGAAAAAGGATGAACTTATAAATTAAGCCAAGATTTAAGCTTTAAAACTTTCAGTGCTGGACAAAACCCGCATGAAATTATTCCCTAATTTCACTCGTCACTATTTGATTACCCATACTTCTCAGTAACCATTCTACCTAGTCTTCTGGCGTTAACGTTTTCAAAAATTCGGCTAGACTTATATTAATGTGAAGTAAATTTTATTAAGCAATAAAGTTGAAGTTGAGGCATGTATTCATCAGATCTTAATCTTCGCTGAAATATCTGATTATACATATTGACAAAAGATAGTTATTTCATCTCTATTATCGATCTTTTTCAACGTTAAGGCTGTAATGCAAACACCCTCTAAAAAGTTATCGACTAAAACTCTTACTTACAAAGGAGAGACTTTTCAACTTGACTAAGCAAAGATTAGTAATTGAGGTACAGTGGAACCCCTCATTACGGACACTAGCTTAATACAGACTCCTGTATATAACGGACAGTCTCGTTTTTCCCGGCGGAAAAAAAGACTCATATACTTTCTCTAAAATTAATCCGCCTAATGCGGACACTGTGGCATGTCCCATCGGTGTCCGTATTAACGGGGTTGCATTTTTTTTTATTATAGAAAATGCGATTTCACTCAAAAATGCAAGGCAATTATGCTGACATATAAACATGACCTATGCTATATTGTGACTGAATTATAAACAGTAGAAGTAACAAGATATCCTTAGCGTCCAGAAATGTCTACACAGTTTGGAGAAGCAGAGCCTGGAACAGGCTCTCAGATAGTAGGGATGACGCACAATTGAAAGGCAGGTGAAAAAAGAACCCGTGATCTGGGAAAAGAGGGGCCAGTGGCGGGCCGCCCTTCCTCTCTCCAGTTTCCTCCCATTTTATTTTCGTGTTTGTTTTTTCTCAGTTTCGCGGACCTGACCAACTCGGAGCCCGGAACATGTTAGGCTACTGGACCGTAGACTGATTCTGATACTAGCATCCCTGCAGGTTTAAATGGGATTTGATCCTGTTACTCGGTTATATTATACATACCGTGTGGAGTAATGCTAAATAGAAGGAGGAATCCCCTCTCTTCAACAGCGTTATCTGAGTAGAAATGTATCACTGCTAAGCGTCCAGTGATAAGAACAGTTTGCCCCGTCCGCTGACCACAGTATACATACTCGCCGAACGTGAAGTCTTTCTCATTTGTAATTATCACATAATCATAGCTAAAGGAAAGGATAAGTCAGAAATGTTACACACTGGGTTAGACAAAGCGATCTTTACAGGAGGGAGGGGCCATTTCATGCGTTTGTCTGTGATCGATTCATCACTGCCAGTGAGACGTCACTTACCAAAGTACTGGTGAGGGCTTCGGGTCGCTTGTGCGAATTTGCAAGGGACACCATAGTTATTCGAACAAGAGAGGTCGGCGAAAAGATTAAAAGCTAGGCAAATATTCCTATACTACTGGAGGCTAGACGTTGCCTATTCTAGAGAATGAAATGAACTAATTTTTTATGCCCCTGCTGGCCCCGTAAAGAAGATGGCGATCCCGCAACACGGGCCACGACACAAATTAACAAAATTGGCTGGGCTGATATCGGAGAGTAATGCCCGAGGCTGAGAAGTCACTTGATTGGCGGACGTGTTGCTGGTTTGAAGCTGACGTCACGGTGACCATATTTGTTGAAAAAATAAATTTAAGTCGATTCCCTTCGTTGGAACTAAACTCTTTTTTCATGTAAATTCTACGAAAAAAAAAATTGTTTTTTCAACCAATATGGCGGCCTCGTAACGTGGTTGTACACCAAGTGCTCAGTATAAACATCTGGGCCCAGTTGTTCAAAGGCCGATGATTTGCCCTAACCTAGCGTTATTTCAATCCCGGTTTCTTTTTTTTTTGTTCAAAGGCATTGCCGGGAATAATTTTCTCTATCTTTTTAGAGAATCCAATGACAAAATTGTAGACAATTAAACAAACTTTGCTTGTCTAGATCAGTTTCATATCCGAAATCAAAGTTCACACTAACCCTGGATAATCTTAACCTAGGACTTAGGCTAGGCCAAACGTCGAAGTTTTCATGAGACGAACCAAACTCTAACTTGGGTCGACCTAAATTAAGTTAAGATCGTCTGTTGGGTCAGACGTCGAACTTAGGACGCGTCGAACCAATCAACTGAATCAGACCAAAAAGTAATTTTAATAAATTTTCTCCCCAACGAGGCTGAATATAGATTATCATACAAATTTTTTAGTTATTAGTTTAGTTCGTCGCATGTGAAGATCGACGTTTGTCCCTGGGACGATCGTCAGTCGTTCTATCCGTCTAAAGCAGACGGATGGAACGTGTTGGACGATCTAATCTCATTTAAATGAACTTAACGGAGCCAGATGCCGAACTTTTCACGAACTTAACTCGCTAATGAGTTTGGCGTAGGCCCTAGCTTTGACCAACCCTGCCGGCCCTACACAACATGAAAGGTTAATCGAAAATAAAAACATCAACAGCTTGAAATACTGTATAATACTATTTAGAACGTTTTCTTTCAAATGCAAATTCAGCCGCTTAACCGACTCTTAAACTGAAAATGCATTGCAATTATGAGTGGCTGTTATGAGCTTTGACATTCAACAATCTCTTTTACACTTTCCAACATTCGCTTCCAGTTAATCATTCCATATACATATATATTGTGACCAAAAATATTAGATTACTAATGTTTTGATTTACGATCCATTCTCTCTTACCTGCAGAAGCGATCATATTCCACATCAAAGTCAGCAAAATAAACATTCATGGTCATCCCTGCTGGAATAGGAACGGAATAGATGCAGTCTATATGACTGGGGTATTCGTCTGGATACCCCGGACTTTTTAGTGAATTGTTTACCACCGAGCCGCATTCTGTTAAACAAGAGATAAAGCCAGATATGCTACAACTTTTACATTGTATAAGTAAATAATAACTACAAGTCCATCTCCCGAGTCGTATCAAAATGATTTAGGCTAAAGAGATTATCCGATACTCATACTCAGATCTAATGGCTGGGAGACCCAATGAGTTGCCTTGGGGCAATAAACTCTTCATACACTGGCCTGGTTTTCATCTGATCGTCCAGGTGGTCCCCGTCAGGAACTAAGTGACCGAGACAAAATCAAGGCTATCGAGGCCATTTTGACGATTGTATAGAGAACAGTACATTTTCCGGGTAGTAGCATCAGATGTCAAATAAACGACTAAATATAAACGGTAAAGAGACTTTGCGACTTAATTAAAGTGAGGGACTGAATGAGCTGGAAAATTATTTTAAGTATGAAAGAAATTATTGGGACTTCCTAACTTCTGATGTTGTTACATTATAATTCTGCAAAAACTGACGTTTGAGGTGTTGTTATACTATACACCTCCATTGAAATTGCAAACTTTAAGGTGACTTTAACTTCCCGATGAGTCACGTCACTGCTCAAATTGACCTCGGTTTTATGAGAATGTTTGTTAGTCACTTTGTTATCTTTGCCAGTCTTACCTAGCGAGGCATTGGCGCAGTTTATTTTACTCATTGCTATAACAAAGAGTAAGTAAAGCATCGTCACTCGTGATGGGCAGAGCGCGTGTTTGTTGTCCTTGGTACCTCTAGGCAAACACCGCCGTAACTTGGGAGTTGTTAATTAAAATCAAATCCAGGGCCAGTCTTATACGCAACATGCTTTAACCTGTAGCAGCAAACATTCTAGTCTTCTCGTCCACTTTGAGTTCAATAAATCCAATTATGCAGACCAGATGTTTTCAAAATACTTTAAAGCCAGTGAGCTAAATATTTTAACGCCAATTGAGCTGCCATTCACTTTAGTGCACAATGCGGAATAACCTTGAAGGAAAGGTCAAGAGACTGCTAATTGAACAATCAAATCCTCTTATTGGATTCATTGGCTCATTCTGTTGAATGTTGTACAATAACCAGCAGTTATCATACGATATCTAAACAGCTGTTAGCAGCTTTACTAATGTTTTAAGTTGGGTGTGTTTTGGAAGCAATGCGAATGAAGATTTTTTACCTTATTGCATTGTACTAAAATTTGTGCAATCCTTTCAAAAAGGAATGAGACCAAATTAAGCTTTGTCATTGGATGGATCCTAATTTTAGAACCTTGAAGTCCCAGTCAGGTAGGAGGGACCTTATGATCCGAACACAAGGACGGCAACCAGAACGTCAAAAAAGCACTAGGTTTAATGAATAAAACAACGACGTTGTTCGTACATCACACTTTTTTTTGTACATTTCTTTACTGACACTGCACGACTACGACGTGAAAGTGCCTATGTTTTTTTTTTTAGGACGTAACTCAACAAGCGACGACGAATTTTTTTTTCTCTTTCTGAAGCTGTATAAAGCTCTTAGGAATAAGTTCAACTCCAGGAAAATTCGCATACATTTGACAAAATGAGCGATTTGGAATAATAGCGATGATGATTGAAAAAACTTCGTCTACCTGATTTCGACTGACGCCTATACAGAGTAACTCTGGTAACACGGAAAAAAGGAGCGATATAAAGTTTACCGGCCTGCGCTCATATATATGCTATTTTCTTTATTTCCTTTATAGAAACAGGCAGACTGAAAACTGCCCACCCACCCTTCTCTTAACCCAATATATATTTTCCCCAATTTGATCAAAAGCTTTGCTTGTTTAGTATCCACCATGAACATAATACACCATGTTTAAAAAAAAATTGCCCTCCAAAATTTCGCATAAGCTTTGTTTTCAATTTTTCATGGGGCGACTGTTAAATCAAGAAGAAATAGGCCAGTTTCGAATTATAAAAATTCATACTTGGCTCCAAAGCTGAGCGGAATAAGACAAAAAAGTCCCTTTGAGATTCGGGGGTTAATGATTTTAAAATGTCTTTTGTTTTTTCCCCTCAGCCTCGGACATAAGCATGAATTTCAAATATTTGAAACTGGCCAATATTTTTTTGTTATACTTATTCTCTGTTTGCAATTGTTTCTTAAATCTAAAATTACCTATTTTTTGTGTAACTCTAAACATTTGATTTTTAGTATTTATTGAATATTTTAAGGTATTTTTGGGGAGAATTTTAACAACTGGTCCGAGCTCTCATTAATAGACTCTTTGTACGAAGCATCGTTTGAACAATTATTTTTTGTTTTTAATGCTTTGAAAAAATTGTAGTATTGTATTGGAAAAAAGGATATGCAAGATTTTTTATTGGAGGGAAAGGGGGGGGGGGGGGTGAGCGTTGTGTAAAATGGTGATCAGAATATTTCAGCACTTTTCTTTTAACCCTCTCCGATATTTCGGTAAACGACAAAAAATACCTGAATTATTTGGAAGTCCTTAGCACAATTAATGGGTGGAAATTGACAGACAATTTTTACAAGTGGTTCTAATGAAGAGGAATGAAGGAACGGAGCATCCAGGGGGATGCTTAAAGAGAAACTGTATTAGATCTGAAGAGAAATCAGAACTTGAAGAGAATAATAATTAGCTAACAAAGACCAGATACACAGTTACATTCTGCTTACCTGGGCTATTTTCTCCCCTTATTTCGTTCATTCTCAATTAGCCCAGGAGTAACTTCACTCCCTTCAAAAAATTCAAAACCAAAACAGTTATATTCTCCCTAAAAAAAGACAGAGGCAGAACAAAGAATTTAAAATTGTTTCCGATTATGTCAGTTTTATTTGAGAATCACGCGACTGATAGTTCGTTTACGGTAAATACGATAAAATAGTACACATGTCGTGGAAAAAGTTAAGGAATGCTAAGAAATGATGAGAAGTAACTCCTGAAAATTTTGCATCACTCGTTGAATATATCTGGCACACAGGGGGAACCATTTCCATGGCAGGACGCAATCTTGGTACAGTAAGGGGGTGGGCATTCCTTTTTATCCTTGATGTAGTTTTTTTCACTTTTACACTCAAGAATATACGACATTCCTTTATATCCCGCACAAAATTCATCGGGTTTACACTTCTCCACCTTGATATTCTCCAGACAAGCTTTCTTGGAGCTTTCGAAACACGTAGGACATTCGACTAAGAAAAAAGGAAAAGACAAGCAGATCAGTTTGTAATGTTATAAGTTATTTTTTCAGTCCTGCCTGGCCGAAATCTACCGGCTAGTTATTCATAAGCAGCTGTGCTGTCAAAATTTGGAAGAATTGGTATAATTTTCTATTATTAAATTCCACGACTGAAGTCGATCATCAAATAAGGGAGAAGTTATATTGGACGATTGACCACATGCAAAGAAAACGACCCTAGTCCTTTTAGGCTATAAAGAATAGCCCATGTTCGATATACTGAAATTCTAACATGACTCCGAGGCTTTCGGGTCATTTTCTTATTTGGTTTGGTTTTCTTGGTGCTCAAGTCTACTCTGGGAATTGCGAGGCAATCGAGTGGTGAAAAATTTGCAATTTTCTCCCTAAAGCCTCGGAGTCATGTTAGAATTTTGATAAATCGAATGTGGGCTATATTGAAAAAAAAAAAGGCCGAAGATTTCGGAACAAGCGAAGACTCACGGTTGGCGATTCAAAATGATAGTAAGAGTATACAAGATACAACTTGACAGATGCCGACTGCTTTTTCAAAAAAATCTGGATAAACGATTTGTTCATTTCCTGGTTTCTGTAAAATGATTTATTTTTTCAAGCATCAAATACCTTCTGGTAAAAACCATAGTTTTTATGGAACGTTTAGCTTTTGTTTGATAGCGATTTTTATCATTTAAAAACGGAGCTCCAACTAATGGCCTCTTAGTGCATCATAGAGTACAAACTGCAAAATTAAAATATGCGCCTTTTGTGAAAATTGTCGCTTCTGTCTTGGAGTAAAAATTTTCAAAACTAGACCCCGTCTACACGAAATCCGTCAAGAATCTTTCAAACCTCAACATTCTCCTGTTTATAATGTTTTTTTTATTTACACCATTTGGCCATGGCCACACCCAACCAGTGAATTTGATCACGGACACTTCATTGTTTGAAACCGCTCTCCAGAGTGTTTTTTTGGATCTGACGGACTTGCGAAACTTCTTGCACTAATGTAAACACACCCAGGTACCCGGCACTAGTGTGAACACAACCTATATTCAAGTACCCTCTCTAGAATTCGGGCACAGTGACGGTGACCGGGTACAAGGTCAAGTACAGTGCCGGGGGCCCGACACTACTCGGACACAAAAGTGAGTACCGGGTACGTCCCTGTGTCACTGTGTGCACGAGATTTTTTTTCAGTTCTGGGGGGGTCCGGATCCACTGCTTTATGTACGATGTTAAGTTCATGATTCAGAATGGTGTCTGAAAGGTCGAAATGGAGTAACAATGTACACATTCATTTACATACCAGGGCCGGGTTGTTCAAAGCTGGGTTAAGATAACCCGGGGTTAGTGCGAAGTTTAAATTCAGATTTGAAAGTTTAAAAAGTAAATTCAGTTTAATTCTTTCTCTCAGCAAGTTGCTGATTGGACGCTCTTAAAAATAACGCAGAAAATTATCCGAGAAAATGCTTTTGAACAAAAGAAAAAACCCTAGGTGAAGCGCTAATCGGCCTTCGAACAACTGGGCCCAGGTGAACACAATGCGATTTGTGCCGGTACCTAGGCACTTAATCCTAGATACCAAGTGTGGATAACCTCTGAGAGCCTGATGTCGCAAACGTATTCACGTAAATAACTTTTAAGCAATAAATATGGGGAACGTCTAATGTTATCTAGCAACTAAAAATTACTCGGAACTGTTAAAAGATACCTTGAGGTTGTGTAG